GAGACACCACACTCACTACTCAGCGACCTAGGCGCACATCTGCCGGGGACGATGAGGATGCTGAGGCGGATGAGGAAGACGAAGATGGTAGCGAAGGCACACGCACCTCGTCGAGCCGCTCACGTAGGTCGATGCGCAGTGGTGAGGGGTCCTCCTCCACGAGGCCTTCAAGGACTGGTGGTAGCGGCACTACTGACTCGGTTGTGAGGAGTACTGCTAGTGCAGGTGGCTCTCCACGGCGAACCCGTGAAGAAGATAGTGAAGCTATGCACATGAGCACGCAAGCTGCGGCGCAATTGAGCTCAAGAAGCACCAGAGCAAGAAGCTCCGGTGGGACGCGCTCATCCACACCATCAGGTAGCACCAAGGCAGGTCGTGGCACAACAGAAGCTAAGAAAAGGTCAACGCGGCGACCTCCTCCAGGCGGAGGCCGAGATGTGGCTCCAGACAGGGCGCGTGGCGGTGGATCGAAGGTTGTTGAAAATGGAACACGCGACATGCGTCTCCTCCGCGTGGTAGTCAACGGATTTGAAGCGAACGTTGTTGAGGTCGTAAAGGCGAAGCGCGGATTCATCTATAAAATTGATAACATACTACCTTTCAGGTGGAACCCCGGGCCAACGATTGCAAAGTTCTTCCAAGAAACACCAGACTTCGTGAAGCTCGATTATTTCTTTCAGAGGCTGCCGCGAAAATTACGCGACCAGGTCAGTACAGCCCAAGACAACTAGGCGTGCAGACTCCGTCGTGCTGTGTACCTTGCTCCTTGAAGTGTCGAGTTAAGAAACGCAAAACGAGTTGCTGCTTCTTTGATATGCTTGCAGATGGAACGGGCCGGGCCGGTGACGATTTTCGTGGTTCCAGACAGTGGTTGGGTCTTTCCCAATGGACAAACCGTGCCGAAGTGCGTGTTTGACGCCCTTGGAAGGCCTGAAAATGGAGCTGTTCTTGAGGGCATTTTTGAGTGGTTTGCACTTCCTGGTAGGTCATCAGGCATTGTTCGAAAACCTTCGTGTTTTAGTTCACTGCTTTAAAAGGTGCGCGCTCACCCGCATACCGGCGCGAAACTCCAGATGTAGAGCGTACCGTGGCAACGCTTACGGCCTCTTGTGCTGCTGCATTCAAAAAGCCTGTCCACAGGTGTCACGTCGTGCGTGGAGTCAACCCACGCGTTTTTGCCAAGTGGTACAGTCCCACCCCTGGAACTTGAGACCACTCGTACACCTGTGTCTACACTGTATTTCAGGGCTCTTCCCAAGAGCACTTATAGAAAACCGAGACTGGCTTCCTGTTCTGGGCAATCCGCCAAAGCTTGCTGTTGCTCATCTAAGGAGGCCATGTCCCCCCGGTGGACCTAAGCGGAGGCCAACTACCACCACCACTGCAACAACCACTGACACGAGCCGCAAATCCACGCAGCGCGGTGACAGTGGCACAAACCCTCGCAACAGACGCAATGGGGCCGGGGCGGCGTCCGCAAGTGGCGAGTCGGGCAGAGGCGGCAGTAGTCGCTCCTCAGATGATAGCTTGGGCATACATCCGCAGTCTGATGCACTTTCACGCACAGATGACACGAACTCAACTAGGGGGACTCGGCGGACTACACCAGCTCCTAATGCTGACGACGCTTCAACCAGCAGGAGAACGCGATCTACGAGGGCAGCCCCTGGTGACGATGATTCTTCAACAAGCAGAAGAACGCGATCTACCACGGCAGCCCCTGGTGAGAATGAGTCTACAGCTAGCAGGAGAACTCGGCCTACAACCTCAGCACCTGGTGACGATGATCCTTCAACCAGCAGGAGGACGCGATCTGCCACGGCAGCCTCTGGTGAGGATGATTCTTCAACAAGCAGGAGAACGCGTTCTACAACCCCAGCACCCGGCGAGGATGATTCTACAGCTAGCAGGAGGACTCGGCCTACAACCTCAGCAACTGGTGATGATGGCTCTTCAAAAAGCAGGAGGACTCGATCCACGACGGCAGACCCTGGTGACGATGATTCTTCAACAAGCAGGAGAACGCGATCTACCACGGCAGCCCCTGATGACGATGATTCTTCAGCAAGCAGGAGGACTCGGCCTACAACCTCAGCAACTGGTGATGATGGCTCTTCAAAAAGCAGGAGGACTCGATCCACGACGGCAGACCCTGGTGACGATTCTTCAACAAGCAGAAGAACGCGATCTGCCACGGCAGCCTCTGGCGACGATGCTTCTACAGCTAGCAGGAGGACTCGGCCTACAACCTCAGCATCTGGTGATGATGGCTCTTCAAAAAGCAGGAGGACTCGATCCACGACGGCAGACCCTGGTGACGATGATTCTTCAACAAGCAGGAGAACTCGGCCTACAACCTCTGCATCTGGTGATGATGATTCTTCAGCAAGTAGGAGGACTCGGCCTACAACCTCAGCAACTGGTGATGATGGCTCTTCAAAAAGCAGAAGGACTCGTTCTACAACCTTAGCACCCGGTGATGATAATTCTTCAGCAAGCAGGAGAACTCGGCCTACAACCTCTGCATCTGATGATGATGATTCTTCAGCAAGCAGGAGAACTCGGCCTACAACTTCAGCATCTGGTGATGATGATTCTTCAACAAGCAGGAGAACTCGGCCTACAACCTCAGCATCTGGCGATGATGGCTCTTCAAAAAGCAGAAGGACTCGTTCTACAACCTTAGCACCCGGTGATGATAATTCTTCAGCAAGCAGGAGAACTCGGCCTACAACCTCAGCACCTGATGACGATGCTTCTTCAACAAGCAGGAGAACTCGGCCTACAACCTCTGCATCTGGTGATGATGATTCTTCAACAAGCAAGAGAACGCGATCCACAATCTCAGCACTTGGTGATGATGGCTCTTCAGCAAGTAGAAGGACTCGTTCTACAACCTCAGCACCTGATGATGATGCTTCTTCAGCAAGCAGGAGAACTCGGCCTACAACCTCAGCACCTGATGATGACGATGCTTCTTCAGCAAGCAGGAGAACTCGGCCTACAACTTCAGCATCTGGTGATGATGATTCTTCAAGAAGCAAGAGAACGCGATCCACAATCTCAGCACTTGGTGATGATGGCTCTTCAGCAAGTAGAAGGACTCGTTCTACAACCTCAGCACCTGATGATGATGCTTCTTCAGCAAGCAGGAGAACTCGGCCTACAACCTCAGCACCTGATGATGACGATGCTTCTTCAGCAAGCAGGAGAACTCGGCCTACAACTCCAGCATCTGGTGATGATGATTCTTCAACAAGCAAGAGAACGCGATCCACAACCTCAGCACTTGGTGATGATGGCTCTTCAGCAAGTAAAAGGACTCGTTCTACAACCTCAGCACCTGATGATGATGCTTCTTCAGCAAGCAGGAGAACTCGGCCTACAACCTCAGCACCTGATGATGATGATTCTTTAGCAAGCAGGAAGACTCGATCTACGACTGCAGCACCTGGTGAGAATGAGTCTACAGCAAGTAGGAGAACGCGGTCGACCGTGGTAGCAACTGGTGATGATGATTCTTTATCAAGCAAGGGAACTCCGCCTACAACCTCATCACCTGGTGATGAAGATTCGTCAACGAGCAGAAGGACTCGGCCTACGAGGGCAGCACCTGGCGAGAATGAGTTTAGAGCTAGCAGAGGAACTCGGCCTACAACCTCAGCGCCTGGTGATGATGATTCTTTAACAAGCAGGAGGACTCGAGCTACAACCTCATCACCAAATGATGATGATTCTTCAGCAAGCAGGAGGACTCGGCCTGCGAAGGCAGTACCTGGTGAGAATGAGTCCACAGCTAGCAGAAGAACTCGGCCTACAACCTCAGCGCCTGGTGCCGATGATTCTTCAACAAGCAGGACTCGATCTATGCCCGCAACGCTTGGTGTCGATGATTCTTTAACAAGCAGGAGAACGCAGCCTACAACGACGACAGTTGATGATAATGCTTCTTCAAGCACCAAAAGGACTCGATCTACCACGGTAGTACCTGGCGAAAATGAGTCTACAGCTAGCAGGGGAACTCGATTTACGACGGCAGCACCTAGTAGTGTTGAATCCTTCATAAGCAAGAGCGGTGGATCTGACACGAGGCTACATAATACTCAGCTCAACACGAGGTCAAATCTTCGTAGTGCTTTTCCTTTGGATGCTGAAAGTCAAACCACCAGGACGCGAACTGTAGCGGCCGCCCCTGATAATCATCTCCCCAGCGGAATAGCGCCTATTGATGAGAATACGGGTCAGATGATACGTATTTCAACACAACCAGCTGGAGTTGTATTTGCCTCACCCAGAGAGATAAACCATGCTGCATCATCCACAAAACAAGCTTTGAGTGTTAGAAGGGCATGGCCAACGACAACACTAATGGATTACTCCGCAGCCAGCGGTGGCATGCAGCACAGCGCAACTCGCTCTGCCAATGATTTCATCACATCTGGAAGGAGGAATATTCCAGGGGGAGGCCTTGGTGGGACAAGTTTTGAGCCGGCGGGTTCTACCGCCGCGATGGCACGTTCTTGGTTGAATGCTCCAATGGCAGGATCACCTTCCTCCTGGACACCGATGCCCAGTACTGAAACGTCCAAAGCCAATCATCCGGAAAGCAAAAGTTCATCGCTTACTAGCAGGGCCAATGAAGCAAAATCCACTTCAATGTGGAAAACAGAACTGGGCACTGCATCAGGATCGGTACCAGGAGTGGCATCAACTCGTGAGTGGACTCTTGACGGGTTGGAGGGTAGTGAAAGATATGCGATTTACAGTAAAAGAGTGGAACAGCCTGTCGAAGGCACAGATACGCTGCACACAGGTGAAAATGTGTGCGCATCCGGGTACTGTCCATCTCCTGACTTTTTGGGGACAGCTACAGGCCCAAATGTTAATGAACGATGGCCAACAGCTCTGTATGACTCGGCAGAGATTACAGAGGATTTTCTAAACGATGACCCTGATGAGCCTGGAGCATATCGGAAAGGAATCCTAGATTCAGAAGACTACGGCATCCAGCAGGAAGATACAGGTTAGTCAGACTAGCTGCAGGCACCAGATTCCGACTGTCCCGAGTTCGAAATTACATGCAGGTAAAGAAGTTAGGGCAAATATGTACGTGGAGAAAAGCGCGCCTTTGTACGCAGGAATATTGGACCCAATATATGAACATGTACCTAGAAACGCATCAGAAGCTTTGAATTACGTAAACAGTCCTAACAGTCTTAGAGGACTGCTTCCACGGCAGCTTGGGGAACGCATGGCGTCGGAAAGTGTCTCTGGGGTAGAACCAACTGTAAGGCAGGCTGACAGAGAAGCAATGACAGAGAGACGAGGAGAGCAGGAGAAAAGGCGGGGCACCTTGCCTGCTGCCAGTTCAGCAAAGTCACAAGGCACAGCGAAAGATGAGGACGACACTGACGAATATCCTGACCACTGCGGCGATTTGGCTACTTTCATTGAAGGCCGCCAGGTTATCGAATGGGTAGGGCAAGGAACCTGTGGTGGTAGCCGCGAAGACTGAGAATAGATACGTTTGATATTTTCGGAACGCCAGCGCGTTGGCAGGTCTGAGAGAGCACGGCCGGTGAAGTATGTGTAGATTTTTATGTGCAGGATATTCCAGTCTTCAACGGTATTATCCACGTTCTTGGCTCCTCTGTTTTGAGACCCGATATCGAAGCACTCGCGACAAACATTGCCTTTTGGCAGTGCACTCATCAGTTCTGCTATGAATGCCCACTGTTGACCCCCTTTTTCTTGAAATTCCTGGATGAAATTGGAATAATTACAGGAAAGAAGCCATTCGAGTTTAATCCTCCCCCGGGCGTTCGCCCAGATTGGGTGAGTCTGAGCCTCTGCAGAAATGCGTTGCAGGATGACAATCGCCATGGCAGGCACGTAATCTTGCCTAAGAGTGGCCCAATATGGATGCGCTTTGTATTTGGTTTCATATATACGGCCCAGTTTTGGGCTGCTACGGTCATTGGATCTCCGCACTGTGTTGGCCTCGATGAATCATGAGAATTAAGTGGCCACTGCAATTTGTCTTTTGGTTGCACAACTCAGGTCTGTAGGGGTGCATTTAGCTACTATCCAGCTGGATGGACGAAGCAAACGTGGCACAAATACCTGGAGACGATGAGTTCAACAGATAAACGAACTGCGAAACGTAATGCCGACCTTGTGGCGAGAGCTGCCGAAGGGCGGTACCAGATTGCATTGCTTTACGAAAGTATTCGGTGAGCTTTTAACCGCATGACGAGCAGGCCTTATTTTCAGTGGGTAAAAACAGTGTGGCCTGAGACACAGGGATCGTTCTGTAGGTTTGTAGAGCTTGATGGTCTGGGGTGCATTTCCCCGTGGACAACCTACGTGAGGTGATTATTTCTTGACGCATATCGCCACAAAACGCGGTGGCCTAACCGTGAGCTTCGTTGTTTGCACAGGTTGCAGTCAATCGAGGCAAGACGCAGGTATGACCCCCTTCGCCCAATAAGCGACGAAACATACGATCCGAATTTCAAGAACATGAAAAAGTCCTTCTACGACAAGAACTTCGAGTGCAAAGGCGAAGCTGTTAATCGAGAACTTACAGCAAAACAGATGCACAAAATAATACCTGCTGTTTACCCATGGACGGGTTGACAGCTACGCAAAACCCCGTTATCCAAAGCCCATTTCGCTTCACAGTGGCGGAGTGTGGCTGCACGCCGGGGACTACAAATGGACCCATGCGCAGTGCTTGCTAGTTGACCTTCGTGGCCCCCCACACGAACCGTACATTTGTCGGTAACTTCGCATTTGAAGGCTAGCTCACGTTTGCCAACCCGGCAAAAATAGCATTAAATTGTTCCGTGCCGATACGTGGAGGGCTACCTTTTCTCGATGTGCTCATTTCGGTGAATGCGTGTATCTGGTTTACGGCATGAGTACAAGTCAACAGTCCCGTGAAACACATATACCCTCCTCTCAGAGGCACTGGAGTGCATCTGCAACTGCAGCAGCACCTTTAAAGCACACCCATCCGTAAAAGGCGGACAGTTCACCACAGATCCTTGGATAAGCCCGTTCTTAGACAAGATTTTCTTGATTAAGCGTAAAAGCAACTCAAGCAAAGGCAGATGCTATGCGTGGGCCATTGAGAAAAGCATGTTTTTCTCGAGAATTGCCCGGCACCATGCTCGGCGCAGCATAGTCTGGAGCACAGTTCCGCCCTTTGGTTATACGATCATCCTTAGTTTTTTCCCCACTTTCTAGTCTCGCGGGATGCAATCTGATCAGTGGCTTGGAGAACAACCTCTTGCACAAGAGTCGTATCACAGGCACACGAACACTGCGAAACCCTAGTGGTCAACGGCCCCGATTTTGGCCCAGAGCTTACACCTACCCACTTCCAGCGCATGAAAGAGGTAAATTCATGCTGAAAAGGGCCAAGATTAGCCTTACTATGCTGTTAATTCTGCAGGCTACAGACGAATCCGCAACTCTTTTCGCGCGTTCTCCCGATGGGCCGCAAAACTGGGCTACCTGTATGTTTCACGTGTTCGCTACCCCGCAGCTCTTCAGGCACGTAGCGTATACTGCGTTAAAATAAAAATAAGGCGACACGGCCTCCTGTACAGTGGCTATAGCTAGCACAGAGTGGAATCTTTGCGAAGTCCGCAGGAACACTCAATCTAACCCCTCTGAGACTCGTGCCGCGCAGCTCGAATCACTGTCATGTGCTTTTTCACGGTGATTTATCAGTTAAATACTAAAACGTAAGGTACTTAACGTGAATGTAGCAAAAATTCTGCTGCTCATGTTGCAGAAGGCACACCCACGGGCGCTTGGTGTGGGGTTGGTCACAAGAAAGCCACATAGAAAACACCTGATACTTCCGCAGTGGCTTTAGTATGGCAACTCTCTCAGCCTATGGAGGGTTGTTCCAACCAAATAAGGTAAAATATAACAAAAATCTGAGGGCATCGGGTGAAAATCAAGATTTCAAAAACCATTGCGCCATGCCGTTACGTCTCCTATCTGCTGTTAAGGGCTCGAAGGGGGTGGGGGCTTGCAGGTGTGGGGCCAATTGTCGACTGTACTCGAACGGGATCACTTCTATAGGCGATCTGCACGTTCACCGCTACATCGACAGACAACACCACAAGTCGCGATGATGAGACGTGCGTCCTGCCAGACCTTGAAGGGAGGCCCCTCGCCGCAAGGCGGGGCGGCTTTGATGATACAGGCAACCGGGCGAAGGCTTGGTTTCCCCTGGCGTGGACGGTTCTGAGCGACATTTCCGGAGTCATATCTTCTTGTAGCAGTTGGGGCTTTGAAACTGGGCAGTTTTAGTTTTTCTCTAGGGAACCTTGAGTGGTTCTTTCCAGGTCCGTTTCGGCGGAAGCAATATTACGGGACGGAGGGAAATTGCGGACTGTGGGGTAGGCGGGGAAGTCGTGTGCGGCACAGAGTGCCTCCTGGGTTATCAGCGCTGGTGCGCTCTACGGTGAAAATGTTTATCCGAGGGCTTTTAGCAGTACTTTTGCACGGGAGCTTGGCGTCGCGGGTGACCTTAGCAAGTGACCGGCAAGCTTCCACGCCAATATCCCTGTTCGCACTACCGGTACGGGGCACTAATTACGGTTCGTTAGAGCTCTCTGCCCTTGCTGCCTATTCAGGTGTCTAAAAGGCAGGTTTGGTGTGTCGCTGCTGCATAAAGGCCTACCAAGCCCTTTACCACGAGCACAAAGAGGCCGAACTTGGCAATCCCGTTCGCCACTTAAATTAGCTAAAATGCTCGAACTGCTCGTAAACCGAGGAGCTTGCAAGCTGCCGAGCGGCGACTTTGCAGCATAGTCACGCGTACACTTGAGCTATTGGCTCCCTGCAAGGCGCCCATGGGGCCTAGCACGTCGGGGAGATCCCGGTAAGCAGGGGGCATCTAAAGCTCAGAAAAAGGGATATTAACGGCAGCACAATACTGCCTACTTTCGACTATGCTTAGTGCTGGAGCACACAACATTCCCACACAATGCTTCTCGGTAAATTGCTCTGGTTCATGTGCGACGCTACTCCGATGTGCTGCCCCTGAGACCACATACACACATTCGAAAAAACCCATGGTTGGCAGTACTCAACGCACAGACGTGCTATAGAAGCTCGTGGTCAGGGCAATGAAGGTACATTCACTGGACTTACGTGCTCATAATCAATGAAATATTTTCGCCCTTCAGCAAAATCCTCCCAACAAAAACGCGGGTGTTTTTCTTCAGCTGAATCTCTTCCGCGTCGTCCAGCACCATGTTCATATACTCGTCAAAACCCTAGACAAATAGCACACGAAGCAATCACACACAGGCCTGGTTAGTTTTGCCACGGGAACGTATTGAAGGCCTTCCCGTGACTACCCTAGACATTGAGATCATATTAGCACAAAATGTGCGCCCAATTAAACAGTTATTACGTCCCCAAAGCTCGATTACACGTGAAAAGCCCTTCAAACCAGGCTCAGGCCCTACCCCACACGCCATCTGTGCCAAGTCCAAACTAACCATAATGCGCCCTTCAATGCGCAGGTCAGGCTGCTCGTACAGCCAAAGCTGGACCCGGCTCTTGTTTGTGAAAAACCTGAAAATCAGGTTCTGCACGTACATCGCATGGAAAAGAAGCCGAACAGCATGTAAAAGCTGCGTGCGAGGACGAGGTTAGACGACTGACGGCAAGCAAATGACCATGGCATAGGCATACATTGGGAGCAATGCTGCTTCGAAATCAAGCATCATAGCTTGAGAAGCAGTCAACACGGTGGTGGCTCCTACGTAATCCTCGTTGTAGGGAGTGGACGGGAAATGCGGTTTGCGGCCACCATACGCGCAAGCCCATGAACAACAGCCACATCAATTCTTACAATCGGTTGGGTCATAATCTTTTGAAGCTTCTTGTTGCTCATTTGATGCGACATTTTCGTGGCTGGGTAGGCAGGAGATGGGGGCGCGCCGGCCGGGGGACCACTGAATGCAGAGGTACTGTGAAGATCGAAGGCTCTGCAAGCGCGCCCTTCTTCTGTGCCTCTAACTGAGAATAATTATACCTCAGGAGCGTTAAAGTGCGTCAGACTGACGGTGATATGCTGGCAAGGCTGCTGGGGTCCTGTTGCAGGCTCGCGCTGCCACTCTTTGCTTTTGAAAAGGTGAGATGAGAAATCTCTCTTTCAAAGTGCCACGCGATAGCTTGGGTCACTAAAGAAGAAAGGGGGTGCTGAACAACATTCGATGAAAACGCATGCACCAGCATTCATGGCGTACCCTGTAGAGGGGAGGCAGCAAGAGTAACGCAGCACAGAAGAAGCAGTTCCTTCCAAGTCTGCGACCCCCAACAGCAAATGAATTCTGGAACCTGAAATATGTTTCGCACAAGCGCTGTAGCCAACCAAGCAGAGGATTGTGGCCAAGGGCTTGGTGGGGTGCATATTAGCGGCGCAGGCGGCTGCGGCTGCGGCAGCAGCTTGAGCAGCTCCTAAGCTGAACAACCCAGACAGCAACGACTCCATATTGTTCCTTTTTAACTGAGCCACAAACCAGACTGGCTGGTGTAGGCCAAGCTCTAATGCCCTGTCGTGGCTCTCGAATAGAAACCAGCAGTGCTGCGGACCGTCTTGCAATGACATGGGTGTTCACGTCAACGGCAACACAGAGCTTTGAGGCTTAACTCGTCGGAGACCCTACGTAGCACTTTCTGTCGATTCGTCAAAGTGTGTGTCTCTCGAGCCTGCCGCATCGAGTCCAAGAGGGTGTTGGCGATATTTGCGGAAGCGACTTGGGAAACCGACAGCCCACCAGAGCAGCTGGGAGTCTTCCTGCAGTGCTAGTACTGAGTGGCCAGCGAAAGATTCTTGAGCACTAAGCACTCATTGGAACCGCTAGCAAGATGGAGAGTTACCTTAACCGTGCAAATGCGGTTTTCTGCTCGATGATGGTGTGCCTGAGTGTCCTGGCACTTGGAAATATAGGGTCTTCGTACTTTCTTACAAACCCAATTTCTGGTTCGGTCGCAGCCCGAGATGTCTATGCATTTGGCTACAACTACGCCCTCAGTGTAAGCTTTTTGATCATTCGAAAGGTTCCCGTCTAGAGCACGCACACGACTCTCCAAGAACCCACCAGACAGTGTCTTGGTAGAACGCTCCGTGGCGCGGTGGTTCTGTGAAGGTCGCGAGTGCTTATTTACGTAGGAGCTAGTTGTGCTGATGCTAAGCTAAAGTTGAGCAGGAAGAACTACTTAATGACAGCTCTCCTTTATATTATCACTCAGTTTTAATTTGGGCTGTAGGTGACAACTGACACTTTTAAGAATCTACAGCGGTCTTGCGAATTCCTGCGCATTTGTTTGCTACAATGCGTAAAACTTCCGTGTGTTTTAGGGGGACCAGGCGGTGTTGGCGCTGGACATTAAGGCGGATTTGCGCGGATTGTTTCAGTGGAATGCGAAACAGCTGTTTTTATTTGTAGTCGCCGAATACGAAACCCCTCAACACCCTGCTAATGAAGTGGTCGTGTTCGATAAGATCATCACCCATGAGGAGGCCGCACTGATCAATCTGGTGAACGTGCCAGCAAAGTATCATCTGCGGGATAAGGGGAAGGGTTTGAGGGGTCGGGACGTGACTCTTAAATTGCAAGTGGTTTACCATCCAATCGTTGGTCGTATATCCACGCAAACGGTTGCGTCTTCTACTTTCCGAATGCCGTCCAACTACGATCGCATTACATCAAAACAGCAACACGCACAACAGCGGGAACAAGTGCGTGAAGCTGCTGCCGTTGCTTCTGCAAGACCAGAGGATCTTGCATAGGCCTGTACTTCCTTTACTGTGCAAGATGGCAGCTGCTGCTCTGGCGAAATAAAACCGCAGCTGTTCGCCTTTTTGTTCAGGCGTAGGCTTTTTGGCATGGCGCCATGAATTTGAACTGTGGCTTTACGTAATTTGAGCGTGGGCCTACTTTCGTGCTCCGCCCGGGTAGTATACTGCGTCATGCATAGGCATCTAACTGTACTTTACTTTTCGAGGAGCCTCTGATAACGTTTAACCAGCTCTACGGCTGCAGCTTGACAACTTTGGTGCAGGGCTTTCGGATAATATCTTTACATGCTGCGTTGGCAGCTGTCGTTTACTCAGGGCGTCCACGCGACGCCCTGAGTAAACGACATGCAGTTCTGGAGCGAGTGTATGCAATACAGGAATAGTGAACTGTCAATATTATTCATGTAAACAGGGCGTACACATTTCTTGCCATTTGTGGGGTTCATGCTTAAAGTAAGCAGCTGTGGATCTCGTCTCCCCGTGCTGGGACTCAACGAGGCGTTCTTCTGTATAGTGGCCCGTAGACCGATTGTACATAGCAATTTATTTTTAATATGCACTCCATTAAGCGAATATTTTCTGCTTTCACTTAAATGTCGGTGAGCTTGCTGATACATAGAATACAATGTGGAAGCAGCGTCTGTGGATTGCTCGACAACATTTGAGACGCAGAAGTGTAGCTACTGAGGAAGTCTCCCTGTGTGAGGCTTGATTCCGTTGGACTGATGGGCGGGGGGGAAGTGCACTGTTGAACAGCTTGTAAGAGTAAACTTGTGCAGGTTTTTAGTGGACGCTTAATCGAGGAGACCACCCGCAAGCCACGCAGCTCTCAGAGCCATTTTTTAGGTGTGAAGAAAATAATAACCAGAAGAATACGCGTGCTAGGATTGAATATAAATCCTTAGTCGTGGCTCATAAAAGAGGCTCTCTCTGGGAATGGCGTTGTGAAGAGAGCTTTGACTCAGAAGCATTTTTTAACCTACTGCACGCGTAAGCGGCATTCTTATCGTATCAAGTTTAAGCGACTCGGGAACAAATACGCATGTGGACAGCCTAACTATGCGGTCACTTTTTTCCTGAAGCAATCAGATATAACTACTGCAACAGAAAGTACTACAGTGCAGCGTAGCCCGCTACATTGCATGTATCTGTTACTGCGGTCCACGGAAAAGTTCGTTGTACTGGTTTGGGGCTTTCGAGAAATATCATGTCTGGTACAGCTCAAGGCTTGCAATGTCTGCATCCAGAGAGATAGCCAAGGCACAATAAGAGGTGTAGTTCGCCACCTACACAGGACGTGCTAAACAACGTTTCATAGAAGGCACATATGTATGCAAACTGCTCGGGAAAAGTGGGAGCCAGTTGGGTTGCATTACGACTGAGCCGGTTTCCAAATGTGGAATAGAAAGTGAGCATTCACATCAACGGGCAACGACGCGACAGCCACCTCACTGGAGTGGTGCTTCCCTGCCGCACTGCAAAAACGATACCCTCTGAAAGTGCCCCCGCCTGCAGACCCCAAATGGGGCTAGTACCGTAGTACTATACGAAATGGTAAAACGCTTTCTGAAGTACCTCTCTGGCTCATAAAAGCAATGCTACGTAACGTATGCAATGGGTGAGCCGTGGACCATCGAGAAGGATCTACGCCTCACCCTCGAACACGGGGGGAGTGTGCAGACCAATAAAAAATGCACAATGTGTCCAACTCTGTGGCTTGCAAACTGAGGCATCCACGCTTTCTAAGAGCAGCGTCCATGACAGCCGATAAGCGCCCAACATAAGAAAACGCTATCTACACCTGATTCTCGATAGCTCGGAGTTCGTCCTCCGATGGAATTACCAGGATATGCTTCATGAGAAGCAAATAGGCCACATGATAGTCGCTGCGTCCCCCTGAGAGGTCAATCGAGTCCCATGGGACTTCCGAGACCTTTTCATCATCGAACTTCCGCCACATCATCACATTTTTTTGGCGCTTAGCAACTGGACCTGTCAAGCTTTCGGACTCTTTCCCTTCCTCTTGCTTCTTTTCCTCTGAGCTGCGAGGGCCCTGTGTTGTGTCTGGATTTCCTGCCTTCGCCCACCCGACATAGTGTCCACTATCAGCATAACGGCCTTGATGGGTGACAACACTGAGCAACTGGTACGTTCCTGTGGGGCACGGCTTTCCGACGAGATGTCCTAACTTGAATTCGCCATTTGCCGCTTTTGTGTCGCATTCCTGCATAGTGGGTGTGGACTCTTCGGTACTTTTACCATTCGTTGCAGCAGCAGATGCTGCGGAAGAGGAACTAGCGCCAGAATTGGTGTTGCTCGCTTCACTTGCACCCCCAGAAGATACCTCACGCTCCCGGCGAAGTGCTAAAATTGCCCTCCCCACTTTGAAAGAATCCTGCAATTCCTGAGAAGGAAGGGTGCACAGAACGCCACAAAAGCAAGTCTATAATCGTGCCACTGCTAATATACCCTTCACTGCATCTGAATCTGCCGGTACAACAACCTTGCAAGTCTAATCCTTAGAGAAGAACAGTCACGTGCTGGCTACACAACATCTACCGAGGCCCATGCAAACAACTATGGATGCCTATCATGTTAAAAGGCACAGTTGATGCTCTCGAGCTAATTCTGTGTGTGCGCTTTACTTTGGTGCAGTAAGTGAACACGTCAAGCGTCTGTGAAAACTTGACACTCCGGCAGATCTTGGCTTTTTCCGATTCAGTGCCTCCCACTTTCCATTCAAAGCGCATGAAATGAACAATGAGATACAGAGCAAGGCTGCCAATGCGGTTGCTGCGAACCAACGTTTCTTCGCCTGCTCCTGATCCGGATGCGCTAGTACCAGCTTGCACAACCTCGTCTCCTAGCGAAAACTTCAAACTCTCATCAATTGTGCTCACGGGCTTCTGTGGGGTGCCCAAAAAACAAGTAAGCTTCCGGTGGCGTTCGATCTGCACTGTGGGCTCCTGCTCCTTCTGCCCTTCTACATTGTTTCTCTTTGTCGTCACCTGTACCTGCACCCCGAAAAGCAGATCTAACGCAGAAGAACCAGCGTTGAGTGGCACGTAAGGCAACGTTTTTGCAATGCCAGCAGCGGCTCCTGGCTCTAGACTCTCTGCCACAGCTGCCATTAGGCAGCCTAGGCATTCCTCAGCATCCTGCTGCATGGGCACTCCCGTTGTGCCTGACACATCCCCACAACACAAGAGCACGCACATGTGCATGCGGGTTTTCTATGCATGGATTCTTACACAGCATACCAACACGCTTGGCGACGCTGCTTTCACTCTGCAAACGTACAACCCCCGCGAGTACATACGACATGGCGAGAGGCCAACGTATCTACAAAGAAGTGGCCTACCCGCTTGAGACGTTGAACGCCGAGAGAACTGCGGATAAGCTTCCCTGAGCGTCGGTACCTGCGCATCCAGCAGCAATCTGTTCACCACCATATGGCCGCTCGCCTTAAAAATCTGCATTCACAGCGCGACTAGTTAAATGGTGATTCAGGAAAATCCCCAGACACTCGAATTACCAAAAGAAACGGCGAGACAGCCTCCACTGTCTGATCGCATTGGTTGTAGAAATCCTTGAGGGCTAACGCTAGCCTGCGCACGGCGCCCTGCTGTCCAGAGGCCGCAAACTGAGCTGTTGACGCTCCTCCAGGGAGAAAGTTCTTAAGAAGAGCAGCAAAATCCGTGGCTGGACGCAGCATCTGTAGAACTGATGCGAGGTAACAGGTATTTCCCAAGTTGACAATACCCTGCAAACGAAGAGAGTGCGCATTGCGGTCGTCGGGCCTCAAAACTCCTATTTGAAGGCCGACAGTGGGCATAAAACTTCATACTTTATTGGCTAGATACCAAGGGGGTTGCCTTATGTGCCCTAGAGCTATGAGGAGCTTTGACTTGCATTAGGCAATGGCTCTAGTTTCTTCTCCCTCAACAACGCCGCCTGCTGCGCTGGGGTTAGGTCTTCAACAAACACTGTCTTCTCAGGCTGGGTCTGCACATCTACCTTTTCCTCAGCAGTGCCCATTAGCATGATCTTGAGGCAACCTGCAGCCGCCAAGGCTTTAAGGTCTGCATCGGCCTTTATAGTTTTGCCTTTGCACAAAAGCTTTTGGCGCTCTATTGGCACCCCTGTTAGAGTGCTGCAAACGCACACACACGAATGGACGGTAGATTCCAACCTCGAATTGCGAGATAGCCTCCACATATCGGTAATTCCCCAGCGTAAATAGGAGGAAGCTCGCATCACGAGACTGGGGTCTTCACTGTAGCGACTCTTGCTGCTGCTTTGTCTATGATGAACGGCGACGCTAAGGACAGTTCGCACTCAGGTACAGAAAATGCACTCTGAGGATGCGACTTCTTGTCGCGGGTGATTCTATTGCTGCACTATACTGAGGAGAGTTGATACTGTGTATGGACAGGGGTGCCTGGCGTACTAGAGCTGTGCTTGGAAAACCTCGAGGGCCTCGTTCGGATCAATCTGAACACTGAAAGACTTAGTTCCCCACTTGACGGCAGCTTGCACCTCCATGGTCGTCATTTTGCTGAGAGAAAAGCAGGGGCCTGGAGGGGGTGGGGGGAAGACCGGTCTTACAGGGCGCACAAATTAAATGGATTCGAGTATCCAGGAGGATAACAGCCCCCAAATGGCATTAGATGTGCAAAAATACAAAGAAACGATTCATGAAGACCCTTGCTAGAAGGTTAACGCTGTCATGTGGGACCTGAACAGCTCTTGCCAAAACAAAGCCACCAAGTACCAGTTAAAGCCTCCTCCCCGCATAGAAAGCTCAGTTTTCCAGCTAATAAGAGCATATATCAGCTTTGTTCCTTTTAAGCGTCTCTTACAAATAATGGGTCATGCAGTTGTTCCCCCCAAACTAGGCCACTGCATGACCGTAGTCGTCCGTCCAGAGGGTAGCGTTATTCCCGTTAGTCAGAGGCCCCGTCCCCACAAGCATGTACCGGTATGCTTATTTAAAATTTTCCAAAACTCAGAACAACCCCGATGTGAACCTGCATTAGCGTTAAGTGGCTGCTTGTAAGTTTTCAACACGCATTAGGGCGCATGTGAAATAGTCCATAGGCAAACAACTTGCCACAAACATTAGCTGGTTCGGAACGAATCAAGCACCACAGCAGCCATGAATTGGGTCTTAATATCTGGATATGGGTCGAGAATTCCGGGACTTTAAAGCCACGGGACTTTTGCAAGATCTCTATGCTTTCATGTGGGATCCCGAACAGTTAAAGTTAATCCCTTGTTGCACCGATGTTCAAAAATTCGGCTGCCGATGGGTACTCATAAGACAGTTTCACAGTGAAGAAGACATCTTACACGGCGTTGCTTGTACTGCGGAAAAGTTCTACGTGCTCCTCGCCCTACCCTTTCATGCTGCCCTTTTAATGAAAGGCGGGCTGTGTTTTATCCACTACAAATACCTATTAGCATCAAGGTAATAGGCAAGGCTTTTTGTTCCACCTCTGCATAGCAAAGAAAGTTGGCAAGTCGAGTTATTCCTTAACTGGCTAGCAGTAACTGATACTTGCAAAGGTGCACGTAGCCAATTAGGTGAGGAGAGCTATGGGCTCAGCGAAAAGTGCGCACCTTAGGGCAGCATATGCAAAAATCGAACAGAAATGCGCTAATGCACTTCTGTTAGATATTTGCATATCCTGCCTCAATTTTTTCCTTGGTCTGCATAGAGGACCAGATTCTGAAGAGCTGCTGTGTATTCTACCCCACTTTCACATCGTAGAACCACACCTTAGCCCTGATATGAAGCGCGCCAATTTGTGGAAAATGAAGGGAACTATATTCTTGTAGGTTATATTTGGAGACATGGTTTTATCCATAGGAACCATATAGCTATCTAAAGACCGATGCAGTAAGAGATATGTGCGCCTCTTTTTACGAATACAGTGAGCATGAGTGCTTAAGCAAAGTAAATGCCTAGGGATAGCTTCACACGTGAAACGTATTTATCTAAGCAATGCCGTGAATGGGGGAAGATACGGTGGCAGCTAAGGTGAGTCAAAGCAGGTATTGATGGCCCTAACGAGCTTCATACTTGATGCACTTTACTATCCTGGAAATATGCAGTAACACATCATAGTTTTATCTGTAGGGACCTATGATCTTTGCGACGCCGTCAAATAACGCGACGCATTGACACCGGCATGCCCGAGATTGACTCTTCTCGGTGTGTGAGGAGAGTTGCGTCAAGTGAGGACTGCCAGCAAGGGTTACCCAGTGTACAGATTTCAGCAAGCATTTAATTTGGATACTACAGGAATCGTGGTAGCTCCCCTGAATAATGGAGACACTCAGGTTACCTGTGGCAGTTGAGGAACTGGAACCAAAGGAGAAAACTCCCCGAGTGGAAGAGAGATGAGTTCAAGAGAGGGTACTCGCCTTAAGCATGAGGGTGACGAAGAGGCATAATAAGTATACATGTGAAGGAAAAAGTATTTGTTACTCTGCAGTGGACATGACAGAGCCCTTTGGGAATTAGGGTGCTCACGGATACACAGCCCTCATACGTATTTGTTGCAATTCTAAGATATTTAAGCTAAAAATGCAAGGTTTCCCAGAAACGGGGTGGGGATTAACCCGATGGAAGCGAGTAATGAAGAGAGGAGTACTTGGTTTTGTCCAATGGTCGGTCGGCAGAGCACCTCTTCAAATGGAATTTTTGGCCGGGCGAGTGTCAGCAAAAGAAGCGATATACACTGAAAAACCGATAGCTGATCAAAAATGAGAATAACTTACTTTAGCAGCTTTAAGAGATATGGAGAGTTTGGAATATGCAAGGCCGACTACCAACTGACTCACGGTGATGCCCCGGGATTTCACCAGTCTACATACACTTGAGTTCCAGCAAAATCATTCACTGCATAAATATAGCCCACCTCATGACTTCCACTACTGTTTTGCTTAGTGTAGGGTAGAACAACGCATGTCGAGGAGTGCGTGTCGGGCTGCGTGGCGCTCCAAGGTCCAGCGTCGCCCAGCGCCGTCGCCCGCTTACCTATCTCTACCCATCTCTCACCCCTGTACAGCCAGCTGGTTGTGCAGGGCAGTGAAATAATGGCGTAAAGCCTCTATTATCCACTCAATTCCGGTGTGGCTTGCATTTTGTAATCCTACTACTCAGTCCAACAGACCTCCAACAATGACACGTCTTGGCGTATGTGCACTCGCTGTGGCCCTGGCTACAGGCCACTCTCTGGCTGTTCCTGTGCCCTCTATCATCGAGCGTGCAATGCATCGCTTTGAGGAGTCTCAGGCTCTGCAGGACACTAAAATTCCCATCGAGCCTGCGAGCAGCACCCCTACTGACACTTTTGACAACCCTCCAGACACCCCTGAGCAGGTGCTTGACAGTTTTCTGAAGGCTGTGCAGAAGCAGTTGCAAATGCAAGAAACTCTCATCAGGCAGCTAGCACACGATGTCTTGAATTACTTGAAAGAGCTACAACAATCCTGGGAAAATGCTCAATCCTCCGACTTCGGCAGGGTCACCGAGATGATGGAAATGATCAGCGGCCGCATGAAGACTGCCCAAAAAGAAGCCGATAATCTGGCTAGCAAAACGAAAACCGAGGCAGAGATTCGCAGTGAAACTATCAAATTTCTAAACGAGGTGCGTGTACAGGATGCAGTTGTCGACGCTTTGTGGGCATCTCTGCGTGGCATTCAAACTAGCACGTGGATGGCTGGTGCCGATGGTACTGGTGAGAAGGACTTATTTTCGATTGCGAATCAAGCTGCAGAGGACTTTCTTAGCCGTATGTATCAAAACCTTCATGCTGCTGGCATGGCTGAGGAGGACATTGTCAAGTTTCTGCCGAAGGGGGGGCTTGAGAGAGACCAAAATCGTAAACGGGATATGCAGGCCTACGGCCATGGACATGGGTATGGCCATGGATATGGCCATGGATATGGTCATGGATATGGCCATGGGTATGGCCATTGGTATGGACACCGTTATCCAGGATACGGTTATGGCTACCCAGGATACGGCTATGGCTACCCAGGATACGGCTATGGCTACCCGGGATACGGCTATGGGTATCCAGGGTACGGCTACAATTATCCAGGCCGTAGCTATCCAGGATACGGTTACGGTTGGCGTCGTCTCCTACCGACTGATGTGCCGACTCCGTTGATGACCCCTTTCCCCTAAATCGACGCAGAAAACCTGCTGGGCACCATCCCAATAATGGAAGAGAGTCAAACCAAGCCTGTTACAGGGCAAGGCTACACAATCCCTCTGGATAATACAACCTAATTCAAAGATAATGCAGCAAGCAGCTGGACCGGTACAGTCACTACTGAGACCTCTCACATTGTCAAAAAGTGCAGGCTGCAGCCTTCATTTAGTTTCGGGAATGGTATAGGTGTTTCCGTGCGGCTTGCATTGCCAGAATTATGCTGATTAGCGTTTAGTGCTGAAAGGAACTGGTAGCATCTAGTGTTTCTTTTGCTAGTCATTGTTTGCCAAACAACTTAATTTGCAGTGGAACGATGCCGATACTCGGCCTGGTTGTGTGTCTTCATGTGCAGGAAGCCTTTCTAAGTAACAGTGAAACCTATGAAACTTCGTAAAACAGCTCTATTGATCCAAAGTTTGAGCCGTTTCTGCCTGAAGCAAGGTATTCCTGGTAGGTGGAAATGATTTCAAACAGTATATGACGAATACCTGTCAATATGCATCCGCAGGGGCCAATCATAGTCTGCGGGAGTGCACTTTAATTATACTCATATTCCTTCCAAGGAAGACTTTCTATCACAGAGCGAAAACATGACCCATCATCTGTATCGTTTAGTATTGACAAAATACTCCTTTACATAGTATTCTCGAAATGACACAGGATATATTGGACTGGCCCCCCAGTGCAAACTTTTTCTTCAAAAGGGTGCTTCGGCGCCAGCTTCACATCAAACTAAAGTCATGAAACCGTATTTGTTGTATTATTCAAGCATGAAGTTAGCTAAACAGCATGTCTAGAAGTCCATAAGACATGAAGGCTATAAAACGAAATGCAGTTCGGAGAGGCCTTTTCATCTTGAAGACTATCCACTTTGTCCTCTGCATATGGGTGCTGGCGTCTGAAAACGGGGCATCCTGAATTATACTGCCTAAATATTGCAGAGGTCTTTTTGGCCACCAAGGAGCACGGGGGAGCATCTTTAAGAATGGCTTCATGAACGCCACTTATCGTTATACTTTGGGGGACACATTAAAAATGCAGGCCTTCAGCTCTTCTTCAACTGGGGCGATTTAGTCACAAATATATGTGCTCCAGCATCAGTAAAAAAACCTTTTTCAGGCTGTATAAGCTACATACTTCTATTGGCTTGCCAACTAGAAACAAGGGTGAGCCAGCCTCGCTAGCGCGCAGACTTCAAAGTGAACTAATCGTGCATGGCCTCTTACCAACAAAGCAGGCATTGTACCTGCTCGCATAGGCTGCGGCACTGAAGGAGTCTACCTCTAGAGGATCTAGCATATAAAGCTGGTACTTATTTCAAAAAAATGAAAATGTGGTCCTAGCGCAGGGATAGGTTTTAGTTTTACAACCCTTATTGGTACGTGTCCTGCAACCCTCTGAGACGGGGTAACTGCAGTTTTATTGCAGTGAGTGCGCCTTGAGGGACTAATTCAAGCACCTTTAAGAGAATAGCACCATACCAAGTTAGCGTTACCAAATTTGCCAAGGATCTGCTGGGGTCCGACCTGCTTGACTACTCAGGAGTGTGTTGTGAATGCTGCCAGCGGTGCAGACCGGGGACTCAAGGGCGCCGCTGTTATACCCGTCGACCTCTGGAGACATACTTTATCATGTCTTAGCGAAGCTGCTGCTACTTGCTAGGGCTAAAGGAAGCTGAATTATTTCAATCACTCTGATGAATCTTGCTTGGCTTGTCATTTCAGGATTACACGGTTACGATACTTGGTGCTCGAATTAAGTTAATGGCTTTGGCAAAAAATTGAAATCATGCTATAAGTCACAATGCATCCATTTATATGGATAAAGGATTTTATCCTTAGTTACAGGGGTTGCTGTGTTCTCTGCACAAGTTTCGACATCTGTCAGCGAAGTAAGCATTAGTAGGGACCACCTTTCCAGTAAGTGAAGATTGACTCCCAACCACTGAGACAGTACTTCGGTCTACCTCCGTGCTGCATCGCCCTTAGAACCGTAGTAAACTCAACTAATTTGGCCACTTATGGAGGTGGGAATAAGCAAGTGCCGGAAAGCAGTGCACAGCGGCACTATGGAATCACAGGCCATCTGCGCGTCTCGAAATATTGGTAGAATGAATTTTGGTAGGCATATTAATTGCTATCACTTCAAGGAAATTGGCTAGTTCTTCAGCAACATTTTTGAATGCACCTCATGCCACCCCATTAGGGTATGCCAGCTTTCGGAATTTATGGCTATCCCCAAGAATTCGAAAGCGCTCGGGTTCTGTATTGGGGAGCCGATCACCAAAGATCTGCGTGACATGTAACGAGGCAACCCTTCCACGGGCTTAGATACTGTTTACTGCTAAGATCTGGAAATGTAAAAATCTGGTAGGTACGAATGCGTTTGTGTGCGTTTCCGAACTTGTCACTAGCTGTGTTACACTGGATGATTGCGAAAAAATTAATTTTAAAACAAATAACCTCTTTTTAGAGACTTTCCCTGTTCTAGAACCTTTATATGTACCAAAAGACAGGGACAGTTGCTCTGCTGGTGGGGGATTCTAGATCTCGCTGCTGCGGGCTCCAACTTCCCATTCCTGAATACTTCTTTGCCTTTTTCCTACTACCAAGAAAAGAGATCATTATTGGGTGAAAGTATATGTAGCTTGAAGAGGGGTCGACGAAGCATCTGGTTCAGAACTTCAAGCGATGCGAACCTAAACCCGCGACCTGCTCGACGCCGCTCAGCGCGCCGTCGCCGTGGTGCCCTATCTTCGTTGTCCCCCTTCTTCCCCGAATCTCAGGCGTCTAAGGGATGCTAAGAGTCCCTTTGATCATTATCTACGCACCACAAATGCTTTTGAGAGATCATTCTGGATAGTTCTTCATATTTCAGTAGCGTTTCTGCCTCCCATCGCCAATGACGCGCCTTAGCCTCTGTGCTCTTGCAGTGGCCCTTGCCGCCGGGCAGTCACTGGCGGAGCCCATGGGCCAGCCGATGCAACGCTTCCGTGAAATGGGTGCCACTCAAGGGGAGGAACAGACTGAAACTTACACCATGGAAGATACTACTACCCCTAAAACGACTTCCTATGCTGGCAGCCCTCAACAGCTGCTCTCTCAGTTGCCCAAGCTCTTGGAGAAACAGCTGCAGCTCCAAGACACACTGATGAACAAAATAATGAAGGATGTTGACGAATACCTAAAGGAGACTACCGCGGCTTTCCACTGGGGTGAAACCCAATCCACCGCCGTTAACAAGGTGAACGAGATGATGGAGATGATCAGCAACCGCATGAATACCGCCATTGACGGCGCCAACGAGCTGATGGCGAATAGCGAGACTCTAGATACTGAGACCCTCCGCCGTGCCACCAGCAAATTCATGAAGGAAGTGCGCGTGCAGGACGTGGTTATCGATGCATTGTGGGCCTCTCTTCGTGGCGTACAGACTAGTGCCTGGATGACAACCACCGCGGGAGTTGAGCAGAAGGATACTACTACTGTTGCCAACCGTTCTGCTGAGGAGTTTATCACGCGCATGTATCACAACCTCCGCGCTGCTGGTATTTCTGAGGAAGACATTGTCAAGTTCGTCCCTAAAATGGAGGTTGAGACCATGCAGGCCCGTAACATGGGCAAGAAAGGCCGTGGCTACGGCTATGCATACGGATACCCAGTTTACGGTTGGAGCTACCCCTCTTACGGTTACGGATGGGGCTACCCCTCTTACGGTTACGGTTGGGGCTACCCCTCTTACGGTTACGGTTGGGGCTACCCCTACTACAGCCACGGTTGGGGCTACCCCTACTCCCGCCACTACTGGCGTCGTCTTCGCCCCACCAGTTGCCCAGACTGCCCTCCTACTCCAGCCACAAACATGATGTCTCCCTTGACAACTCCCTTCCGCAGCATGGGGGAGGAAACCATGATGGGCACCACCCCCATGACGCCTCAGGGCTACAGCACCATGAATCAGGGGTACAGCGCCATGATGGGCCAGGGATACCCCAATCCTATGATGGAAGGCATGAACTACCCCATGGACACCATGGCTAGCGGCATGAACACCGCGGGAACTATGGGAACCCCCTACAACACAATGATGCCTCTCACCTACACCGGTTCCTACCGGAGCCTCTTCCCGACCCCCGAGACGTTAGGGGTTGCTCCAGAGCCTATGCTTGCTGGGTAAGTCCTATTTGACATTTGAGTAGTAATTTACTATGAAAGCCGGTCATGAACACTTGTTGTTGCACTCTCCCGATAGCCAAAACACCTGATGCTCAGCGATCCATGTATGTTTGTTGTGACAATGCAAATACAGGATGCCCTACTAGAAGATTACAGATCGAGGGTCAAGAACCTGTCTGAGGCTACAGCCATGTCCGCATGCCCTCTTCTAGTTTTGCGTTTCTTGCACATGATGGGCTCTCCCTATGCACTGTTAAAGTGCAACTTTTACAGCATTCGAAGGGCCCTTTTGAAAGGCATATCCAACTCAACATTTTTTTACAAAGTTCTCTCAGGCAGGGCATCGTGGTGCGCAATCATGAGCAGCACAGTGCTTGACAGAGAGTGGACAGAAAGTAGACAGTTACGCTGAGCCACAGTGCAGCTTTATGCAATAGATCATATAGGGGTTTAAATATAATGCATGCACATTGCGGTTTGGTTGAAGCCAGTAGGGGACTACCCGTAGACACATTGGGTCGCACCAGATCTAGTGGTGACCAGGTTTCCATCGAGAGAACTTATGGTACAGAATGAGGCTGCATCAAAAAATTGCCTTCTCTACACCTTGTACAATCCAGGTTGACGGCTGTAGCCTTCCCTCTACCTGGGGCAGCTGACGAAAGCGCATCCAGCTAGCCACATGTAAGCATGCCCTATGATCCTTCCTATTAAGCTTAACCCTAATCGTGGTGGAAACTAAGTGTTTGTTCAGTATAAGCAGCAGACAGCCTCTCATATTAGGTAATTCACACATGATTTCAGCATACGGCGTAGATAATCCCAAATGAGGAATATCTGAGTTACCGGGGCTTCTTCAGTGCATTTAGCCCGATATACAAGAAAAACCCTGTGAGACGTCAGGAAATGCTAGGGGTGATTGAAAGGGATTTCTATCAATGTGCAAACAGACCACTGGGCGCGTGCGATCTACGCTAAAAGAACGGCAGCTTCGACTCCCCTTGTATGTTACTACAGCAGTGCATTATTTTCCTCATATTATGTGACTTATTGGCTTATATTTCTATAAAAAACAATATGACTGGGCAGAATGACCGAGACTATACTAGTGCTACACTCTCAAGCCTATTAACTGGTTTGGCCTCCATCCAAGTGCCGAAATAAGAAATACTTAAAACCTTGATAGATCTTCTCATTTATAAGCTTATCTAATAAGGAATGTCTCGGTTTTCCCCAGATGGAGCCACCAGTTCATGTCAGTTTCCCACCGAAATAAAAGTGAACCTGCCCGTGCATATTGCAACCGCTCGAGGACACCCCCTGCCTTTGGGCATCAGAAAGCTAGTGAAATCAATCTGATTACACAACAAAGCATAATATAAAGCGTGCTAAAAAATACACTGCCAAGGCAGTTGCCAATGAAGGGTGGTTAGGCGAGACAGCAAGGAGCGCGACTAGGCGAAGCGCGCCGTGCCGCTCGTGCCCTTCCCTCCCTTCCCCCGGCTTCCCGCAAACAAGGCGACCTCAAAGAGCCTATAGAGTGCCCACTTCGCTTTTAAAAGCACGCACAAATTCTTTAGCAAGTGTGCATCATCTACGTTCGTCGTCTACTTGCTCATCGTTACTCATTTCATTGCCGTCTTTGTTGCGCCACACCAATGACTCGCCTTTCTCTCTGTGCGCTCGCCGTGGCGCTCGCCGCTGGCCACACCCTGGCATTACCACCCACGGATCATTCTGTCCACCACTTCGAGGAGATGGGAACTTACCAGGATAGTGAGCACGGTGATGGCGATGACATCGCAATCAGCACCAGCACCAGCACCAGCACCAGCACCTCTACTGCCGCTCCCGAGACCCCAGAAACTTGGCTTGAAAACTTTACCAAGGCCGTACAAAGGCAGCTGCAGCTCCAGGAGACCCTCCTGAAGCAGATTTTGAGTGACATAGAGAACTTCTTCAAACAAACATTCAACCTGGGGACGGACAGTCAATCCTCCTCGCTCCAGAGGCTCAACGTGATGATGGAGATGATCAGCAACCGTATGAACACTGCACTTGACAACACCAACGAACTCATGCATAGCGGGTCTGTAGACCAGGAAACCCTCCGGCATGCTGCTAGCAAATTCGTCAAAGAGGTACGTTTGCAGGATGTTGTTGTCGACGCCCTTTGGGCATCCCTTCGCGGAGTGCAGACCAGCGCGTGGGTTTCCGGCTCAACTGCTGCTGACGAAAAGGATGCATATACAGCTGCAAACTACGCTGCCGAGGAGCTTCTCAGCCGCATGTATCACAACCTTCGCACCGCCGGCATGGCTGAGGAGGACATTGCAAAGTTCGTGCCGAAGCCTGACTACACCCAGACCAATGAACAGGTCCGCAATATGGGCAAGATGGGCCGCAGCTATGGCTATGGATATGGCTATGGACGTGTTGCTGGCTATGGTTATGGCTACCCTTCCAGCTTTGCATATTCATACCCTTCATACTACGGATATTCATACCCATACAGCTATGGATACTCATACCCCGCATATAGGTATGGATATTCATACCCATCATACAGCTATGGCTATCACCACCCGTACAGCTACGGCTACTCTTATCCCTATTCCTACGGCTATTACCCCACTTATCGTAGCTGGAGCTATCCATATTACTCCCGCTACTACTGGAGGCACCTGAGCGAAGCTCAACCCAACCCTCCCATTCCCCGCCCAGGCTGCCCACCTGCTGGTAACCCTGGTGTGATCGCTCCGACTCCTGTGATGCCTCCATTTCGCACCCTTGGCAACGAACCCATGGCACCCTCGATGAATCAAGGCTACAACCCCCCAATGATGGACACTCCCATGCCTCCTGAGTATCCCCCCACCATGGAGGGTATGGGGTACCCCTTTGAAACCATGACTCACAACGCGGCACCCACCATGGAGAACCCGTACGAGAGTGGTATCCTAAGCGGCCACCGCAACCTTGCCCCCAGCATCGATATGATGGGATACATGCCTGAACCCTCTATGCAAGCTTATCCTCTGGGCCCTGGCCCTACTCCACCGTGAGCTACATTAAGGCTTGGCAATTTAGATGAAAATTCGTGTACGATGGATTTAATCCTGTATTCCTTCGGTTGCAGGTCGTTCTGCTGATTGTGTGTCTGCACTGCAGAATGCCTTTCTAAGCGAAGCTGGGCGCGAAACGAGTCTCCCCACCTGTATATTTCACCATATATTTATTCCCTTAGCCCTCGTCCCCCTGCTGCATTCATTGCGAATGGTGCACTCTTTTCGTCAGTAGGGAACAAACGCTCGAGCCCCTCGCAGATTGTGAGGCTGTACTCTTCGTTTTCTAATACTTCGAGCGACTCGTCGTAGCGTGGGCTGGCAAAACTTAGTTAGTAAATCCCTATGACGTTTTAAGTTGCTTGGACATTAGGCCTTGTTTTTTAGCAGGCCTCATATGGTTAGTACGCCATGCCGGTGCTGCGTTCTCTCTAGTGAGCCACAGGGTGTTTAGTCCTTGTGCAGCTGCTGGTTTCTAATGGAGACTTATCACCGCATCCACAATAGTGCAAAATCGCCTTGGCTTTTACACCACGGTAAACACATGTGGCTCCGACGTGTGCGTCGTGTGTTTGCTTCTTAGGTACTACCTATAGTCAGCACTGTTTAGCCGTATGTCTGTTAAATTACTGCAGATAGTGTAATTCTGAGGTACCTGTGTTCCTGAGCAATTCGGTTTAGCCTAATGTTGTGCACGCTTCACAAGCAGGATCTGCTTTTCTTTTTTAGGGCATTTGCTTGTCCTTTACAGTTAGATGTTGGAGGAGCCTTGTTTCTGTCAGGGTCATTTGCAGAAATGAATCTGATTAACGATACATAGAAATGCGTAAAGGCGTATTCGGGGGTCGAATGCGCAGCCTTCCTCGCAATGTGCAGAATTAATATATTTCTGCTTGGCTGTTTAATTTTAAAGTGATTCGATCCAATCTTTTTGTTGCTGTAGACCTTTACTTTTCTTCAGGTGGTGCTCGTTGGGCTGGTTATTACACAAATTCTGGGACGCTTGAGTATTAGCCGTATTTCTGTGAATCCAGTGAACGGAGTTCTTTAGCTGGTGAAGGTCCAACACATTGCAGCTGTGGACGATTTGCGTCAAAGAGGGATCGGCATTCACTGGGCGATGCCCTTCGTGTTCGTTTCTGCTGAAAGAGAGTTTAAGTGGATGCTGTCCGTTTATGGGTTTATAGGGTTTCTCTAGCTCTAGTATGCTGAAAAAGCAAGCATTATGAATGTAGCCAATTCCTAGATCGTACTGGGTACCCCTGCATCCGTGAGCAACCAAGAGATGATGAAAATAAGTGGCGAGTGCAATTTAACAGAGTACCCTATGGCGATTGTGAAAAAATTTTGCGTGACCAAGTGGAGTTTCAGTCTCTGCACCTTCAATTGCCGGAAGCACGAGAATTCCGGCTTCTTATTCGTGCACTTTTGGCGCTGTCTAAACGTGTTGAAACACAAATGTGTATTTTCTCGGATGTAGTAGCTTACATTGAAGCGAATCAGCTTAGGCGGGAACGATTTTGCGCCGTTAGTTGTGGCATGCTTATGCTGTGCGTCCTCACCCATAACCTTCGCCTGCTTCGGGCATGCCAATACAAAAAATGGATGCGCAAGCAAGGAACGCATGGCATTAACGACAGAATTACGATCAACACAGCAAAATAAAGAGTAAGAACTAATGTTTTGTAATTATTACTGTGCTCCCATATGGAACTCAAGCCTAGATTGCAGAATGAGCTGGTGGTTCATTCATATGATCGCCGAAGTCACGGTGCACGAAGACGTTCTGTCTCTAGAAGAGCAGGCTGGGTTGGCTAGTTCGGGCAGTATCAATATAGGTGATGTAACTCAGGCACGATAAGAAGTATTCTTATCGGGGAATCATGCAGGAACAGTGTTGTTTTCATTTTTGCTGGACATGCATTAGGGCGTTTTGGGTTTCTGCCATAGCCAGGTCTTTTAGATCATGTACCATCCTGTGGAAACCCATTCCGAAACTATGAAACCATGATTGTTGGCTATTTTCGCACATAATGTCTTTAACTTAGAGGAAGGAAGATGATAAAGCTCACCATACGGCTGATCAGACCTCTACATAGCATCTTAACTCTACAGAACGCCGAAACCAAATAGAGCTGCCAGTCTTTGCTTTGGTTCCTTGTCCAAGGTCAGCGCTAGAACGGATTAGCTATGCCCAGATAGAATTTTGAATGGAATTTCAGGTGTGCTTCTTGTGTTTCCTTCGTATGGAGATAGCGAGACGAGCGGTGCGCGAGCGCCGCCATGTCGCACCGCGCGGCAATGGCGCGCAGCGCTCCCGCTGTCTCCCCCTCAGGTGGCCATATTCCTTCCACCAATGGAATAAAAATAGTTCTATGTAATGTGTCCATATGGTTGCCTTAGTTTCCCACATAATTTTTCGTGTAGCCTTTGTGGTTTTCGAAGTTCATCTTACGACACACCGGTCGACAATACACCATAGGAAGAGCACAAGGCTTCGCGGGAAGGATGACGCGTGCAGCTGCTCTGGCTGGGTTTATTGCCCTGGCCGCTGGCCAGGGCCTTGCTTTGCCCATGGAGACCACTCCGCACATGGAATGGGAAGAAGCAGCAGCTGAGGCTCAGCGCGCCGCTGCTGCATCAGTGGATGAGGCAATCAGCGGCATGACAACTCAGGGCATGAGCATCCCAATGTCCCGCATGATGAGCACCACTGAGACAACCCCCCAACAGGGTGCTGTCCAGGAGGCAGTTTTGGATGCGATTATGAAGGAGGTTCAGACGATTATCAAAAACACTCTGACAGTTCCCGGCTGGGACACCATGGAATCAGCCACAGATACAGTCAAGCAGATAGTTGAGAAAGTAAGGGAGCGACTCACCACGAGCATGAATGAGACTGAGACTGGCCGAGCCACTATGAACACGGCTACAGCCCTCCGGGGAGTAACCAACGATTTCTTGAAAGAGATAATGGTGCAAGAGGCCGTCATTGAGACCCTCTGGGCAGTGTTGCGTGATTCACAGAATCGTCCTTGGATTACAAACGAGCAGCAGGCCATGCACGTGGCCGCAACTCAGGCTGTCCATGGTTTCCTCTCCCGCATGCAAGAAAGGCTTCGTTCCACTGGTTTCACTGAGGAGGAAATAACCAAAATGCTCCCTCAATCCAAGACATGCGCTAAAGAGGGTCCCACCGGCATGTTTGATACTTGCCCCGAGCGCAACCTGGGCAGGAAGGGCTCTGGTGGCTATGGATACGGTTATGCCTACCCCGCGTACGTTGGCACCGCCTACCCCGCGTACTACAGCCGCGCGTATCCTGCCTACTATGGGTACTCCCACCCATATGCCTATGACTGGGGCTACCCATTACACGGCGCTGTTTGGGGGCCCTCTTACGCTTACGGATGGAGGTCTCCCTATTACGCGAGATCATATGGCTGGCTCCGCCGCCTAGGCGAGAATACAACTCCTGAATCTTCGATGCCTCCCATGGGACCCCCGATGACTCCCGAGATGGGCGCTCCCATGACCCCTGAGGAAGCCGGCATTTCTCCCATGAATACTAAACCAGAAATGTCTCCCATGAGCACCGCTGAGGCGATGACAGGACGGTCCCTGTACCACAACTGGGGCCACGGCTACGGTTATGGCTACTGGGGCCCCCACTACCATGGTTGGTACGGAAGCAGCTACCCATACTACGGCCACCGATACAGTCCCTGGGCATGGGGTTCCCCCTACTTCTGGCGTCGTCTGGAAGTTCCTGACCTCTCCCCTGCAAAAACTTACTCTTCGACTGGTCCATCTCCAAAAATCACTGAGAACACCCAGTCCAACAGCTCCACTGGCACCACCACCTTTCGACGCGTAGGAGAGACCCGCATGCCCCAAGGCCAAAACACGTACTACATGCAGACCAGCGGGACTCCCGTGTACACCGAGACAACTGGTATGGACACCACCCCAACCGGCTGGGAAACGACCTACAACTAATCTTTTCCCAGGAACTTTAAGATAAACATGAAGACCCTATTCAAAACAACTAGCTGGAACACCACAGCAAGTCGGCTCGTCGAAAGCGCGCAGCTGCATACGAATATTATTTGTATGACCCACTTGCCCCTATACAACGTACATTCCGACCAACGGCCGCCATGCGGTGGTCGTTTTTAACCGAATTCCACGATTCGTTTCTAATGAGAAGACCAGACAACTAAGGAATTGAGCGCTCAGCCCACGCACAGCTGTCAACCCTATCCCGCCTCGTAGATGCACCCCGAAACGTACTCTTTCGCCGATGGCAGATTAAGTGGGCTCCTTGAAGCCCTAGTCACTAACACCTCACATTAATAGTCACTGACACTCCACGTTTGTTGGCACGTCGATGCCAGCTTGTGCAAAAAAGCGCAACTCGCTAATCTACGCTCACCAAATTGCTTCCAGTTACTGCTATCCGTTTACAACATGCCCGACTGTTTAGGAGTACAATAAGGTTCTATGGTCTACTCAGCAAGTAAGGACTGGGTCTCTGGCTAAGAAAGAAGCGAAGAGACAGCTGAACGGTTCCTCTAGGGAAAAGCCAGGCATGCTTTTGAAGGAAAAATTGCTATGGTCGGTCATGGGCCGCCCGTCGGTTGTGCCTCTGTTGAACAACAAACTGCTTGATGAGATTGGCCCTTGTTTTGTAGGTTTGTGTTAAGGTCTTATCCATCATGAAGCCTCATACAATGGTTTTCCCCATACAGTACAAAATGTGGTTTGAAAATACTTTTACATCCTCTGGCTGAGCCGTTTAGCCACAGTTCGCAGATGGCAGTACACCTTCCCCTGGGGCTTCCCTAGAATAAGGGAGCAGATGGAGTGTCTCGCCAGCTTTATACAGTCGAATGAACCCAATATGTGTATTTTTCTCCCCGCGATAACTATGCGTGTCCTGGTGGCGTTTTCTATGGCGAACCGGGTCGAGCCATTCCGCCCCGTCAGACGGCCGATACACCTGCAGCGAGAGGAGGCAAGCCAAGAGACACATGAACAGCGTGCTCCTACGACTAGGATAAAAGCGCAGGGAGGCAAAATAAGGAAGAATGGTATGCGAGGGGGGGCATTCAGACACAGAGAGCGGCGAACTCACACTGACACAAATATTCAAAAAGAGGCTCAGAATGTATGTAAAGTATGAAAAAATGATTACTGACGAAGTGAAGCCCCCACAGAATATAGCTGGTCCCGCGGGTACGGAGCTTTGGTCTGTCAATTGCTATGCCTATTGAGCCCTCCTTTTTATCTACTTCTGTCACTCATAATCATTGCTCCTGACAATCCTTCCCTATCGTACCGTCCGTTTTCTGCCTCTCCCCCACCCCACACGCCCCTCTGCATCCCTGTCCCTGTTCCTTCCCTTCCAGCTGCCTGCCGCTTACCGTGAGAAGTGAGCGCCTGTCAGCCTCTTCACATCTTGGATTTCGAAAGTCTCGAGGTACATATCGTCGAGCCTTAGCAGTGCCACGCAGTCTCTCTGCTCAAATCCCAGCAGAAAGGCCCTAACGTAATCAGCTCCCTTTCCCAATCGCGCATTGTCGTCCCCCAGCTGCAACTTTGCTGCTACTGCTCCTGCAGCAGCAGCAGCACCGGTAGGAGGGGGGGCAGCCCTCAACTCCACGCACCGCCTCTTCACGTTCATACGAACCTGAAGCCTCATGTGCATAATTAGCGGTCTGATGAGGTCAACCCACTGCTGACGCAGAGGCGTGTACCTGTGCTGCGGCACGGGCAGGCGTCTTATAAACGGCTGTTCCTGCTGATCTTTCCCTTTTGCTGCTGCACGCTTGACGCCCTTCTTGCGATCAGCAGAGATCGCCCCTCCTCTAGTGGCTGGTAACCGTGCTGAAGCCTCTTCAGCAGACCCCTCTGCAACCTCCATGGCCGCCTCTTCTCCGGCGTCTTCTGCGTCTTCTTCGTCTGTCGCAGCGTCCAGATCTGCAACCTCCACGCGACGCAGTAGCTCTGAAGCCTCTTGCTCCATTTCCGCACTACCTGCATGCGTGAGCGATCCCGCTGCCACTGTTGCGGGGTCTTGGACCGCCCCTCCCCCCTCATAAGGCATCACCTCAGCTTTGCGGGGGCCCTTGCGACGGCGCACGGCTTTAAATCCATCCGCATCCATAGTGGGATACGTGGAACGCAGAACAAGACTTGGTTCGAGGCTTCCGGAGAGGGTGCGACGTGGGAAGGCGGCGTGAAAAATGAGGAAAACGGCGCGAACGTCCTCCCTCAGAGTGACAGTGCTGCCGACAAAGGAGGAAGGATCGCTCCCCGAAATTGAAAGCCGCCTCTGACCCTTCGAACAAGCGGAATCACGCAAGCAGCCTCCTCCGACGCTCCTTTCCTTGCTACCTACGCTTTCGTTTCCCAGTAAATGTACCGAAAAACTCCAGCCCACGCAAGGCTTGCCCAGACGCGCAGCGGCGCAGCAACAAAGAAAACGAAAAAGAAGAAAAAAACAAAAGTCTACCTAAAATAGCCCCCTTTCAGGCACTAACTGCCCTGCGCAAGGGCCCCACAGAAGAAGCCAACAAAACCCGTTAGGGGCCTCTGTGCTCATCGAGAACCACCTTCACCGGAAGTCCAACCTGCAAAAACAACTAAACCAGCGATGTCTCAATAATGGGGACCTCAGGGCCTCATTTGTACTTTTTCATAAGAATACAAGTCTTAGAGGGCTGCTCCCCTATGCATGGCTCCGTTTTTTCCTCCTCTTGACAGCTGCCAAGATGCCCCAGTTCGTGTTTGCGGCTATCCTTTTCGCGCGATTTTATTAAAGAGCAAACAAAAATGATGCGTATGATCCCGTGAGAAATGCCTGTTTCTCCCTCCCCTGCCGTTTCCCTGCTCCGTGAACGGCTAAGTCACTCCTGGTTGCCCACCAACCCCACCCTTTCCCCGTCCTGCTTATCGGGAAGCTTGAGGGGAGTCCCTATTCTGGGAGCCTCCCTGAGGCGGCAGGCGCAACTGCGGCTTCTGTCCACCGTATTTGTAAGATGTAGAGCCAGGTTTGCACCAAGAAGCCAGGCTGCCAGCTGCTGCATGCCAGAGGCCTCCACCGGACGGTTCGCTGAGGTAGAGGATGCAGTTACGCGGCTCGTAGAACTGCATCGGAGGGGAATGTATGGATCCAAGGGCCCCTGGCGACGCTTGCTGCAGCGGATAAGTCGAAACTCTGGCACGCTTGCTGCAGGAGGAGAAGACCTCGTGCTGTCTGTTGTTTCTGCTGTTGCTGCTGCTTTCCGTGCAACTGGGTGCCCCTTTTCGGACGCCTGCGTTCTAGCGACGCATCTGTTGCAGCTTCTGGCGACACCATGCTCCGCAGCAGCAGTGCCCTCAGCCCTGGCAGCCAACGGAATATCTCCTCGCAGCCGCTTGCTGCTGTTGCTGCAGCTGCAGCCGCTCATCTGCCTTAGTGCAGATAGGCAGCACCTGTTCGAGCAGAGGAGACGCGCTCTTCTTCCCATTCTGCCGCAGTGCGTCCAAGCTCTTGAGGACGCGGCAACGGCTGCAGCAGCGCCAGACGTCACCCTAGCGGAACCACAACCGCCTCCAGAATCCTTCTCAAGCCTTGTGCGCTCTGATCCGTTTGCCGTCATCGAGTTGCTTCTCGAGCCGCTGCAGGCGTGTCAAGAAAGCGACGACATGGCAAGCCACCTACAGACGACCGTGCGGGCTGCAGGGGCCTTGCAGCCTTTCCAGGAGGGGGATCGGGAGGTCGAGGCAGCGCTCATCTGCACACGGTTACTCCTGAGGCACACGGCGCAATGCGAACGGCTAGCAGAAGAGAAGGGCGGATGCTGCAGCGGCGCAAGCGGCCTCCAAAGCAACGTCGTCGCGGACTGGTCCGAGATGTGCTTACGTGCAGTTCTTCGCGCTCCGCTGCATTTGTTGTCTGCAACTCAAATCGAGGTGGTCTTTGGGGCTTTAAGAGACTTGAAGGAGGTTTTAACGAGATTGAAGGCCAAGGTTAGCGCTGCAGAGTTTCTTACAGAGGGGGTAAGAACACACGGACTGCTGCCCCTCCTTGCAGCCGCTGAGGCGCATGCGCGGGCAGAAGCGACGCGAAGAGCTCCTCTGTTGGAGCCAAAGGAGGTCCTTCACGTTGTGGCTGCGGTGAGCAGACTTTTACACTGTGCGCGCACTTTTGAGTGCAGCCGTCTTGCTGTAGCGGAAGCGTGCTGCAGACGGCAATAGGCCACCATCTGCGTCTTTCCCCAGTTGCGAACAGGTGCTCGGAGTGCGGCGTAGGCAGGCAGCAGCAGTACCAGTTTTGGGGTGAAGCGAAAAGGCGCGTCAGACGCTTAGCGACCTCAGCAGCCAGGTTCTCTTCCATGCCGGCACGGCGTGAAGCATGTACACCTGCTGAATGGCAGTGCCACGGAGTGCCTACCCTACACTTGACACAGTGGTGGTTGCCTCTGTTCGTGTTGCTGCTGTGTCGCTGCAGTCTTTGCGGTACAACCTCTGTGAAGCCTCTGGAAGTTCATGGCTCGCAACCGTTTTTAAGCGCGCTTGCAATCTGAAGGGTAAGCTGGGAATTGGGTCGAAACAGCCGTTTTCCGTGAAGAACTTCTCTGACCGGCTGAGGGCAGTTTCACTGGCTGCCTGGCAGTGCACATGCAGTGGGTGGTGTTTGTAACTTTCTCAGATTCGTTTTCGCAAGAAGAGCGCGCAATGCTGCAAACGGCAGCGCAGCTTATTCTTGAGAAGTCGAAAAACGGAGGGGCTGGACGCGTTTGGCCTCACATCTGGTCTCCTCCCACAAGGCTGACTCCACATGGCTGTGGAATTGTGCCAGTGGTGGCTGGTGCGGAAACGTCGTGGGACAGAGAAGAGCTGCAGAGGGTGTTGAAGATCGTCTTAAGGCTGAGACTGTTTGAAGTACCTCCGAGAGCGAACATTTCTTGGGCTTCTGGCCGCTCGCACCGAATCCTTGCGGTGTGATGGTGGTAGTCTCTAATTTTTACAAGGACCCCTGCTTTTATTGCAACTTGTAAAATCGATTGAGACTGCCTGGGGCCGCTTGCACAGGTGGCTGGTTCCCAGAATTGCAGCAGCTCTCCTTAGCAGTCTGGGTGAGTTCGATTAAGGCACGCACTTCGCAGAGTACCTACGTCGCAGTGGAATTGTTAACTGAGACTTCTGACCGCCAGTTGCAGCACTAGATTGCTCGTTGGGAGAAGAGCATCCTCATGCTGTACAACACAGCCATAGTTATCGCATTGGCCAAAATGCTGGTGCACCAGAAAATACCTCTGCAAAGCATCAACGTTAAAATTCTTACAAGGAGTGAGTCATTCATGTTTCTGGTCTTGTCAACCTCAGACTGCTGCATTAGGGCATCCAGGCGGCCTGTATACAAAAGGCTGCACTGAAAATTTGGGCTGGCTGACACAGATTAAGCTCCACCTACTGTTTTGACTGAGAAGCCAGTCGCATGGAGACTCGGGTTGCCCTAGTCGTTAGTTGGTTGTAAGATGCTTTTCACTTCGTGCTGGCTTCCACTGCGAGAGGCATGTAGGATGACCGTCGCGACAGGGGAAGAGCAGGAATTGCTTAATTGGTCCCAGGAGGCCTCTGTGGCTCAATTCGAAGGATAAGTCGAAGCAGAAGGCTCCAAACTCCATATGGTACTTTTTGAGATGCGGGAGGCTATTGTGAAGTTCAGAAGGAACACGGGCAGCTCGCAAAATAACATCACAAGTGGCGGCTTCAGCAGGTCACCCGAGAGTCTTAAAGTGCACAGTTTACGCAGAGAACGAGCACTACTAAGCAGTTGAAAAAGAGCACTTCAGACCAAAAAAGCCTAGCAGTGGAATATGCAGAAAACTGCGGAAGGTGTTGCGGGGGCTGGCAAGCGCGTTTCTTTATTGCGGTGTAACCGGATCTCCATATGAGACGGTCGGTTCCCTGTTCATAGCTACAACAAACGAACAAGCGCGCGCCCCACACTGCCTGCCTTTCAGAAACGTGGGATACACCCAAGGCAGTAACCTCGTGAATGATATCCTCCACCTGCTCGTAGCGTAAGGGTGCATCACCGAGGGCAGGCTTGCTGCAGATATAGTGCTGACGGAGGCTATAATGCCCACTGGGTTGATGGCCAGGACCGGTGGAGAGTTCAAAAAATGCCACAGGGCTCGAGGCAGAACTGGCATTGCAGCCTTGAGGGATAAACACGAAGTGTTACCCTCTACTGGCTGTCCTTGCTATTTTCCCCTATTCGCCCATCCTGCATGCACGCTGCACGCCACTTTAATTCGAATACACCGTGGCTTCTGGTTCCCTATTCTTATTTCGCAAGCATACGCCAAAAAAGTGATCGCTCTCGGCTCAAGTGTAATTGCAATCTGCAGCTAAAATGCGTGTACTTCTCGATTATCCTAGAGAGGTGTACAACATATGATGCCGGGAAATGCAACCTAACCCCTTTTGATTGCACGATGACTTTATGGGGATCGTGTGTGACAAGAGTTTCGCTTTGCAAGACGGGTCCATTTGAGGTGCTCTCCATTGTGTCTCATTGCAGAGTTCAGCTTTAAGTGTCACATGCACCAAGGAAAGTCGTTGGCTTTCATGAGCAGCCGAAGGCTTCTTGCCTGCACCCTTCTGGTGCTCCCTAGTGAAGATTAGGGTGCCCCCCAAGACTCTGCACGCTGCACAGTCCCTGTAGTTTGTTTCGGGGTAACGCTGGCCCTTGCCTTTCTGACTTAGTGCAGGTATGGGGGAAGCCAAAGCGCGAAGTCTTAGCAGCAAAAATCAGCCGATCAAATGTGGTGGTGGAGCTGTTTGAGCGACAAATCTTTGGCTCAGCTTGCTTCTCAGTACTGATGTGCACTTCACCCTTCAGAAGCGGCGAAACACCTGGTTTAACGGCACGTAGACTCGTTCACATCTGTGGATTTGAGCCCTAAGCTCTACCCTACAGCTGAGGATGCGACAGGGAGGGCTGCCTGAACGCAGCCCTGAAGCGCGTTTCGGAGACAGGGAAAGAAGTACCCGAAAGCAGGGAATACGAGAGCGCTGCCATATGCGAGGCCTGCGGCAAGCAGATAAACGAATCATGAAAAAGGATTCCTCTACAAAGCAACAGATTTCAGTGGACCAAACTACTATTGGAAAGGCAGGAACGGATTCATTCAGTCCAATGGTTGTAGCCGTGAGATTTCCACGAATTAACAGTAGGTGGCATGTGCATGCTTTTTCCAAAATGAACGGTACATGCGAAAAGCCTTAAAAAATGGATCTTCCTCTGCAGTGGCAGAAGTTACATGAGGGCTTTTCCAGTGATTTGTTGCGTTTTCAGGTGAGACTAGGGTAGCCGGCAAAGATGGTACATCCTTGCTGGTACTGGAGCTGCTCCAGGAGCGCGCGCAGCTCAGAGCTCTGGGTATCACTAAGTAGGTGGAGCAGGGCAGCCGACTGCCAGATGAAGAGGGCAGCATTTTGTGCTTTGCAGGCAGCAAAGCCAGGCTCGTACGCCACGCTGCAGCGCACTCTGTTATTTCTCGCCTGAGGTAGAATATCGCACAGCGTGTCCCATGCCCGAGGCGTCTTCAAGGAGAAGGCTCGAATGTAGCCTGTTTCTTAACAGTGCACCTGCCTGGAATCTCACTGAGGCTTCTATAGAGGCGACGACGAGCGTTCCCAAAGGCGTTACAGCAGGAGCCTCGGTTTCTGGCTGGCTGAAGGGTGCACTGCAGTCCGAGAGTCTTAGGGCTTCTTCCTACTGGTGTTGCTTTGTGGTGAAACAACCAAGAAGCCATCAGCAGCTTTTTCCACCGCGTTCTTCAGTTATAACGTGTGCTAGCTGGCCAGTGAAGCTATAACCCTTCTGGTCTGCTCCCTTGCATTTGTGCTTTCTTTTTGCTGTGGGAAAGTTCCTGCATCCGTATGTATCTTTCATACGACACTTGCGGGTAATGCCGCAGAACTGGATCTCTCAGCGAATGGCTCCGCAGCGCTTATGCGCCTGTTGCGTGTTCTGCAACGCATGACGAGAACGTGGTCGATCTGCTGAGGAGCCCAGAGCCTAGGACATTCGACTGTATGTTCATGGATTTGAGTATACAGGTAACCTCACAGGTGGCATTTCTGCATTCGTCCTGATCTTTTCGCTGCTGCACACAGTATGTCAAATAATTTACAGTACTGACGCGGGACGACATCGCTATGAGGAAGAGCACGAGGTACTGCTGTAGTCTTAGGTTGCATTACTACCGTCAATCCAAGAAGTTTCACCCTGAAGGGCCCGTCCAAGTTTGCTTGACTGTATACAACAACTCATGCTGTCTGGAACAAATGCAACCTAGAGGAACAGACGTGATCCTGAGGGGCCCCACGGGAATCCCGACGGTAGCAACAGAAGCACTGCCTGGATGTAGAGGGGGTTTCATTGGACGCTCAAAAGTGCCGAGAGCCACAGAACCTCATCCACATGCCTTCACACAGGCCTTTTTGAAGCTGCACATACGTTGCCACGGCGATCTGTCTTCGAAGGGTCGGTCTGTACTGCAGGTGAAGCAGTCCAAGGGGGGGGGAAATTCGTCGTGATCAGCTTTGTTTCAAGTAGTTTAGATGCGGTATTGCTGTCGTTGATGGGTGAAAACTACTTGGAAAAGGGATGGAAATCTCAGTTGGACAGCTGGTGGAGATCCGTAAAAGTCTTAAGCAAGCCTTGCCACACGCATTTGCAGAAGCTCTAGTTCATCGTCGTGGGAAGCCTTTTTAGCATCCGTGATCTTACTGCCAGAAATGCTGCATGGATTTCTGTGGAAGCTGTTTTTTTTGCGGCAGCTAAAAATGCTCGCTTGTACTGTAGTGGAGGCAGAACATCAAAATGCACTTTTGGCGCTACACACAACTCTACTGTCTTCCTTTTAATCCTAAAAGTGCTTCACATAAGTGCAGTCAAGGTTCATATCTGCCCACCGAGAGGGGCAATCTGGGAAAATCCGCAAGGTGCGCTGTTTCGGTATCGACCTTTTCTGATCCTTTTTGCATTGCTGTCCAGCGTCTACTTTTTCTTCGAGTCCTTCGTTCACTCCTGATGATCTCTCTATTCCTGCATGTCTCCTTGAGGTCTTTGCACGTAGGTTTGGCCGAGCGCATTTCTTTACCGCTCTGCCTGCTGGTTTTCTGCTCTCCGTTGGTGAACCAGACACAGTGGCTCCAGGTTTTTCCTTTCCGCTGGCATTCAGTAAACTGAGATTATAAACGTGATGGAGATGCGAGCATGGGAAAGGAGTACAAAATTGATGTGCGGAGCTTACAAAAACAAAGTAGAACTCACTCACACACAATTCCTTTGCTCCATATTGCGAATCATGCGCAGAAAGCTACGTTGCACCGTGTAAAGGTCAAAAAGGGGCTGAGTTTCTCAGCGAATCGTATAGACTAAAACATAAGCCCTGTGCTCAACTCTGCGCCATGGGCACTATACTCTAACATTTCACAGCCTGATACTTCAAAACTGCAGACCTTAGGCGTTCATTCTTTTACGTTGCCCCATTTAGTGACTCTGCAGAGGCGCTTAAGACTTCATAGCCTTGTCAATACAGAGGCAGCATGTGGATCCCGATGCGAAGCGGAGGCAAAGCAAGTAGATGGGTCTTTGTGTTTGTTTCCAGCCTGTTTTTGCTTTCTTCTGTACTTAAGGAATGCCGCTGTTTACGATGCAGTACGACGGCTCTTAATGATGTGCCTAGTTACCTTTTTGCAGGATGATAGAGGCAAGAGTATCACCGAAGCAGGAATGCAGGGCTGTTTCTCCGTCAGCAGGTTGAAGCCTATGCTCCTCATTTGCCTTATGTTGTAGCGGACTTGGCTATAGTTAGGCACTTCTACTACACTACTTTTGGTCAGCCAAAAAGTAGTACAGAGTTCACTATTAGGCTTGTCTGTTCGTATATCTTACTTATGGCACTGCATTGTTGGCTGGCTATAACAAGGATCATTGTTGCATGTGTTTCGGCTAGGTGCTTTGTGCAACCAGTTGTGCAGGCTCCGAGAGTTTAGTGAAGCAGCTACGCGCAGTCTGGCTGTCCTGCTCCCATCACGCAGCCAACTCTGAGGGGCGCGGGCAGTGGAAGGAGGCAATTTGTTTGAAAGAACACCTCATAACTTTCTATTACGTTTCCACTGAGAAGGAATCAACTAATTCCTTACAAAGACCTTTTGATGCAGCGTTAGAGTGTGCCTTCCTGAGGAGCGAAGGAAGTAGCTTCATACAACAAAACCAAAACCGAACGCTTGCGTATACGCACGATGCCATTTTTGTCATGTTAACTGCACAAGAGCACCCAACATTGCATTTTAGAGCTTTTGTATATTTTGTTGGTGAATGGGTATTTCGTTTCTTTCGGTCTCTGCTACTTTTTCGTGGCAGCTCCTTCCTGATGGCTGCTGCATAGGCATACATATCAACTAGCAATGCACATAACTGTACCTTCATCTGCTGTTCACAGAAGGGCAATACCTAAACTGCAAGTTAGCCTTTGTGCGATTCATACTCATTCTCGTCTATTGAATCCTAGAGAGAGGCCTTGTAAGCCTGTTACTTTGTGCAGTCCCTCAACAAACTACGTATTCGTTTTATCGTATAACCGCTGTCTGCAGCATTATCAAGGAGAAAAGGTAAAATCCCTGTGATCATTCTGATTACACGGTTTTGACTCACGTCCTTCTGGGCTTTAGCGCTCCGCTGTACATCATGGTTACAAATCTAACAAATGAAATTCATGTTTTGTTCTATGGCATCCCGCTCGAAGCTGCTCGGACACCGTAGGGGACTCTAGGGTCAAACCAATTTGTTTTTTTGTAGCACAGAAGGTCTAAACTATATGTAGAGTGTATATGATGCTTGATTTCACTCAAATGTGGCAATCCTTCGAAAATATGCCGAGCAGCCCTTCGCTCAAGAAGTCGAAGCCCTGCAGTGTTCGCTCGGGCTGCATCGGAGTGTGGTCGCTGCAAAGGCAAATTGCATATATAGGGCCCCCTTTCATGTGTTTTCTGTGTCGACTGCAATTTTTTGTCTATGTTAGTCCTCTTCATGAAAATCGATCGAGACAAAGGGCTGCATTTACCCCTTCCCCTCCCACAGGGGTCCGAATGCTGCTGCGCGGCTGCGGTTAGTCGTTTCTTCTTTCCGCCTGATTTTCCTCCCTAATTTTTAGCCTTTTCGTCATTAAATGCTGGCGCGCAGCCTCCGCGCTTCCGGTCCCTTGCACTTCTTGGGTCGTACTCACGTCCGTAGGCGGCAGAGTCGGGTGCTATCGGGTGCTTCAGCAGGAAGGGCTCCCACCGCTGGAGGGTCCTCTCTTTGCAAAGTGTGCATCCGCAGAGAGAGGCAGCTCACCTGTGCACAGCAAGACGGCTCCTGTCGGGGATTATCAGGCTGAGGCAAGCGCCAGCGACTCCAATATTTCAGCCATACAGCGCAGGGCCTCTGGTTCAAAAGCGCCTCTACGGAGAGCAGCGCGGCTGCCACGACACGAACAACGCCGGCAGCATCAGCAACTTGCAGCAGGAAAGGCGAGAACGGCGTGCGTGGCTCTACCCGATGCAGCAGCAGGAGCAGCAGGACCACTACCAACACCAGCCCTTGGACCTCCTACACGCCTCTCTGCAGAGCGACCCTCATTTCCGGAGGCTGGAGGGAGAGGAGCGGCTCCAACTTCGGCAGCAGCAACTGCCTCATGCATCAAATCCACCCAAGCCTTTGGCTGCTGAGAGAAAAAAAATGAGGGCCGCTAGTACGGGGGCTTTCCCCACCATGGGATCTCCTGCAGGTATTCATTCCGCGAATTCACCTTTGGCAGAAAATGCACTGAACACTTCTGTCGGCGATCCTGCAGGCCTCGCTAGCGTGCTGCGTGCTGCTGTACCGGCATATGGCAAGGCGCAGTGCCAGCTCGAGGTGAGTCAAGAGATCTGCAGCGACCTCAGGAGACAGGCGGATCTGGTGAAAAGACTCGAACTGTTTCTCAAGGGATACAAAAAGACGCTGAAAGGTAGGCCTTACGATCCTAGCGTTAGCGGAGATGGGTTGAGGAGGCCGACAGCAGGCGGAGGCTCAGAGAAGCGGAGGCCTTTTTACTAACCCTTCGCTCGGTGGCTTGTGGTTTTCGTGCTGCAGAGCTAGAATCCATCCACAGAGCAGTCAACACTGCTGTGACAGACTTCTTCAGGGGCACACCCTACGAAGCTGTACTTCTCCCCCTGATGCACTACTGCGTAAGCCTTGTGGAATGCAGGATCTCGAGTGCAAGAGCCCTAGAAACCACACAGACGGGACGGCAGCATCGCGCAACAGGGCACTTTTTTCACCAAGTGGAGAGTCTCGTGGCATTCAGGGAAGTGGATGGCCCCTGTGGCATCTTGTGCCTTTTGTGCTCAGGAATGCATGCGGAAAACACAAGCGGACTTGGTATGATTTTTCCGACTGCAGCCACACTACCAGCAGCGGCAGTGTAGAGCTAAAAGCGCAGGCTGCCGTAAGCGCCTTTTGCGCATACCAATGAGGACGTTGAACTCCCAACTTTCGCTTTGATGCTTCTAACGTTCAGGGACCAGCCATCGAAAATGCGGTATTTGGAGGCGCAGAGATGCTGCGGAGAACCCGAAGAGCAGAGGTACTGGCCTGTAAATGCAGGATAAGGGCTGTTTTAGTGTTGTCGCATAAAGGGATTTGTGGCGTGCGTGCTTCATGCCAAGGGAACTTACGCCTTGGGGATTGCGGCTGTGCGGTTTGGTGCTGCAGGCGCTGCTTAATCAGAGAGACTCAGCTGCCCGAGAGGTTTCCCATTACACGAAGGTGGGTAGGCGAAGTAGCGCTTTGGGGTGTTTGCTCAAGCATGAGAGGGAGTTTTGCTGAAGTCATGCAGTCAGAGGTGTGCGTGCTGCCTGCAGAAACTGACTTTCTTGAAGGGGCAGCCTGCAGCTACACACAAGGCAAAAGTTCGCCTCCTGAGGGTAAGGAAGGTCAGGGAATAAAAGGCTTAACTATTGGCGTCAGTGTCTCTTGCGGAACGGTCCGTAGTGCTCGGTTTTTGCGGTTGTATGCGCTGTTGCGCTTCAGAATGAGCAAAAGCTCTCCAAAGCTCTAACCGATTTCTACGAGAAAGAACAAATAGTAAAGTGGGTGTGGGGTTCTCTACGCTTGGGGGGGGGGGGGAGACTTTATAAGTTCCTTTTGGGTATATTTCTTAGCCCGTGAAGATGGCGGCAGCCAAAGTCGGCGTTGCGAAGAGGGTCTGCAATTGCTACCTTAAGCCGCGGGGGAGGGCAAGGGTACTTTCTGCGCTGTTTCCATAGGAACCAAGTCGATGGCTTTTTGGCTAATCGCTTTATGTTGGCGGCATCTCTCGTCAGCAAGGTGTGCTCAGTTTGGAAACTTTAAGGTTAAAGGGGCTCGCATGCGTGTGGTGTAAAGGGGAGGTGGTTTATTTGCCACGAGGCGCACACAGGGTTTTGCCACAGCTCCTGTTGCCTCTAGCAGGATCGCCGTAGGTTTGGTGGCAACTGTGTGTGTATGTATGAGTGTGTGTGTTTGTGGGGAGGGGTGGGGGGTGGGGGGGTTAACTGCTGTTGCCTCAATGCGGAGTGCACCTGAAAACGCAAAAATAAGCGGTGCCTCGTGCATGCATTGCGTGTCTCTGTGATGGCTACAGTCGCTCTCGGTTTCAGCGGACATGGTGGATTCTCTGTCGCCTTTTCTAGGGCCCCTTATGCGCTGTCTTCAAAGTATCAGCACTCTGTACTTCGTGAAGCGGCACCGAGCAGCCAGCTCGGGTAATGACAAACCCTTATTCAATGTGTCGTTGATTCTGCTAATAGGTGGTTGCAGCAGCTGCTGCTAGGGATTTATTGCTGCTGCCGCGTTTGGCAAGCGCCTTCGCTGCTCCTGGTATTGTGCTGCCGCTGTGCAGGCCTGCAAAAAGCCGGATCGAGCGCTCCACTGCTTTCTTCTTCCTGCTCTTTACACGATGAGGAGGTTTTTTCAGGGGTCCCTTTGCAGGGTCGAGGGATTTCGTGGCAACGTTGTAATACTGCCAGCGATTCGGGTAGCGACACGCTGGAAGCAGCAGGAGCAGCAGCCGCAAAAGCGAAGAGCCCGCGAGACTGGGAAGGGAACTCCTTGCTGCTGTCATTGGATTCGGTGCCGCAATCGGGGATGCGGCAGCCGCAGCAAGATCAGCAGCCGCGGCAGCCGCAGCAAGATCAGCAGCCGCGGCAGCCGCAGGGGGGCCCCCTCGGGAGTTTTGAAAGGGCCTCCTCTTCACCAGACTTCCCGGGGGTGTATAGCGCGCGCAGGCGGGGTAGCTTTTCGCGGGGTTGGCTGAGGGCCCCCCTCGCTTCCCTGTCCAAGATGGCGGCGAGCTTCAAGAAAACGAACACTCAGCAGGAGCAGCTGCAGCAGCAAGGCCATAGAGACATGCAGTCTTGGGGGGGCAGCAGGATGCCTTCAAGCGCCCAACAGTGGGGGCCCCCCAAGCAGCTTCCTGGGAGGTACAGATCTCATCCCCCGGATCTTCTTAGTGACTCGCCTGTTCTCCCCCCACAGCAGCGAATTCTGCGGCAACAGAGCCCGGAAAGCAACAGACAACGCGTGAGAGAAAACGCGGGTGTATCGCCGTCTTCATCCTTTGTAGGCCGTGCGGCTGCTCGCATGTTCTCAGCCTTCAGACACAAGGAATCCAACGACCTTGAGCAACCACCGCTCGACACGCGGAGGGCCTCATCTTGTCTTTTCTCTGTAGAGGAAGGGGATGGCGACTATCAGCAGGTAGGAGCTCCAGCAGTGCAGCAGGTGCAGCAAGGTTCATTGCTGCTCCAGCAACAGCTACACCAGCAGAATCAGCTATTGCAAGACAGTCTCCGACGCCGTTCATTTACAGAAAGCCATCAAGGAGGTGACGGCGAGGCTGCCTCTGTTGCAACGGGGGGAGCGTTCCCAGGGGCCTCCCGATGGAGCGCTTCCCAGAGTGCAGGGTTCCCTCCTGCCCATTCCACATCTACGGAGGAGGCCCCTGTTTTCCCCGAATCACGGCAGCAGGGAGAAGCCTTCAATGGGGGCCCCTCACCTAGCGGCAGTACACCGAACCCCTTCGCGGCTTCCCAGCGTCCCTCAGGGCAAGAAAGGGCATCCACGAGCGCTGCAAAGGAATCTCAGCAAGCGGCAGCGGTAGGATCTTCTGCAACAAGGGGGCAGTGCCATCATCAGGAGCGCTCGTGGAGAGGGCTCCAGCTGTGGGATAGCGACGAAGGCTCCAGTGAGCCTCGCTCGCGACGAGTTGAGGGGCCTCGTGAAGCTCCTAATGCCGGCCTGCAGTATCCCTCTGCATCTGCAAGGGAAGCAGTGCCAGTTGCTGCAACGGACTGCGATGGCGTGGATACCACTGAGCCGTCGACGTCTTTCTCTTTCTACGAATGCATGCAGCACCAACCAGGGAACGCAGCCCGCCCGGCTTCTCCTGGTGGGGGATCAAACACGGGGGGGAGGAGCCACTAACACCCTGAAAATTATAGCTGCAACGCTAGTGATACCTGCTGGGCCCACCTCTTGACTAAGGCCACCCCCCCGCGCTTTTTAAACTGATGGGCTCCTGTAAGCCTCCTACTCGCCCTTCTTGCGTTTTGCTCTGGGGGGAGTCGAATTGTTTGTGTGGCACCCTCCCCTTTAGAAGTTCCCGAGTAGGGTTTCGCTTCAACGAGGGATTTCCTTCCCCCCGACTCCCTCTTTTCCCCCGCTTTCACGACTATTGCGTGACTGATGATTGACGGGCGTGCAGCGTCTAGCGCTATGCAGTTCATATCGGTGAAACAGACTCCGAGGCTCTCTCTTGTGCAGCTCAATACTTGGCCGCCTAGCTCTTCACACAAGAGTCCTAGAGGGCAACTCTCTTCAGTCCCATGCGTAGCTTGCTACCTAGCCGCAGGGTGGATTGCTAGCCCACTATCAATGCCTGCACTGCATACCCAGTCAGCTCGCTGCCCCTTCGCTGTCTTCCCTGCAGGCCTGTCGATAGTTCTGCTGTGCTCGTGCAGGGCAGGGGGGGAGGGGGGAGGGGGCTGGCTGTAGCTTGCCCAATGGCGTTGCTCCGAAGGTTTGAGCCTCCGAAAGCGGGTTTGGGCAATAGGAGGGGTTGTACATGTCTATATACTCGCTTTTTTTTTGCCCGTGAATCGGGGAGGATCGGTTTGCCGTGCCCCTCATGGCGAGGCCCACTACCTTGCGAGGGGGAGGGGCCTTTCAGGGATCCTCAAGCGGATTCAGTAGTATACATGTATATACATAGTGGCGGATTGTGCACCGCTGAAGCAAACCCTTTGGGGTTTGCGTTTAAGGAAGGAATACATGGATGTAGTGTATGGACACAAGTCATTATGGTCTCAAAAATAGTGGAGCCTGCAAAAACAGCAGGACCTCCGTCCGTTCACTCCGAAATCGGCCTAGGAAGACAATCAGCCTCGGATGTGCCCCCCCCTCCCCCTTCCCTCTTGCTGTGCTCATTGACGTTGCTCCCGCAAATACGCGGAGCCTGCTGCTCCTTTTGCGCGTGTGGCTGCGGATGGCGTGGGGAGGGACGAACTCGGAATGCGAAGAAAACTGCGTTGCCTAGAAATACGCCGCAAGGGGACCCTCCCTCTTTCTGCCCAGAGAGGATCCGCCGTGCGCGAGGTGTGGAGAGAAAGACACAAAGAAGAGATATTTTTAGCCTAGAGGTAGGGGGGGAGGCGGAGTGAGAAGAGCAGCGACCCCCAACAGAGAAGGAAGGAGTAATGCCTCTCCCCTCCCGCCTCCCTTCCTTCCCCGCTTTCGCCCACAGGATGCAGCTTGGCAGCCCTCCTCTGCATGCATGCACCGGCTCGCAAGCTACCACGACGAGAATACACTGACCACCACACCTCAGGAGCAGCAAGGCAGAGGCCTGTCCGCAAAGCGTCACTCAGATCTTTCACTAGAGACAACTGCACGAAATCCGCTGCTGCGCAGACACCTCGTGTGCTCCAGCGGGATAGGGTGGCAGCAGCACCTGCGGAAGTATTCGCTGTCTGATGCGAACCAGCGCGAAGAAGAGGGCATGCATGCCACATCATCCTATGTTTAGCTGCCCCAAGGCAAGTGCTCCCAGCGCTGCTATGTCTGCAACGTCCAAACCTTTATTAGACATGCCAGCAGCTCCCTGGGGAGGCCCTACCCACGGGAAGGCGTCCAAGCGTTGCTGCTGCTGTTGCAGCAACAGGTGTTGCTGCAGCTGCTGCTGCAACAGCTGTTGCTGCTGCAAATGGTGCTGCTGCTGCAAATGGTGCTGCTGCTGCAGCTGCAAATGGTGCTCCTGTGAAAGAAGCCGCGACGTCAGCGGCTGCTGGGGCGGCAGCAGGGAACTCTGCTGCTGCTGCTGCTGCTGCTGCTGCTGCTGCTCGAGGAGGCCTCGTAGGAGCAGCAACAGCTCTGAACAGATGCCATCTATCGAGACGCCACAAGTGCCTTCTGGCTGCTGTGAAAGGCTCCCAGAGGTACCCTTGTTCATCGACAATGTCGGGGGGAGTTCTTGCACTGCGGGAGATGTTGCAACTCTGTGTTGCGCTGCTTGTGCTACCCCACATCTGGCGGCGCCCCCCCTAGGAGAGAGCGTTGACTTTTGCTGCAACCAATGCGGCACCTGAGGTGTCTGCGCAACTAGAGGCTGCTGCCCAAAGGTGCCTTCGAGGCATTCAAGAGGGCCCCCTTGCGCACAGAGCGAAGGAAAGGCCACAGGGGATGGCTGCGGCTGCTGCAGTCGCTGCTGCGAACGCTTCAGCTGTTGTTGCACTGCGTGATGCATTACTTCCCGAATGCGGGAGCCTCCATTACCTGCAGGTGCCCCCTTCAGCGTCCCTCCACCTGAAAACAATGGCACAAACACATACATACACATACATACATACATACATGTACATACATACACATATACATACATATACATATACATACATACACATACATACACATATTCACCCTTAGCGCACCCCTACGGTGATTCTACTGGCGATTCGCTCGTACAGGAGGTCAGGCGAACGCTTAAGGGCAAAATACATACCGACTGCGGCAGATGCGCGGCTGCCTCGAAGCGGAAAGGGGCCAGAATGATGTGCAGCACCTTGCTGCTGCTTTTGCTTGTGCTGCTGTGGCTTCTTTGCCTTCTGCTGCGTGGGGGGGCCCTCTTCTTCCCCCCTGACAGCAACACTGGGGAGCTCTGTTTCCTCTGCGTTGCCGTCCAGCGCAGCGACGCCTTCCGCTTGCTCCTGCTGCTGCTGCTGCCTGAGCAGCTGTGCAGCCACCTCCTGCTTCTGCGGAGGCTGCTGGTGCTGGGCTTTCTGCTGTCTCGCCTTGCCTTGCTGCCTAGCCCCCACAGGCTGCCGGGGGGGAGGCAGCAGCAGCTGCTGCTGCTGTCGCATTTCAGAGACACCGAGGCGCCCCTCCTCCTGTGCGTGAGCAGCATCTCTCTGCATGCCTTCAAGGAGCGGCGAGGCTGTGTGAGACTGCATCCCCTCCTTTAGGCCCTCTACCAGTGGCGTTGTTGGATCGCTCAACACTCGCAGCTCCTTCTCGCTGTGGGCGTAAGGGCAGCGGGAGCCGTAGAGACACCCACGGCCTCCTTGCTCTCGAGCAAACCTGATGTCGAAATGCGCATCACCCCACACCTTGACAGCGTGCCGCTGCCGTGCTTTTTCGCTGGGGAACTGCGCGAACTGCAAGGGATCGTTGCACTCTATGGAAGCACTGGCTGGAAGGCTTTTTTCGGCGATTAAGGGAGATCTTTTCGAGGCTTCATGGGAGTCACCTGCAGACGCGAGTTCTGTACTCGGCAAAGTGGCACGTCAAGCGCAGCTCTTCATCTGAATGCGCGTAGCGGCACGCCTTGTTCTTGCTGCATGCATGCAGACTGGACGCAGGCGGAGAAGAGTAATACGCCCGAAGCCTCCGTGCAAAAGCCTGCGAGCTTCTGCCCTGCCGACTTAGCGCGGCTGCAGAACGCGTTCTTATCTAGCTCTCGTCGCTGCAGCCTCTTCCCCCTTCTCCCCGCCACTGCGTGCGGTCCCGCTCTAGAGGGGTGGGTGAGCGACTGACCATCCTTTTCCCGCAAGCACGGCAGCACAAATCTTCGTTTTCCGCAGGTCAGGTAGAGCCCTCAGCTCCTGCTCGGAGTGCGCGTAGGGGCAGCTGCTGCCGCGTACGCAACCTCGCGTTTGATTATCCATGCAGAGCTTCGTTTTGATCATCTGCGTTGCAACAATGGCGCTCCCTGGATGCGACGCACCACCCCCTTTGACAGGCGGTCGGCGGCGGCTTTGCCCAGGACTGCTGCGAACAGACTCTGGAGAAGAACGGAGGGCCTGACCAAAGGCAATAGACTGACTGCTGCTCGTACTATAGCCTCCCTCTCCTAGAGGCTGTGCCGCTGCCACGGAGGAAGAAGACGGCGCTGTGGCGGGTGTACTGACAGCCGGCGAGTGCTGCTGGAGCTTGGGCACCCCCACCAGGCGGGGGCCCCCCCGTGAGCTTCTGGTGACACCCGAAGTCGCGCAACTCCCGACAAAGCGCGGGGGTGTGGCAAAGGAGAGGGTGGGAGTCACGGGGGCGACAGAGAGAGAGGCTTCTGAACACGTTGGACTCTGGTCTGTCGCTTGAGAGGGGGTGACCTTCCCGTGCCCTTGCAGGGGGACGGAGAAGGAAGGAGCTGCCGCCATGTTGTAAGCAGACAAAGGAGTGCCTGTAGAGCGCGAAGGAAGGCAAAGCAGGCAACACAGAGCGAGCAGCTGTTGGAGCGGAGCTACACACATGCATTAGCGAATGTGCTTACCAGGGATACGCCTGATACTGCTTTGCCGGCCCACGTTTCGCAGAAAGAGCCAGTGGAGGGAGCATTCTGTAAAGGTAGACAGGGGGGTGCACGGGGTCGGGCAGAGAAAGACGTGCGCCTATGGGTATGGGAGGTGGGTTTTGCGTGGAATTTACGCTTCAATATGGGCAAAACGACAAACACGCGTTTTCGAATCCTGAAGAAAGGAAGGGGCCACTGGGAAGGGCAAAGCGCTTCTTGTTCGGTGCGCTTCGTCGGTGTTTGCGGGATGTCAGGGAGAATAGTCGGTTTTAATTCAAGAGGAGTTGCCGCAACAGTGTCCTTTGGGGATTCATGGGATACAAAAACTACAAAGAGGACGAATATTTCAACAATACAAATGTTCAGTCTCAGGTATTTATGTGTAGGGTTCAGGGTGTTTGTTGCGTTTAACGCCTAGCAGCCCAATGCAGACCAGTGGTCTGAGGAAGTAAAGGTAAAAACACGTAAAGATTCAGCTGTTTTATAGGATAGATAAGCACCAAAAAGAAACAAAACGGCAAATGTTTCGAGCAAGAAACCCTAAACCTTACACCCAAAAACCCGTTTCTCACCAGCGAGGGAGTGGGATCACCACCACCGCCGCGAGCACGTCATAAGCGCAGAACCCCAAACTCTTATCTTCGAAATATATTCTGCCTGCATTTTTAATGCATTTATGTACATTCTTTTTTACACTTCCAAAAATATACACCGAGACATGAGGTATAAACGGTCTAAACCAGCTCGCGGAGGGTCACGTGCATTTCGTGCAGCCGCTGCACACGAACACAACCCAACCTCCCCCCAACCCACAACCTAACTGCTAGCTATCTCAAAAAACAAGCAAGGAACTCTTTATACAAGGCTCTCACAAGCGACTTAGGTCTTGTTCTGCATAGCGCCATTCGTTGTCTGTGGGGGAGTCACGACAACTGCTTCTCTTAATGCTAGTCCCCCCAAAACAACCTACCACAGAAACCAAGGCCTATGGGGCCTCAGGACTGCTACTTTTTCTTTAATATCCTCCCATTCCAGCCAGTCGAGACGACGGCTTGGCAAAAAACCACCATATTTGCGGCTCCTCAGGGCACCGCGTCTGCGTTCTCTACGAGAATAGAAGCCCTCCAGAAGCGCTAAGGAGGGCCCCTGACAGCTACGTGTTCCATGGCTATACACTTAAAGTTTAGAGACAGGGTATCGTGAGTTGTCAACTAGTGGCATTGCCTACGAACAGGCAGGTGGGGGCTCTTGGGTCACTCTATCTCAGGTCGCCTTATGGGTACACTTCACTCCAGACTCGATACAAACTCAATGGAAAGTTATTGAACATTTTCGAGAAGGAAAACCACCGTTTCCCACCCTTGCCTCACAGTTTTATACATGAGGTTGAAGGAATAGCTAGGATGCGCTTAGTTGCATACTCGAAACGCTTCTAGCATGTACAGCCAGTTGCGCATTGCATCTAATCCGCACGCAAACAACACTGATACTTCTTGTACAAAGAATACTGTAATATGAGATAGATAATATATACTAGCAAACAAATTTAACGGTGAAGTCTTCAGTAATTATAGATAACAATAGCCAGCTCGGCAGAAAGTGCTTGGGTAACAGCTCGCTACATCCTCTCCCCCAGTTACGAACATACGCCCTCACGTTCCGTTCCTGTACATCGAGACCAACTGTATGTAGAACATTGGCAGAATTTCCGCTCTGTCGTCTTTTATGACCAGGCAAAAGTGCGAATACAGTGCAAATAAGGAAAGCCAAGAGTGCATCGATCGGCGAAGTAAAAATCAAAGAGGAGAAAGAAAGATACACTATCCAACAAATCAAGAGCAACCAATCTACCACTACAGCGGCGAGACAACAGCCCACCGCTAGAGAGCTGAAACGTGTGAGTGACCTGCTTAGATAAAGCATAAGAGGGGGTCAAAAGCACATTATTACAGCAGTGCCTCGAAGGCTAAGCGATTTCAGCTCGCAGGTACAGCCGGTGTATTCAGCATAGTTGAATAGTAATACCATACCTGAGGGTACCTGCGCATATATTTGAGTGTAAAACAGACTTTCACACGAGGAACCAAGGACTTTGCAGGGCAATACCCATTGATGAAGGCAGCCACCACACTCAGAGCATGTGCTATGAAATGACAATTACCAAAAAGACTGAGGAGTACATCACTGGTGACCGGGGTTGTTAATCAAGCACAGCCACATATGCTTCCGCAGGCAACATCGAAATTGCACCTTCATCAAATTGTGTACACTTGGCGCTCAACAGGTCTTGAATCCTGTATTCCTGCGATTCCCTGTGGATCCTGCGGCATCATGCGAGTTGAGTTCCTGGCTGCGTAACAAAGTCCATGAATAATCAAGGAACTTGTAAAACTTCTTCGAGAAATTCAATATTAGTAGCCTTTTGGCATGTCAAAACCCGCAGGCAAATCGATAGAGCAAGAAGCAGTGCTGGTCCATGAAGGGATAGCGAATGGGCTTAGCCACATGAAGGTTCTTCGTGTGATCCCCTTATGGTGCACAAAGTGAGGGCACTGTTGTACTATTAACCTACTTGGCAAAGGAAAGAAAACCAACCCATGCAGTTGTATCTTTGCGAGCTTAGAGCTGCGCATACTCCAGAGTAGCGCTGTTGCTGCACTCCGTATGCCCGGCTGTATCATGGTATTTCGCGGGGTAATAATATGGCCAGTCCGTAGGCACTTCGTAAAGGCATGTCAGAACTCACGAAAAATGTTCCAATCTTAACTCATAATAGTACTCTTGGTAAACCCGTAAGGCTCGCATACATAATTCAAGACTGATTGAGCTGTTTCTTGAGTCGTGATAGAGCTAAAGCAACGAGTGAAATGAGCATTTGTCCTGAGTCCGTCCAACAACAACGTAGGCGCTAGCCTTATCCTTGGCCTAGAGCAAGTCCGAAAGTAAAGAGCACACTGATATCACTCGGGCTCATTAGAGAAGCTTGCAGACTTTGCGAATAACTTGGCTTAGGGGAGCCGTGAGGCTTTAGCTGCTACAGCCTGAGTAAGATACTGCATGCTCCTCTACAGCGAAACGCTTCCCAGATGATCATAAGTATTGCAATAGCTTTTATACCGTATCGTAGATACTTTCATTGTTCACCAAAAAAGATTATCTTTTGTTTTGCGCGCAAGAATACTGCAGAGCTACGTCGGCATGCAAAAGGGATCGAGTCTGTGGTTTGTTTCGAGACGCGACAGGCCACTTTCAAAGCGGCGATGCTTCACTTGTTTGCCATTATGGATCATGACAATACCAGCTGATGCATGAGTGCCAAAAAGCATAAGCTTTAGACAGTTGTCATACAAGCCGTGAATCCTCATAGACAAGAGCGGCTACTCTGCGTACTACTTAATCGCTGGGGCATTGTGAGAGCCCATTGGCGACCACCGTGGTAATGCTCTCAATATACTTACTACGAACTCCTACCGCATGGGGGTTCCGAGCCAGCTTGGGATTCTAGAGCTATCAACTTCCCGGAAACTGCTTTTTTCCAGTTTCAAGGCTGATATTCAGTCTGAGAACTGAAATGACGCCCATATGAATAGTGCCGGCCTTTCCAGGCCCACCATAATGCACAGATCTCCTTTGCCCGCACTTCTTACCGCCGCTCAGCTTCGGTTTTCGCGAAAGTAAAAACCAAACATGTCGTGTTTTGAAGTGCTCGTAGTAAATGGACCAGCGATCTAAGCAGACCCAGGAATGAAATTTTGTTGAGTAAATGCAAGGTCATAGGACTTTTGAGCGTCATTGAAGGTGCTTGGTGGCAGGGGTCACGCCCCTATGGCTTTTCTTTTCCACATCCGGCTCACTTCCTGCAACAGATACAATGATTCATAGGAACGCAGTTAGTCTTAAGGAGGACGAGTACCAGCGTGCTTCCACATACCACTGCTGGTCCCATGATACCAGTAGGTGCTCTTGAATGTTTCAGCTAAACATTAAGACACCGTGCATGAAGACAGCTATGAAACACTGCTTCACAGGCTCAGTAAATATTCCGATTTATCTACTTTTGCAGTTTACCGGTGCCATACAGCACCTAAAACCCACACAGGTCCAACCGGTTTTTGCCAATGCAAAATGGGAATGTCATTTCGTCCGTGTCATTTCGGTAAACCGGAACTTGTAAGACGGCATCTGTGAATTCAAGTTTCAAGTATACCTATGATCCATCCGAGGTTTTAGCTGTTTCGCGAATACTAGGCTATGGGAACTTCTGCATTCCAATGACTATGTGGATTGGCATTTTCTTTTCTTTTTTGACATTACTGGGAAGTGCTTAAAGCGCTGGCCAATTCATGTACTTTGCCTTCAATAATTAGTCACTCACCTGCCGGTCATTCTTTTCTTGATGTTGTGGGGTCTTTCGATACCCAAAACGTGGCTTGGGCTGACTCATGTATTTGCACTATACGGTGCTCTGGACGGCCAACAGCTGGCTGTGCCTGCTGGCAGCTCGTCATTCTTTAGCACCCCAGCCAAAACCTTCATATTTGCCCATCTCTGCTGTTTCCGAGTTTGACATGCCATCAAACTTCCTAATGAAGAACCAGTTAAAAGGCTACTGGGGCGGGATACATGTGTAGAACAATTTTCTCCCAGTGCACCGCTGAGCCGCCGGCATGGTCACTTTGCCTCATCTTGATGTTTGGACTGTATACCGCTTCCCATAGACGATATGTTAGACTTTGAGGAAGCCGAAAATTGCTTGTAACATACCTAGGATTACCTCGTGGTGCACGCAACCAACATAGGAGTCAAGGACATGCTGACAAGACACGATTCCAATTTGAAGTAGCATCACGCTCCCGCAGCTTTACCTATCCGTGCATTCTGCCGCCCCTTTTGCAATCCTCAGTCTTGGGGACTGCCCTAACCTGTGAACAGGCAGATTGCAATTCTGCCGTCTCCTCGGATAAGAGATTCACTTTACATCCAGTGTCAAATTAGGCTACCAATTTATTGATCGTTCTTGCAAATTGTACCAGCGCGAAATTCACCTGCGCGGGTCCCCAATGGCTGCTCAACCCGCTGGAGCCCTCTTACTGCCACCGCCACTTCCCTTATGCGCCCTTTCTGTTTACCAAGCAGCCTGCTTTCGCTAGGCCTAGTCCCCGTTGTTGAAGCTTTATGGCATTTTGCATGCGATCGAACTTCGGGATTATGTAACCCAACAGCCCACACAGCAGTTGCGTTGCATTCAGGGCTGTCTAGGGTTACCTTGGAGCGCGAGCTCCTCCTGTCTGGTTTTCTCGTTAGCCGTCGACTGTAGGCTAGGGCCGGTTGCCACATCCCCCACATCTGTAAGTTCTCATTTCCTTTGTGGCTCTTCCTTCTCAGCCAAAAGGCGCAAACGTTGCGACCATTTGCTCTTTGAGCTTCAACTAATCCTTCACTTATGGACGCCTCTCCGTTCGGCTGTTCAGTTGCTGAGTTGGTGCCCTTCCTGGGACCATCTGACATGACACTTCTGGTAGACCCGAAGTGAACCATTCTAAAGGCAGCTGTTCGACTACGCAGTGGCTGTTACAAACCCAAATTTAGTGTTTCCCCATACGCTGAGATACTGATACCTTCCCCTGTCAAATGTTTTTTCATTCTCCCGCTGCTTGCTTTCAAGCTAAAACCGATGAACCGCGGCTGGTATGAAGCCTTGAGCTGTAGTACCCCCTGCGGGAAGACGACCTCCTCTGCAAGGATAAAGTAAGTGATAAGGCTACTCCGTCAAAAAATCATGCCATAAGAAGAACCTGCTTTTCTTATCTGAGGGGCACAGCGGGAGGTACGTCTACAACTGGCTGATAATAAATTTGAGCACTTGCCCATCCTTGCACCCGTCATATTTTTCTGGTTGGCATAGCCCTATCGAATCACTCACAAACGTTTTATTAACAAAGCATTCCTTTCTAAGAGCTATGGAGCTACCGTGTTCACATCGAATTCCGCGCTGGCGTTAGCCGCTCCAGCAGGTGTGTCACCAAATAATCCCATCGCCAGAGGATTTTTGCTTCCCACAGTGTTGCCAAAGTAAACAAAAGCACTGAATCACCAAAATAATTCGCTCAAAGACAGGCAAATGTTGAAGGGAAATATTAGAGCACATTTCAATAAGCTTGTATAGGCTTGTACTGCTTCTGGAATTAAATGTCCCCCTGTGGAGATCTTAGATAAAGGGGAAAGTCTTTAACACGCTTCTAAGCCAACGTGGTTGGCTGCCCCATTAGGGCTGCCAGTTTAGGTTTCTGAGAGCTCCACAACAGTAGCAGTACTTGAAACTGACGGGAAGGACGTCTGAGCAATTTCTGCAAACCCATACCTCCGCGCCATTATTCCAATCCTTCCTTTGTGCCCAAGGGATCGACGTCGGGTCCGCTGCTGCTGCTGCTGCTGCTGAAGGAAGGCAGCGACGACGCAGACAACAAGAAACAACATTTAGTAAGCACCATAACACAAAGGCTGAATTATTTTGGAAAGGCGCTAGGTCAGATAGTGTGTCTGAGAGACATCCCACCCAGAAATTCCGTATGCAGGTGCCCCTACCTGCATCTTCCTGGCGGCCAGAAGGGTCTTCCAGCTCCTCGACTCCATCATCGCTGCTGCTTTTTCTGCTGCTGCTGCTGCTTTTTCTGCTGCTGCTCATGCTGATGCGGCGGCAGGTGAGTGCTCCGTGGGGTTTTTCGGCCCTGCAGGCTGAGCACTGCAGGAACCTCCTACGGTTCTGCAGTGTACAGACAGCGCAAGTCCAGACCCTCCGCGTCCTATCGCCAGGAGCAGCGGAAGGCAAGGGGTCGAACTTTGCGCTGTTGCATGCCTCATCCTTGAGCGCGTAGGGAGGACGCTTACTAGCGGCTAGTACTGCCGTTGCTGCTGCCCCACCTCCCGTTCGTTGCTCTTCGTGTTGCACCTCTTCCGTCTTAACCTTCACGCGGGAAGGCCCCGACTCAGCCTTCATTTCAGCGCTGCACACACTTGCCGGAGGGCCCCCGGGGGCCTCCCTAGACACCAGACATGATGCTTCCTTCCGCTGCTTCTTCCGGCTGCGGAAGAACTGCACAACTTCACCTGCTGCAGCTGGACAGCTTGACGCTGCGGCGTCAGTTGTTGCTGCCGGTACAGATCCGCGGTCTGCTTCTGCACTGGCTGCCACGGTAGAGGAAAGCTGCGGGTTCCCGTCGCATCTGCTGCTGCTGGTGGTGCCAGACTTGCCGATGCCTTCCATATGCGACACGACAGAGAGAGAGTCGCTCGAGGGATAAGCACTCTGATGGGGGCCCCGAGGGCCCCCTGTGGCGCACCCCTTCCCCGGGTTGGTGGCTAGAGGGTTGCAGCTGTTGCTGCTTCACCCGCGGCAAATATTGCGAAGAATTATGCGGCTGTTTCTTAGCTAACGTTTGAAGTTATAAGACGATTTTTGCGGGGTGTCGAGAGGCCCGGGGCCCCCAGGGGTCGCCGCCCTCCAGCGGCCGCCAACGGGGGGCCCCCACGGGCCTAAACTCAAGCGCGCGAGCGCGATTTTGGCGGCTTCTTTTTCAGAATTAATTTGCAAAAGTAAAATCGAGGCAGGAAAGCTGCTGCATTCGCGTGTAACTTGCCAAGAGTAAGCCCTAAATGGGGAGCTAACGTCTGAGAGTGCGAAAACAGCTTCCCAGGGGGGCCATGAATCAAAGGCTGCAGGAGTAGGACCGTCCCATTGCTTTTCTTCCCACTGGCTGTGCTCCTAAGTCTCCGCAGCAGCAGCAGGGGGCCCCACGATGCTCCTTTACCAAGGGCTTCGCAGGGCCCCCCCTTCGTTTGAAGACTCTGGGGGAGCGACACCGCAAGGCCAGCCTCCTCCCAGTCTGGGAATCGACAGGCCCTGTGTGGACCCCGCAGCCTTAGGGGGGCCCCTGCTCTCTTCTCTGTTATTCGAGGGCCCCCCTAAGCACACTCCAAGGCCTCATCCTCTCTTTGCTCGCTATGTAACGCCACATGCCCTAACCATTGAACCCTGCGCTCACAGCTTTAATCCGACACCCGTGTATCTGCACACAAACTGCTACACGACTCTCCGCATATTCGTTCCTGTATCTTCTTCTGCTTGTCTGTCCGCGCCATCGGCCCCCTTTCCTTCCTCCCCCATACCTTCTCTCTCTCTTGCTTTTTCTGTGTCTGTCTGTGATTGCCTCACTTGCTCTGTCTTTGTTCGCTTTCTTGGACTGCTTCTTCTCTGTCTGTGGGAGGGGGTTTCTTTGGCTTCCTCATGGCCATGCAGCACGCTTGTGGTGCCTTGCCACATCGTAGTAGCGGTCCGTCTTCGGGTCCATATGTATATGTGTATATATAGGTATGTAAATCTGTGTGTGTGTGTGCAGGCTGCCCCTGTTTTTTACGCCTTCCCGTTTTCCTTCGCTGGCGTTTGTCCCTCTCTCGCTGTCTCCTCGGTGAATCGGACGCGCACGGCTTGCGTTCACCTCTCCTTTATCGGGGACGGAGTGAGGCTCATTGGAGGAACAGCTGGTGGTGAATTGGTGGTTTGGGGGGGGGGCGCCTTGGGATTTGAAGATCTCAAGCGGCTGCCGCATGCAGGTGGCGCTGTGACAGCGATCGAAGCCGATACTCTCTACGATCGCATCTTTGTGGGGGACGCTGCTGGAAAGATCGCAGTGCTTTCGCTCGCACTCAGCCCAATCGAAACGGAACCTCTAGAGGTGTGTCTTGTGCATTGTGGCGAAAAACGGGGTGCTAAGATGTGTGGCAGCAGCAAACTGGGGTGCCTCAGCAGGGGCCTCTTTGTTCTCCTCCTCCCCCCTTTCTTGGCGAGCCTCTATGCATGCCCCTTCTCCCCCAGGGCTGGGCTCGATTTTTGTGCATGTTCACGGCTGGAGCTTTTGCATGCAGGGGTTCTCGCGCTCCGTCTTGGGATTGTCTGTATGCCCCTCCTCGGCGCTCCTGTTGGGAGTTGGAGATTCCTCCTCGCCCCTCCTATGGGACCTTCAGATGCAGCGACTGCTGAGGCCCCTAGCAGCTGCGCCGGCAGCAGCCTCGCTGGACTGCAGCAGCTGCTGCTGCTGCTGCTGGCACCCAGTATCTTCTCTGGCTGCAACAGGCACCACTGCGGGCTGGGTGTATCTCTGGGATGTCAGGGAGCAACAACCCGTAGCGGCCATCCAGCCCCACAGAGGCACCGTCAACAAGATTCTGTAAGCGCTAGGCGTTAGAAGGAGCGGGGGAACGCCGGGGAGCGAGCCTCTAAGCTGCCAAGCACATCCACTGCAACCCTAGATCTCGGCCCTTTCGTTGTGCTTTCTTGCGCTCAAGAGGAGGAAGGAGAGCGGAAGGGAAGAGGGGAAGAGAAGAGGGGAAGAGAGCTTTAGCCGAAAAGAAGGGCACGCTGCAGATGCCTGCGCCTGTTATGCCTCTACATGTGGGGCCGGCCATACGGCGGAAAGGGGCAGGCGGGGAACGATGGAAGGAAGAGAGGGGGTTCATATCTCTATGCCGTGTTGCTGCCTTACAGTGCATTTTAAGAGGCTTGTGTGTTTTTTTCGGCTAGCCTGTGTGCCGCCCCGCGCTTCTTATTCTTCTAGGCAGTTTGAGTCCTTGCAAAGGGATGTAGAAGCGGGAATAAGAAAACCCCTTTGGCTAGGGGGAGGCAGCCGTGTTTGCCCTCGTCTCTTTCTGCGCCTGTAGGTTGGGGGTTGCCGTCTCTCTGGTTGTGGCTGTGCAGATTCCATCCATCGGGAGACAGCCTCCTTACGAGCTCGAGAGACTCCTCGGTCCGCCTGCTGGACCTCCGCACGCTAAGGTCTCTGCAAACGCACAAACTTCCTTCAGGGGGGCCCTCCGCTTGCCACGCGGCGGGGCCCCAGGCCGGCGGTGGGGGGCCCCCCCCCGCGGGTCCCCCGCCTCTCGGCTGGGAGCCTAGCACGCTGGCTATTAGTCCGGCGCAGCCTCATGTCTTTTGTGTGGGAGACACGGGCGGGTTCCTCTCCTTCTTTTCGCTGCTGCAGCCTGGGGGGCCCCTGTGCAGAATTGACAATAGCGGGGCCTCTCAGGCTGGGGGCCCCACTGCAGGGGGCCCTCAGGGGGCCGGAGGGCCCTCCAGCAGGGAAAATGCAATCGTAGCGCTAGAATGGGCGCCTCATGGGGCCGCTATCGCCTCCGCGTCGGAAAGTAGACTACTTAGGCTCTGGGGAAGGGGGGCCCCTGGGGGACCCGTAGGAAGGGCTCTCAATGCGGGGGCCCTCCTCGAGTTAGATGGTAACGGGTACTACCCCGTCTGCTCCTTTAGGGTCGAAGACAGATTGGTGCTGTCTGACAAACGGCTCGCTGCTGCTGCTGCTGCTACTGGGGTCGGCGATGCAGCAGGCGGCCCCACGCCCTCAACAGCTGCAACAGGAGGTCCTACAGGAGGGGGCCACATAGCGGGAAGATTCTTTGCAGAGGGGGTGGCCCCCTTGCGGGGGGGGATGGGGTCTCCGGGTGAAGACGAATGGATGGAGGGCCTGCCAACCCCCTCAAAACACCTCTTGCTGCAGTTCGCCGAGAAGCGTGCAGCAACCACAGCCACCACTTGAAGAGGACGCTCTTTCAGTGGAGGAACTTCTGGGTCGAGGGGCCCTCTTTTCAGGCTTGCGACCTTGCTTTTGGCTCCCTCTACGCTACTTCAGACTTCGGGTCCTTAGAGGAAGGCCAGAAGGCGGGGAAATCAGGGACGTGTGCATGTGACTGGCTTTGAGGGGGAGCCCTTGTGAAATGCCATCCCCTTGCTAAGGAGGGCCGTACGGCGGTGCTTGTTCTCTTCCCAGGGGCGTCATGGGCGGCAGGAGAGCAGCTAGGGGAGTGTGTGTGAACGATAGCACTACACAGTTAGGGGTATATACCTCCTCTCATATCGTCTGTTTCCCCAGAGGGAGGCCTCTACGAGTACGGGGGAGGGGGAGAAAGAAAGGGGGGGCCCTGTGGGGCCCCCACGCCGGTGGCCGTTGCCTTGTGCAGCGCTTTTATTAGGGGCATCTTCCAGTAGGCCCATGCGTAGGAAGGCAGACGTAGTATCTCTTGTAGGAGCCTGCGCGCGAGAAAGGCACATTTGCGCCGGTCCGTTTTCTAGTGTCCAGCTGCACCCCCACGTGACCCAGCTCCCTTGTGACTGCATCTCTCCCATACTTCTACACGCTGCACATAAATGTATGTAGCTTATGTTACTAATTATCCCTATCCTGCCATGTTCCATTTAGGATACTACAAACAATAATAGCGGACCACAATCAGGGGGCTCGCTCAAGGAGGCTGAATGACTGCCCCCAGGAGAGTGCCCTGTGCGCATCGTTTGCCCACCGCCTATTGAATACGCATACACCAGACATTGCATGCGGTCCAAAAGAGGGACTGCAATATTATCTGGTAAAAATTTCTCATACAACAGCAGAAAATAACGGTGCTTTGACCCCCCAGGTGGGGGGCCAGGGAGGGGCCCCGCATCGGGAGACCCCGGGGGCCTCTCGATGGACCGGGGTGTCAAGACACTGCACGGTGGGTGCGATCCAGACACGAGACCCTGGGGGTAGGTGTGGAGGGGGCCCCTCAAGAGGGCCCTCCGTTACTCAGGTAATTTTCCAGGTGTTTCTTTGCTTCTTTGTTGCAATTTTTACGTTACACGTGCGGATTTAGCCGTAACTCCAGCATTCAGCCCTTAACACCAAGGTTCCCACGAAGGGGGAGCACAGGGGGCCTCACAGCTCGAAAGGCACAACGCCGCACGGCAAGAGCCACCACCTGCGCTCACTTCGCCCCCAACGCAACAGGGGGCCCTAAGGGGCCCCCTGTGCTGCAGCGCAACATCAAAATGCCACTGCTGTTACGGTTGTTGCTGCTGCTCCTGCTGCTGCGACCCCAGCAGACCTTTGCGTTCCGAGCCGCGCCGAGAGGGGCAGAAAGGCTTCAAATGAGCGGCTGGTTCCCTTTGAGGTCAATTTATGGCCTCGACGAGCGGCGTTTCTCCAAAGGGCAGCGCCCAGGAGGCCCCCTCATGGGGGGCCCCCTCCACTTGTGCTCTCAAAAGGTGAGTCCTCGAGACTCTCTGCGGAGGGCCCCACAGGCAGCAGCGGCGCGAAACGATGGATGCACTGAGCAGCAGCAAAGCCAGCAGGCGTCCTACACGGCCAAAGACATCCGCGTGTTGGAAGGTCTCGAAGCCGTCCGACTCAGACCCGGTACATTGCACACATAGTGCATGAGGGAAATCAAGGGCTTCGGTTGTTTTTGGCTTGCAGTCAACAGTACTCTTTCTCATCAACTCAGGTGTTACCCTACTCGATGCGACATCAAAGCTCCGCCAACGGGGGCAGGGCCCCCCCGCCACCCTCTGGTCTCCGCTTTCAAGCCTACACTGAGCATGAGCATGTCTCTCTTTCTTTCTTTCTTTATTTCTCTCTCTTTCTTTCTCCTGTCTCTCTGACCATCTACCTGTCTTCTCTCTACCTCTCTATCTCTTCATACGCACTCTTCTCCGCGAACTCGACTCGCCTCTTTTCTCTAAACTAGCTCTCAGGGTCTATTTACCGCCTCGGTACTTGACCCACCCATGCCCCTCCCACCTCCTACTAACATGCCCTGCAGCCGCCTTCCCTTCGTTCGCTAGCTTCTTCCCTGCCACGCGTGCAGGCATAGAGGGCTTCCCGTTGAGCCCTTAAGGATCAAAATAGGCTTTTTGGCTATGCGCGGGGTCCTTCTTGCCCATCGGCGGGCTCGCAACTGTCCCTCCTTCCCTCCCCGTTTCCGCGAAAAAATGCGCGCTGCTTATCTCCACTCCTCGTTAACAATTTTGTTCGCGAGATTCTTGCAGGGATGTATGTCGGAGACTCCGACGCTTCGGGAGCGCTGCACCTCCTCATGGAACTCTTACAGAACTCTGCAGACGAAATCGCTCAAGGCAACTGCACAGAAATAACGGTCTGGCTCCACCGTGACAGGTGCGGGGAGACGATTCAAACGCTGCAGCCATACGCGAAAGGGGCGACTTGCGTGGGGTCGTGGCATGCATTTTCCGTGTCTGGCTTGCCTTATGGCCCTCGCTGAGTTTCCTGCCGCCGTTGAACGCATGCCTTCGGTGCCTCGTGCCCAAGGGGGGCTTACTTTCCGCCTGCACGGCAGCTCCCTCTCTGCAGTGCTCGCGAAGGGCCTTTACCGCCCTTCGCTGCGCTGCCTGTCGCATGCTTCTCCTCACCTCCACAGCCTGTGCCTCTTTGCCGTATTCAGTCTCAACACTGTCGCGCGCAATCTTGAGGCCTCCTTGGTATCGAGGAAAGGGGCCGGCTGCCTATGTGCGATGTTTTCGCCTGGCAGCCCGCCGCTTAGCGACGTCAACAGCCGCCTCCTCTTGATACCTCTCTGCCTCTGCACTCCCCGAAGCCGCTGCCTCCCCCTGTGCCTTCCCGCATTCTTTTGATGCTGCAGCTCAATCTCCGTACAAGACAATGGCAGAGGCATCCCCTGCGACCCTGTCCAGCGCCACCATCCAAGTTCGTTTCCTGTGCCGTCCCTGCCACCCTTTTCGCTCTGCCCGACCGCTTGTTTCTTCCGGTGTTCATTGCACGCCTCTCCGATGGTTATCTCTATCTATATCTCTATATCCATCTGTCTATCTGTCATGCTTATCTTTATCTACATCTCTATATCCATCCCTCTATCTGTCGTGCCTATCTCTATCTACATCTCTATATCCACCCCTCTATCTGTCGTGCGTATCCCTATCTACATCTCTATATCCATCTATCTATCTGTCATGCTTATCTCTATCTATATCTCTATATCCATCTATCTATCTGTCATGCGTATCTCTATCTATATCTCTATATCCATCTGTCCATCTGTCTGTCTGTGCGTATATGTGTATGTCGCTTCCCTTCTCACCACCGTGCGCCGCGGTGTCTCTGTGGCGTACGCTGCAGCTCCGGCCCCCTCAGATGGCTCACCAGCTCCCGAATGCCCCTCCGCACTGGAAGTCGTACTGACAACTCTCCACTCTGGAGGGAAATTCGTAAAAGCCGGCTCTTCAGAAGGCGCTGTGGGAGCGACGGGGGCAGAAACAGCTCCGTACAGCTGCAGCGGAGGCCTTCACGGCGTTGGGTTGCCGGTCCTTAACGCGCTAAGCTCCAGGCTCAGAGCAGAAGTAATTTGTCTAACCCTCACCTGTTTCTCCGAATGCGACATGAAACCTTATAGCACTTCAAGGGTGGAGGCCTCACGCGCTGCGGGTAGCAGCTGCCCTACCTGCGCAACAGAGCCGCTTCCAACACACCAAATGGCGGCCTAAAGAACCTCCTCATTGGCATCGGTGGCCGTTGCACTGCATTAACAGTGTGTGCAAGCATGTGTATGTGTGTGGCTTTATCTGCTACGGAAGCAAGCGAGGAGCGAAGGGAGGGGAGAAAGCGCAGGCAAAAAACCGCGACTCCAGCAGGTGTACCCTCTTCTCGGTATCTTCGCTTGCTGCTGCGTTGTGTGAAGGTCCTCCGCGATTCTCAAGTGTGCACCCTCGAGTGCAGCCAAGGCCGCATCACGCAACCCCTGACGAGGCAAAGCAGAGCAGCGGCCGCTGCCGCCGCTGCTGCGGCAGTGGCATCAGCAGCGGCAGCTCCAAAATTGACGGCAGGGGCAGCCGCAGGTGAAGTCTGGAATTTTACTTGGCCCTCCTCGCAGCACCAGGGCACCGCTATTCGTTACTACCCCGACAGAAGCATCTTCGGGGAGGCAGCAGTCGTGCCGTGGCAGAAGGTTGCGGAGCGCTTGAGGGAATTATCCTTTCTGTATCCGCAGACAGTGTTTCATCTGAAGCGCGAGCGTGCCTACTGCAGCGCAGATACCGCCTCCGCCGCGAAGCAAGAGACTGAAGAGGCGGCAGCAAGGGCAGAAGCGCGTAAAGAAGCCGAAATTGGAGATGGCAGCGAGCGGCAGGGCACGGCTGGCAGCGCAGAGAAGGAATCAGAGGAGCCTTTGATTCAAGAGATTCGCTTCAAAGACGAAGGGGGCGGACTCAAGTCCATGCTGCGTGAAATGAGCCATGGTCTCGCGGCCCTCTTCACGGATACACCCATTATTAGGTGCATCTATTGGTACCTTGTGTCTCTCTCTCTCGCTCTCTCTCTCTGACTGTCTCTCTCTCTGACTGTCTCTCTGTATGTCTGTACTCTGGCTCCCCCCTCTGCCCATGTGCCCCATGTATCCTAGTGTGTCTGTTTCTCTGTGTGCCCTCTCTATGGAGCTCGCTCGCCAAGATTCGGCATTGAAACCTGCTGATGCCGTGGGCGTGCGCCGCGGTGCTTGCACAATTGTGAAAGTTCGTGGCTGCCGGCCGTCTTGCTTGCGCCGCTTTGCGCCTCAGTGTCGTCTGTAGCAATGCCTTCCTCTCTCTTGAGGCCCACCTCATGTTTACGGATCCAACCAAGACTCCCAACACCGCTGTGAGAACGCCTCGCAGCGATTGCAGCATCGAGCGCCAGAGCCGTAGCGAGGCAAGCAGCGGATTGGCGAGCGAGTTGCAGCGGCTGTCGCCGCTCGCCGTTCCGGCAGACACACTGGGCTGCAGCATTGCCTCATTCGTGAATGGCGTCAGCACGCCACACGGCGGTTCGCATGTGGACGGCTGTCTCTCGGGTCTTACCAAGGCAGTGCATGCAGCCGCGGCAGCAGCTGCCGCAGCGGCTGCGGCGTGGACTGGGCGGGGGAACAAGCGGCTGCTGCTGCGCACAAAGCAGCAAGAAGCTGCAGACAGTGCAAAAGCTGCTGCAACGCCTGGCAGCGGAAGGGGGGTTGCGGGAGCAGGTGCCTCCGGCTTAGCCGCAGGAGCTGCTGGGGTTAAGGGGGAGTATCTGCGCGAGGGCCTCGTGGGCATCGTGAGCCTCAAACTTTCCGATCCTGTTTTTGAGGGCCAGACGAAAAGGAGGCTGAAGGGGAAGGAAGTCGCACGCGCTGTAGAACAGGCAAGGAGAATATGCCGATTTAGCTCCCGAGCTTGTCCTGATCTCGAGGGTGCCTCTTTTTTGCCCCTTCTGTAAAAGCCTTCTTCTTCTAGCGATGTCTGCTCCAGCGCAGCCCGTGTCTCCCCGGTAATGGAGCCTATGCAACACAAGGAGAGATGCGTGCTGGCCAAAGGGCGAGACTCGGTTACTTCATTCTTTCTCTCTGTCTCTCTCTTTGTCTTTCTCTCTGTCTCTCTTTGTCTTTCTCTCTGTCTCTTTGTACTGCGGCGAAAAGCGGACGCTCGCGCTGATTTCCGCAGGCGGAGGCGGGAAGGTTTGGGGCGCTGATTGCTCGCATTCGCATGCGATTTCGTCTTCTGCTGCTCTCTGGGTTTCTTTTCCTCTCCGCGCCTCGCTTTCCTCCTTTTTCTTTTGCATTTCTAGCTTCTCTCGCTATCTCTGCTAGTGAGGGGACGGTATTACTGGCCGTATGTGCCGGCTGCTGGCGCTGGCTAAGGAGGCGTGGGGCAGTGGCAGGAGAGTTGTTTCATGCAGCAGGCTGTCTGCATGTGCTTGTGTCTCTGACCAGCTGGTGCAGGAGGCACTCTTCAATTTCTTTTCGGCGAATCCGGGAAAGCTGCAGCAGCTCCTGCAGCGCGCTGCCGCCACTGCCGCAGCAGCCGCGGCAGCAAAGGCAGCGCGAGACTTCCAGAAAGCTCGACAAAGGGCAGTACAGGCCTCTGTTCTTCCAGGTACGGTGCCGCCTTTGAGCCTCCAATGGACGGCAGCAGTGGGAGCTAGGTGATGACTGCTCTTGCCAAATTCTGCTCGCTCAATTCTTCGCTCACAATCCTCACCGCATTGCGCCATCAACATCGCAAACTTCCTCTACCAGTGCGCTCTCCACGCTGTGCCCCAAGAAACTCGCTTCTATCCCTTCAAACGCATGTGTTGCTTCTCCCGTTGCACCCTTAAGGGAAGCTGGTAGACTGCCAGCGAGGCGGCGAACTGTTTATCGTGGAAGGTGAATCAGCAGCCGGAAGCGCAAAACAGGTATCTCTAAAAAGCGCATGCGCACAACAGGCGCGTTCCTAGCAAGCACGCTCGTAGGGGCTTTCCGCGTCTCGGCTTCTTCTGCTTCTCCGACTTGCTTTCCAGAATACTTCGCGGGCAGCTTGATCTTCCCCCCACTCTTTTGCCGCCGCTCTCCTTCTCCTCCAAGGCCCCGCATGAGTACACTTTGCACATTTTACCCCCACGGCTGCTCCCGTCACCCCCTGACTTGGTGGTGCTTTGCTGCTTTGCACCTGTAGGCGCGCGATCGCCGACTACAGGCGGTCCTGCCCCTCCGTGGAAAGATCCTCAATGTACAGCGCGAGAATAACAGACGCAAGATCTTCAACAACGAGGAGGTCAAGGTCAGCTGTGCAAAACGCAGCTCCGAAGCAACATTCACAACTTTTATAGAAGCAGACACGGCTCCCGCCACGGCTGCACCACAGCGCCAGGAGGAACGACTACATGCGCGCTCACTTAGCCACGTGCTATTGCAGCTGATAGATAGAGCTGCTGCTGCTGCGATTTCCAGGCACTGGTATCTGCTCTAGGCGTCCCACCGCAAGACGATAGCTCAAAACAGCAAAGCCTAACGGGCCTAAGGTAGGGAGGCACGCACTTGTGGGTTCCGTGTCAACTGCCTCTTAGGAGGCAGTATGCCTGTTATTGCAATGTGCATGTCGTCATGCACCTGCTCTCTCCTTTTGAGCTCTCGTTTTTGTCGGTTGGCTGCCGTTTTTCCGCGGATGCGCCTACAGGCGCTCACAAATAAGCGTTTTTAGTGTGCATGTCTCGGCGTGTTGGCTCTCTTTATGTGTCTTTTCACTCTTTTTGGCTCTGGCTGTTGGTGTTGGCGTTGGTACGCTTGCTTTTTCCCCCAGTTCCTTTCTCTTGCACTCGTTCCTCTGCTCCGCCCTTGCGGTTGCGTGTACATGCGCGCTGTAGATACGGGAAGGTGATCCTCCTCACGGACGCGGATGTGGACGGCGCGCATATTCGATCCCTGCTGTTAGGCTTCTTCTACCGTTTCTATACGGCGCTACTGAGAGAGAATAAGCTCTTCATTGCGTGCCCCCCTCTCTACAAGGCAGTGCACCCGCCGATGCCCTTGGCCCTGCTGCAGCAGCATTTCAAGCAGCTCCCGCACACCCGCGACAGCCGTGGCACCGTCAGCAGCAGCACAGTGACAGAGACATACGTCTGGACGGATGCAGAAGCGCAGCGTCTCGCAGCCCTCGTGCAGCAGCAGCATCCTAAAAAGAAAACTACACAGGCAGCATACGGCGAAGCAGGCGGCGGAGGCATCCTACGGTTGCAGCGGTTTAAGGGTTTAGGGGAGATGCAGGCAGAACAGCTGTGGCAGACGACAATGGATCCTAGAGCACGAAGCCTCAAGAGGATCACTCTGCAGGATGCTGCCAAGGTAGCTAACCCCCAAAAGCAACCAGTCAAGTCATCTCTTGCACATCATATATTCCTCTCGCAGACTCTGTCCACCCCTGTCTGTGTTCCCTCCCTCTGTCACCTCTCCGGCTCCCCTCGAACGCAGAAAGCTTTTCCATCTAGGCACGCATATAGTTCAGGCCGTCGCCAACAATATGGGTGCGTGAGTGTTTGTTCATTTCAGGCTGAGGCTGCTGTCTCTTCTCTGATGGGAGAGGCCCCTATGGAGCGGCGACAGCTCGTCTTGTCTCTAAGTGCCTCCTTAGCGGCTGACCCTCAGGCGCTAAGCACCTAAGGGAGTGCCCTAAGATTCTAAATTCTATGGGGGCTCTAGTCAGTCGAGAGGGTCGTACGATGTTACGTATCCAGCGCGCACACTTATGCTCGCCGACATAGATACAGGCCAGACTGTTGCTGCAGGTGCGGCCGTTCGTCCTGCATCTCACACACCTGCACCGTTGCTTCAAATGTAAACTAGCAGCGGCAGCAGCACCAGCACTCCCACCGCCAACTCTACGTTTCTGCGCGAATGTATATATATGTATTATATATATACATATAAAAGCCTCTCTGCTCGGGAGACCCCAACGTGGAGAGAAGGCGGTGGGTGCGAAGACGAGGTGGCTCTACAGGGGGCCTTCTTGAGAACAGCACACAACCTTGCCGTTCTAAGAAACACGGACGCCTTTTTGAAAGGAACGAACGTTCCTAAAAGACACAGACGCGAGTGAACGGAGGCAGCAGCATCCACAACCCAACGCGCGGCTAGCTCTCGCTGTCAAATAGGCGCAATCTGCCACACCGTGCAGATTCCCTAGAGGGAGGCCTCTTGGCCTCCCCAAACACTAGGGAGCTTCTCATCTTCCATAGCGGCTTACACGAACATATTCTTAGAGCGCCTCCCCCGATCTCCTCTTCCCCCGACCGCATGCGACAGCTCCCGTCAAAATGAGCAACCCGAGAGAACCGTCGTCGCGTTTGCATGCCGCTACCCTCTCCTTCCCTTCCCCCCTACCTCCCTCTGTATTCCGCTTTGTTACACGCGAGTTTTCCCTAGCAACCCTCTGACATGCGGAGGGGAGAGTGCAGCTTTCGGAGCTCTCCCCCCCGGAACCCCCATCCCCCCCGTCAGATCATCACTGACGGAGATTGAAAGTGCACACATCGCATAATGCGGAGGGCCTGCAATGAAGCGAGAAGGAGCCACCACCCCTCCTTTCTTCCCTTTCTAGTGGTAAGGGGGGGGCAGCCCTTCACAGGGGTATGTCTTGCAGCCGCTGCGCGTGGCGATCTCCTGCTTGTACAGCATCATTTGCTGTTGCAGCAGCTGCTGCAGATGCTCCTTGTGCTGCTGCTGCAGCTCCGACAGCGGCTGCGCCTGCTGAGAACACCCTTGACTGGAGGGCAGCCTCTGCGCTGGGGGGGGGGCCTCGCCGAGGGAGTGCTGCTGCAGGATGGAGGCAGATGCACCGCATACCGAGGGGGGGCCCCCAAAGGGGCCCCCCTGCTGCAGCAACACGGGGTTTTTGGGGGGAGAAACGGGAGGCCCTCCCCATGGAGAGAATGTGGGAAGCGACAGCTGCGACGCGACCCCCCCTCCCGCTAGGGGCCCTATGGGGGCCCCCCCCCCCCCGGGGGCCCCTGCCCAGGAAAGCCCGCCGGAAATCCCATCGGGGGGGCCCCTGCGAGTTCGCGTGCCTCTCAGGGGAGACGGGGAGGCAGACTTGCGCCTCTTGGATCGAAGGAAGGCTGCCGCAGCAGCCGCCGAGGCAGCAGCAGCGGCTGCTGCCGCAGTGCTGCCTCGGCAGCTGCTTTCTGTTAACCCGAAGTAGAAGGATTCATCCTGGGGGTGGCTAAGAAGACAAGGGAACGCGTCCTTCCGCTTGGTGCTGCTCCCCTTGCCGAGGCTACCACTGTTGATCGCGGAGGAGCATGCGGAGCTGCCTAATAGGCCGCTCCGGTGCAGCAAGCCGCTGCTGCTACCGTTACTGCTGCTGCTGGAAACTTCCTCGCCGAGAGTCATAGAGGGACTGTGCATAGGGGGGATCCGTGAGGAGGAGCGAAAGACGACCAGACCAACGCGCGCGCTTTCAGACGAAAGCAGCTGCTCACCTCTCGCTGCGGCAAAAGCCGTAGTGGGTTCAACCCTAGAGCCTTGCGCCTACACTCTGGGAGTTAAGGGATGACGTTCGATGCAGAGCTGGTGGCATATTCGCATACCTCTGTGCACAGGGATACATCGGGAGGTAGAAACAAGTGCAAACAATAATGCATGGATATGCAGACACATGCAGGCATGAGTATGTGGAGGGATGCATGCATGGGTCTATGTTTACACTCAACCATCAAGCGTGCGAGGGGGCGGAGGAGGGCAAGGCATTCTACATCAGAGGGCTCAGGAACTGCCGGGAAACCCTCGAGAAAAAAAAATGAAAGTCAGAAACCCCCAAAGCGTGGAGAGGCACTCCTGTACGAGAGGAGGGCTTAGTCAGCAGAGGTTCGCGAGTGAGCGAAGCGAGCACATAGACAGCTAAACTGGGCTGTCCACACAAAAAGGCGCAACGGCGATACCGTGCGAGCCTTTAGGTGTACGGGGAGTTAAAGCTGGAGTCGAGGAGGACGAACAACAGTGCAGGTTTCAGACTCGAGGGTCAGGGAATCAAAGATGTCAGGTGAGATCCATCGCAAGGAGTTTTGCTCTGTGCATGCTACGTTGTATAAGGCCAAGAAGGTGATTAATGCGCATAATCTGCAGAGACAAGGAAAAGCCATACACTGCTTTCTTTCGTGCAGCAAGTACTGGAGCTGCATGCGGCTGCCACAGCTCCTGCTCTGGTGCAATGCTGCTACACGCATGCGAAAGCCCCGTTCTCCCCGAGATGGATGCTAATTTTGCAAAGGAAGCACTAGACCTCTTTGTTTCTTGAACGGAATCGACTCTCCTACTGTACCCCAAGCGCTCGCTGCAAGCTGGTTGCTGCTACAGTTGCTGTTAGTACTGCTGCAGTTGATGCTGTTTGTCACCATAGCACCGCAACAACCAATGGTCTTGCGGGAAATATCCACAAATTAAGACTCACTGCAGCCTACATGAACTCCATAGGATCAAAAACTCGTACAAAGCAACCCCCCTCCCCCTCCCCCGAATTCAAACCGCGCATTTCCTTCATGCACTCCTTTTCAAGGCGCATTTTCAGCGGCGGCGTGTTGTGTATAGCGTACATCGCCGCTACCTAGGCAGGCTTCGAAATTTCATCAAGAAGTCTCTACAGAAAGAAATCTCACCAGAAAATGACGTGTATGATGCCTGACAGGGGCCCCTGAAGTGCCCCCTTGATGCAAAAGGGCCGCTGTGAGCCGAAGGAGGAGTCACCAGAAAAATCCTCCAGGCTAGGAGGAGCGCAAACTCGCCATGAGGGCAGGACGGACCGCTGCACTGTATCTCCACATTGCTACGCATGTACCTCCTACCTCTAGGGGGATGCATATGTTGGCAGACACGTGCAAACGTGCGCTCAGCCAAGCCACCACCAGCAGGGAGACAGACTGCGCTTTGAAGGCACTCTAAAAAGAGCAAAACGCCACACACAACTCTCCTTCGCAGTGTACAGGCCCGATGTAGGGGATCTCTTTAGAGTACGGACAACAGCGAGCATTCTCATGTGCGTCCTTGAGAGCACCCCTCTGCTGATTTTTCGCATTAGAAGTAGTTACTTTTAGACATGCACAGACGCATGAAACGTCCTCTAAGGATGCTTATCGAATCAGAGCCGAGGCAGCGCTACGCCCTCACACCCCACACCCCAGTTGAGGCCGTTGTGGCTTTGTGTCTCGCTGCCGAAAGGGCCGCTAGAAGCGAGCGAGCAAGAATACGGCTTAAAAGGAAACGTGTTGGGAATAAGCTTCCCACGTAGCAGGCGGTGGAAGAAACAACTCAAGGTACAAACGGGCTTGCATTGGATGGACGGCGGAAGTCTATTCAATTAGCCCGTGGATTGGCTGTGGCTGCAGAGCTCCACAGCCTGCGTAGCGCGGAGGCTCCTTTAAAGAGGCCCCTGTAGACCCCTCAGGGGGTTTAGACGGAGACAGCAGCAGACTTTCCGCTGCGAAAGTCTCTCCAACGGGTGGACATGTATATAACGCTGGGAGCTTCCAGCTGCCGCTAGTGCAACTGGACGTGCAACAGCTGCTACTGCTGCTGCTGCAGTCTTGGGAAGACGAACCTACAGTCGATACCTTAAGCGTCGAAACGTTCCAGTCACAGGGCTGTTGTTGCTGCTTCTGCTGCTGCTGCTGCTGCTGCACATTCACACTGCCCCTGGAGTACTTGCAAGAAAGCGGCTGCTGCAGCGGATGTGCGGCCCAAGGGTTTGCTGTTTGCTGCTGCAACAACTGCTGCTGCTGCTGCTGCTGCTGCGGATAACTCGCATAGTGGAACTGAGGCGAATCACGATGGGATAGGGCGCCTTCACGGTGTATGAACACGAGCTCTTGCTGCTGCACTTGGTGCGACGGCAGAGGCTGAAGTGCTAGCTGCTGCTTGTAGGGGTACGGTTGCAGGTTATGTGCAGGGGAGGCATACGGAGAAAGGCCACCTTCCCCCGAAGATCCATTGTGAAGCGTACGGTGTGGGGGTTGCTGCTGCTGCTGCTCCTGCTGCTTCTGCTGCTGCAGCTGCGCATGTACTTGTTGCTGCTGCGCATATACTTGTTGCTGCAGGTGCTGCTGAGCATCTGGATCGTGGGGGTGTTGCCGCTGTAACAAGTGCTGCTGCTGCTGCTCCTGCGGCTGCTTCTGCACTTGATTGGGGAGGCGGGAAGACGGCAGTTGCTGTTGCTGTTGCATCTTTGCACAACAGGCGTAGGAATCGCCTTCGATGCGGCTACAGACTGTATACTGTTGCGTTGATTGCGGCGCTAGCTGCATGTGTTCTCGGGTGTTAACTTTCTGCTGCTGCTTGCCTTTTTGGACTTGCCGTTCTTGCTGAGGCTGCAGCGTCAGTTCATCTTCCGGCTTCTCCACACCCTGCTGCTGCTGCTGCTGCTGTTGCTGCTGTTGCTGCTGCCGGTTACAGACAATTCCGAAGAAAAGTTGTTGCACCTGAAGCAGAAGCTCCTGCTTCTCGCTAGCCGTTGGCGTGGCTGCATGGGGTTGCATGCAGCCCCACAGTTCTACCAGCAGCTCCGAAGCCCGCTGCTGCTGCAGGTGCTGCTGCTGCAGGTGCAACTCCTGCTGCTGCTGCTGCTGCTCAATAGTTGGCGCAAGAATGCACACCCCTTCGAGATGCTCTCGGCAATCAGCCTCGTCAGAAACAATTTCCGCAGTTGTATGCCCTGTTCTAGCTGCATCGCCAGCCTTGCTGGCTTGCTTTGGGTGATCATCTTCCTGCTCCTGCAGATCTTTCGTGCAGGATAGTAGACGCTGGACTAAAGAATCCATATTGTTGCTTTCTACGCTGCGACATGTGCCTGAATCATCAGGATGCAGCCCTTGCAGCTGTTGATGCTGCTCTTGTTGCTCTTGCGGCTGCGAGCTTTTGCAACACGGAGCTGCCACGGGGGCGATACCAGGGAGCAACAAGAGCTGCTGCTGCTGCTGCTGCTGCTGCTCCTGTGTGCCGCCAGTAACCGCTGCTGGTGCTTGCATTAGAACGTCTGCTCCCGCTGATACGTGTGCAGTGGAAATAACACCAAACTCACCAGCCGGAAGACCATGCGCGTAAAGGGCCTCTTGGGAATAGGCTTCATTCTCTGGGGCGGTTGCAGCTGCTGCTGCTCCTGCTGTTGCTGCTGCTGCTGCTGCTGCTGCAGCCTGAGGTGTTCTCAGGGCATGGGGTGTGTGGCTGTACAAGCAGCTGAAACTGCTGTCTGAGTTTTGTGACTGCAGCACTTCGTGCTGCGTGGCCGCTGGCTGCTGCTGCTGCTGCTGCTGCAGATGGTGGTGTTGCTGCAACAAGTGCTGGTGTACATACGGATGCGCATCCCATACAGCCCCATCATCCTGTTGCTGTTGTTGCTGCTGCTGCTGCAGTTGATGCTGCTGCTGCTCCCGGCTTTCTTGCCGCTCTGGATGCTGTTGCCGCTGCTGCACCTCCTGCTGCTGCTGCAGCTGCGCATCGCCTCGCCAGTAGTGCTCCTCTTCAGCGGCATGCGAAAGGCAAGACGAGTCGACCCGCCGTTTGCTGCTTATTTCCCGCAACAAAGAATTCAGCTCGCGCTTTACCTGTGGATGCAACAGCAACAGCAAAGCCATAGCAGCAACGGTGCAGCAGCAACAACTACAGTCCTTAGAGCACTTAGAACGAGAGCAAACACAAGCACATACGGGAGCTGTAGATGCCTACCTATCCTCATGTGTGCAGGCAGAGCAGATTCAATATGCGAGGAGGCGCACAAAAGGGAAGGGAGGGGAAGGGGAGAGGAAGCAGGTGGGGTTGTTGTTGCTGTTGCTCGATGCGTGCCAGTCAGCAGCTGAAAGCGGCGAAAAACGCTCTAGACGGGACCTACACAGAGCGATGGGGGGCAGATGCGCTTGGCGCGAATGATGCGATCACCAATCCTTGCAGGCTTCGGTTTATCTCTAAAAATATGCGAATGGCAGTTGATGATGGACTGCACAAGCGGCTCGTACACCTGAGACCATGACAAACAGCGTAGTGGATTCCAGCTTTCAGAGAGGTTGCAAAAAACGCAGATACAGCACTCCTCAGCACGTAGTCGTATGCCACGCGGCGGTGAAGGAAGGCGGGAGTGCCTCAAAGAAAGGCCATATAATGATTCAAAGAGGAAAGGTAGTAAGCTAGAGAGCTTCTAGAGAGCTTCTAGACAGCTAGAGAACTGGACGTAAGAGAGTTAGAGAGCCAGATGTGAGAGACGTGGCTATACATATACATATAAATATATATTCAGAGAGAGTTAGAGAATTAGTGGGAGATATTGAGCCACACAGGGGTGATTTTGAGATAGTTCTCTCTAAAGACATCAACTGAAATATGGAGAGCTGGAGGTGTAGGCAAGTTTCGGAGGGACAGAGAGATCCACGCGAGAGGTGCTGCAAAGAGGAGGGTTAATATATATATATATATATATATATATATATATATATATATATATATATACACCGAGAAAGAGCTCTAGGATGGAGTGTGGAGCCGAGCCAAATATGAAAAAGTGTATTTTCTTTGTCTCTCACCATTGCAGCTGGCAGCTGGCAGTTGATGTTGCCTTCAAGAAAGTCGTATGGCATTTCATCGAGACCTTCGGCAATGGAGGTAACATCTGCGAAGAAGGGAACGCAAACTCTCTCCAGATTTTTGGGGGGGAGAGGAAGCCTGAGACTTGGAGAAAGCCCTGGTGTACGTCCACCCCGAGGGTAGCGGTGGTGCGCTGAAGGTGGTAGTGGCAGCTGCTGCCGTTGCAAGCCATGTTCTTGCGTCAGATTTTGCTGCTGCTGCTGCTGTTGCTGCCTTGCGTCTTCTGCTTCGCGCGGACCGAGCTGGTGGATGCCTCCCCGCTGCTGGCGCTGCCGCTGCTGCTCCTGCTGCTCCTCTTGCTGCACGTGCTGTTGCACCTGAGCGGCTTCGGATTGCAGAATTCCCCATATGTCAACAAGGCCGTCATCCCCGCTGTCTTCTCTCTCCCCCTGAGCTGCTGCTGGATCTGCAGAGGCCGTAAACTCTGCGGATCCAGCAGTCTCGGGAGTGAGACAGGAGTCTCCTAACGACAGACACCGAATGAACGTGCAATCCTGAGGCTGCGTGTGCTTTGCTTCTGGATGGACGCTTTGTTTCTGCTGCTCCTGCTCGAGATGCCCGCCTTCTTCATCGTCCTCTGTCAACTCCACGAGAATGCGGCCTTCCTCGTGCTGCTTTTCGAGCTCCATGGATGCTGAAATCTTAAAAAGAGCAGCCGCGTCTGAGGGCGTAGCTGTCCGACGGCTCAAGAGGCACTCAGGCATCTCGACGTCTCGCCTCAGCACCATTTGCATTTGCTGCTGCTGCGTCTGCAGCTGCGTCTGCTGCTGCTGCTTCTGCTGCTGCTGCAGCTGCTGCTGCTTTGACTCCCCTGCTTCGCTAGACAGCGCGCTTCCACGGGGTGTACTGCTGCTGCAAGCAGTGCCTTTAACGCCCTTGATGCAGGCCGTGTGTTGCTGCGGATCAGTCTTTTCCTCCGAGGTGAGGGGTGGCAAGCACCCTTCGAGCCGCTGCAGTGGTCTTCTCGTAAAGTCTGCCTTCCCCCCGGGTAGAGCAGCAGCACTGGCAGCACTTGCAGCACTTGCAGCACTTGCGCGCAAAGAAATCTCTCTGCGGAGACGCTTGAGCCGCTTTTGCAGCGAAGTCACATCTCTGTCAAGGCCTTGTTGCAGCGCGTACAGCAGAATAGCCTCAACGCTGCAGGTACAGCCTGCTGCACTGCTGCCGCTGCCTCCGTTGCTGCAGCGGTGTCGCAACAGCAAGGCATCTTCTTCTGCAGTAAACGGCCGCGCTAGAGACAGACGCCATCGCGCCAAAGGATTACGCAGGTCCTAAACACACACATGACGCGCAGTAGCAAGCGTCTTGCCATTGCTGCTATTGCTGCTAGTGTTGTCGCTGAGACACGCCTCCTTCTAGTCGTGCTGTGCTGTGCTGTGCTGTACTCCCCTTTTAGGGCGGGCTGAAAGCTCTCGCGTGCTTGCCAGCAGCTGTCCACACATAAAGAATTCCCTGACAAACAACCCCTCCAAACAACACGTCCAAGCAACACGTCCTGATGCCTACCTTCGCTGCCTGCCACCTCCTTTGCAGCGCCTTGAAGCGTCGGAGAATCTGCTGAAGAGACTTTGTGGGAAGGAGCTGTCTCTGAATAAAGGCGAAATTTAGGCGTCCAGACAGCTGAAGACCTAAGGCCAGCAACCGATCCTCCGCGGGAGTAAAGACTGTAAAATATCCCCTAAAGACAGCATTGAGCAACACAAAAAAGGCAGGCAAGCATATATATATATATGTATACATACATATATATATATATATATGTATACATATATATATATACACATATACACATACATGCACACACATTCGAGTGGAGGAGCTGTGAAGAGTTTTTCGCCTCCTCAAGAGGGGTCTACACGTGGCCCTTTGCGTAGGAAAAGTTGAGAGGACGCAAGTCTACGGATGTTTTTTGGCATTGACAAAGAGAGGGAAAGCAGCAGCAGCAGAGGCGTGGAAAGAAGCCGCGCAAGGAGAGACGGGAGTGGGGAGAGCGGTGGAGAAGCGCGAGGGCCATAAAGGCACGAAGAAATTCAAGCCCCTAGCATGCGCATAGAGACAAGCGTGCATGCATGCGTCGTGCATGCATATTGTCAGACAGGCTTTTAGGCGATTCGAGGCAGTGCTCAAAGGCGAGGGAAAGGAAAAAGATGCGTGAAAAAACTCACTCCTCGCCGGCGAGCTGTGCAGGCTGACTTAGAAGCCCCCTGGGTGTAGGCTTTTGTGTCAGAATGAGGCTTAAATCGACAAAGGGATGCTGGAGTCTCAAGAACTCTCGAAGAGGGTCGAAGAAGGAGCTGTCTCCCTCCCTGAAGGCAGCCAACACGCCTTTGCAGAGGCAAACAGGTGAGCGGAGATCCTCACGGAAGAAGCAGCAGCAGATGCAGCAGATGCAGCAGATGCCCCCTTTCGCGGGGGGATGCATAGCTATACAGAGATATTAATAGACACACACGCCTACATCTATCTATGTATGAAATTATGTATATGTATATGCTTGTGGGCACTTTGAATGCATAATGATTGTCCGTAAATCATATTTTTTGCACGTCGCAACACAGCGCGAAGCAGTCGTATCCCTCTGCTGTGCTCTGTTGCGTGCTGCATGCGTCTAAGAATGGACCCCTTGAATAGATTCCCTGAGCTCAACAAAGGAGAATGTCTGGGCAGGATGAGGCGGATGCGCTTTTCTCAGAGGCGCTATTTTCCTCTTAGAGCCTGCAGCAGGCACGCTCTAAGAAGGAAATAACGCCCCTGAGAAAAACGCATCCTCAGAGAGCTAGCTAGCTAGCTAGCTAGCTAGCTGGTGCGCTTACTCAGTAAGAAGCAAAAAGTGCTTAACCTTCCGCAGAAGAGGAACGTCCAGTACACAGCACCGAGGGCACTCCCCCTCGGAAACTGCACATGTGCGGAACCTGCATCCTGCAAATGGCACCAGTCCGCTGCTATCATCTAACGCCCTTCTGCTGTTGCTGCTGCTGTTACTATTGCTGCTGCTGTTACTACTGCTGCTGCTGTTACTACTGCTGCTGCTATTACTACTGCTGCTGCTGTTACTACTGCTGCTGCTGTTGCATCCTTCTGCGGCAGCAGCAGGGAGCGGCTCCTGGAGCTCCAAAGGCGGCAACCCCTCATATCGCCGCAAGGCGTTTATCTGAGAAGAAACGCATTCGGCTGTCAACAGAAGACATGCGGCAAAAACACAACACAACACAATGCCGCTCAAAGCTACGCAGCGCACAGCGGCAACAACAAAAACAAGCGATCGCAAGATTCATTTGGCGCATAAGAGGAAGCAACGGCCCCACATGTTTAAGGCGTGCGACAAGGAGATCACCAAGAAGACCTAAGAGCTTCTGATGCGTTGTCGCCTCCAAAACGCCTCCTGCTCCTGTTGCTGCTCCTGTTGCTGCTGCTCCTGCTGCTGCTGAGCGTTCCTCCATAGTGTTGCAGCTGACACCAGCGGCAGCCAGAGTACTCCCAGCAGCGGTGGCTGTAGCTGCTTGAGGGGCTTTGGTGAGAAAGACTGCCTGCATTAGGAGTTGCAAGTGCGCGTCTAGCTGTAGCTTGAGCCTCCTCAGCTGCTGTTGCGTAAACCCAGTGATGCCAGGAGCCTCCACATCCGCTGCTGCAGAGCAATCTCCTCCACTGCTGCCTTGCAGACGCTGCTGCCCCAGCTGCAGCTGCGGCAACAGATGGCGAACATTCTCAAGTGCGAAGGGAGGGCGCAGAATGCATGCGGCTGCGTCTCCACTGCCTCCACTGGAACCGATCCACTTCTCCCCTAGCGTTCTTAGCCTGCTACTGCTACTGCTGCTGCTGCGGGGGCCCCTGCCAAGCCGCCAGCTGCTGCTGCTGCTGCTGCTGCTGCTGCTGCTGCTGCTGCTGCTGCCAGGCCTGCTGCTGCTGCTGCTGCTGCTCCTGTTGCGGTGATGACGCTTCCTAGGCAGCGCTTGGACGCTGCTGCTGGCGCCTCCTTCCTCCGCGCTTACCTCGCTGCTCTCCCCTTCGGTGCTGCTGCAGCTGCTGCTGCAGCTGCAACTGCAACTGCTGCTGCAGCTGCAGCTCGAAGTGCTGTAGCACGTGCTGCTGTCCGCTGCTCCCGCCGATTCCTCTGCATACAGATGCTGCGCCTCGTAAGAGCGCCCTTCCCCGCCTTCCAGCGGCTCCCTTTGCTGCTGCTGCTGCTGCCTGTGCTTCTTGTATCTGCTGCTGCGACGACAACAGCGAGTGGTATCCGAGGAGGAGTGTGGTCTCGAGGAACGACTCCTCGAATCGGGGGAGTGCAGCACAAACTCTTCATCATCGCTGTCGCTCGCCCACCTCTCAAGGAGCTCCCACACAGAGACGCGGCCTTCTTCCAATGCACCGCCTCCTTCTGCTGAAGCAGCACGACAAAGCTGCGACTCTTGCAAGGTATGCCCGCCACAAGAAGCAGTCTCATTCTGCTCCTCCTTCCGGAAGAACGTCTCAGCAGCAGATGCTGCAGCAGCAGCAGACGCTGCAGCAGCAGCAGACGCTGCAGCAGCAGCAGACGCTGCAGCAGCAGCAGACGCTGCAGGAGGGGCACACGAAACCTTTTTCGGAGAAAAATCGCCTCCCAGAAGGGATCTGTTGCTATTGCTATTGTTGCTATTGTTGCTATTGCTGTTGCTATTGTTGCTATTGTTGCTATTGCTATTGTTGCTATTGCTGTTGCTATTGCTGTTGCTATTGCTGTTGCTGTTGCTGTTGCTATTGCTGTTGCTGTTGCTGCCTCCCCAGCGGCTGCGCCGAGTAGAGGCGGAGGAAGCCTGCCTGCTCTTATACGCGTTTTTTTGGCTATCTGCTGATGCTGAAGTGGCGGGGGAGCCTGCCCCACCCCACCAGAGGCTACTTGAGGCTAACAAGGCTCGCAGAGGGGAGTCTTCCCGAGCATGCTGCTGCTTTTGCTGCTGGTGCATATGCTGCATGGGGTGGTGTTGTTGGGGTTGCATAGAGTGTTGCATGTGTTGTTGCATAGGGTGGTGTTGTTGTGGTTGCATAGAGTGTTGCATGTGTTGTTGCACAGGATGCTGTATAGGGTGTTGCACATGGTGTAGAGGGTGTTGTTGGCCGTGCGTTTGCGTTCCCTGCGGCAGACAGCTGTGCTCTGGCGATCGTATTGCTGTTGCCGAAGTCTGAGAGACGCAGTTGCGTGCCGGAGTGTCTGGTATTCGTTTCTCTGCTGTTTCCCATGACGTCGTAGGATTGCAGCTGAGGGTACTTGCGACAGAGGCGGGTGGTTTCTGCAGTCGTTGAAGCAGCTGACGCTGGCTGCTTGCGCCGGGGATAGGAGGCGGAATGCTGGTGTCTGCACGTTCGTGCAGCATTAAAGGCGAGAATCGGGGGGGTTCAGGCTGCTGCTGCTCGTGGGCTGAGAAGGCACCCATCGCTTTCTAACGATCTCGAGTCTGAGGACGGCAGTCTGTGCTGCAGCAGTAGCGCCTTCTCTGCAGCCGCTGCCTGGCGGGAGTTGGCATGCGTGTTTCATTGCCTCTTCGTCGGGAGAGGGCACGACCCTCGTGCTCTTGCCGCCTCTAGCGGTTGCTCCCCCGCTCACGTGCCTCGCCGAGGAGCCGCTGGAGGCTTCCTAGAGGAAATTCTGGCCGGAAAAGCCAAAAGAGAGGCCCAGGGGGCCCCCCTAGGAGCCGAGTGCCTCCCTTGGGGGCCCCTTTCGGTGGGCGTTGGGGTGGGGGCCCCTGCGCTGCTCGCGGAGTGTCGCCCTCCAGAGGGTCACACGACCCCGATTTTACGACGGTCAAAGGATTCAAAGGCGAAACGAGAGATCGAAACCACAATCGTCGCCAATAGTGGCTAATTTGGCGAGGGAGCTGTGCTGCTCGCAGCTGCTGCAGCAGGGCTGAGGTGTGTACGATGGGGTCGGTGTGTGGTGTTGCTGCTCTGAGGTGCTGTGCTACGGGGGGGTCGAAGGGTGGGGGCTGCAGGGGGGCCAAGACCAACCCTCTGAAAAGGCCACCTTCTGCGGCTTTATATAAATATATATATTCGCCCTCCTCCCTATTAGAGCAACGAAGTCATCCATTTTGCCGCGGGGAACAAATAAATTCGCTTAGGACCTTATTGCGTGGGCATGCAGCGTCTGCAGGATCCTACCGGCCGACTCGGCTCCACGGTGCGCGCCTCATCCTGCTGCGCTGCCACTGCCGCTCGCTGCCTTGTGGTGGCAGTGGCAGCGCAGCAGGATAAGGCCTTTTTGTGGGGGCTCACACAAGCCCGACGACGACACTTGAAACCTAAATGTCGATGAACTTTAAACCCTAATGTCTGCACACTTTGAAGGCTGGCGGCTGTTTGAGACGGCACTGGCCCACGCATCCATTGCGAAGGGCTGCAGAGGATGCAAAACGGCGGCACATTATGGGAGCTAGAGGAGTGCTTCTTAGCGTCTCTCGCACTCTGAAATTCCTTTGCATATCCCCCTAGAATATCCTTGCCTGCTCGCCAAACCTGCCCCCAGCTCAACCCTTCAACGGGCAGAGGTCACGCTGCCCAGGGTTGCTGCGCGGGATTGATAATGCAGGCTACCAGGAAAAGGCGACTAGAAACAGTTCAACAGCAGCAGGCACGCAGAAAGGAAGAATGGTCCCAGTTGCCTAGCACAGCAGATGCAAGCGCTTAATTCTAGGGACAAACAATGCGCGAGAAGCACTGCGATCAAGCTTGTCTCGCAAGCTTCCCGCTCAGGGGGCAGCCGTGCTTGTGGAGTCTTGAGTATTTATAATGAACAGGTTTAACCTAAAGGAGGCGTTTAGGCCCCGCTTAGCCTGCCTGTCACGGACGGCGTGCGATAATGGAACCCAGCGTCTGACACAAACTGCGGGCACGGGGGTTAAGGGGGGTTGGGTTTTTCAGAAATTGGCAGCAAATTGACTTTTGCAGATGCTCCTCTTCTGGCGAGATGTGCAGGTCCGGTCCCCCATGTGTGTGACAGCACAACCCTGCTACCCCAAAAGAAAGCTGATCTTGAGCCCATAAAAACGCCCCCAGATAGCACGTGTGAATGTGCTTTTAGCTGGGGATACGCCGCATGGTTTGGCAACTCTACAGGGTATTTGCTGCACAGCAGGGAGGACTAGTTCCGAGCTTAACGAGTGGTTGCTGTGTGCCTCTTGGCAAAGCTCTATCAGACTTTGAGTGCGAATACATCGAACGGCTGACGCGGGCAGCAACGCGCGCACGCCCGCTGTGCATTCTCCTACCCCGCATGTGCCAAAGCCCTTTCAGGCGGTGCGGGTAAGGATAGAGGAAACCAGCACCTTCAAAGAGGCAAATAAGAGTGGCGTATTCTTCATTCTGCTGCCGCATCAAGATTTCCAGTGGGATCCCGGGGGCCTAGTGCTAAGTAGCCCTATTAAGGCCATAATATTGGTTCCTGCGCTGGAGGCTTCGGCTCTCTCTTGAAGCCGCAGAAGGTGCACCTGTGGTGTAGTGACTTGTGTCCTAACTGCCCTGTCAAACGGCTTCTGTAAATCCCCCATAGGGTCCCACAGCACCACATTTGAGTGTCTTCAGGAAGAAGGGAGGTAGCTTGAGCCTTCCTTGAGTGTCTCGAGCTCCAAAAAAAAGAAAGCTGCTTCACGTATAATATACAATTCCCCAACGGAAGAGACCATCGTGGCCCTGTCCACAGGCCCTGAAGGCAGCCAACCCGATGACCATAAACCTTACGCCCACAAACACAAGACTGCATTTCCATTTTACCTCCAAAGCAGATGAGGAGACGCCTCTGAAGAATAAATGGACGGGTGACACCGACAGCCTCAGGTCAGCGAAGAACCATCGTACCTACTTGTAGTGAACCCTCGCTTCGGCGTTGTCTTCCTAGCCCTTTTTGTGCATTCGTTCGTACCCTTTTTCTTTCCTTCTTTTCATTCCACTGCGCCTTTCGATTCCTCTTGTTCCTCTTGTCTCGCAATTCGCCATTTCTGATGCGTATGGAACAGAGGCGCTGCCTCGGCTCTAATTCGATAAGCATCCTTAGAGGACGTTTCATGAGTCAATGCATGTCTAAAGGTAACTACTTCTAATGCGAAAAATCAGCAGAGGGGTGCTCTCAAGGACGCACATGAGAATGCTCGCTGTTGTCCGTACTCTAAAGAGATCCCCTACATCGGGCCTGTACACTGCGAAGGAGAGTTGTGTGTGGCGTTTTACCCTTTCTAGAGTTCCTTCAAAGCGCAGTCTGTCTCCCTGCTGATGGTGGCTTGGCTGAGCGCACGTTTGCACGCGTCTGCCAACATATGCATCCCCCTAGAGGTAGGAGGTACATGCGTAGCAATGTGCAGATACAGTGCAGCGGTCCGTCCTGCCCTTATGGCGAGTTTGCGTTCCTCCTAGCCTGGAGGATTTTCTGGTGACTCCTCCTTCGGCTCACAGCGGCCCTTTTGCACCAAGGAGGCATACATGACAGGATCAACAACACTCAGCTTCTTCGAGACACCCAAACAAGTACAACTCCACGCGCTTTGAGTAAAAAAAATAGAATACGGGGGGCACACACTGGCGCAGGAACGGTGCTGCTTCATCAGCCTGCCTAGAAGTTCCCAATCCTCCCCATTGCGTGGGTCTCTAAGTAGCCCTCTCTTCTCTCATGATTCGATCCTATTAAACCCTTCTTTGAGGTCATCCAGATTGAGGCGGAGACGCACAGCCACAAGTTTGTGCTCCTCTGTTGTTGTCCCCGCATTCTCGCGCACTCCGCTGCCTTTGATTTTAGCTCTCTCGCCTACTTATCGCTTCTGCCCGTGTGTTACGCAGAAGGAACAAAGGTCTTCTGCCCGCTAGATAAGGGCAGTACCAGCCCTGCGTGCTTCCGTCATTCTGTAGATACCTTTACAGTAGTTCTCAAGCTGCCAATACACCTGATCTTCTTAGACTTAAAACACATGCTGTCCACCTGCTGCACGCATGCACCTGCTGCTCCTCCCCATTCCCTGAATTTCCTTTGAAGCGCCACGAAAGCAGGCGGTTGAGTAAGGTGGGTTGAAACCGGCAGCGTGTACTCCTATAAAGCTGGCTCGCATCTCCTTTTATTCTTAGACAGTGCAACTCTTTTGAGCTAGCTGATACATCCCCTTAGTGTGAGACAGATAATGCCTTCTCTTCTTTTATCGAGCACAATGGTGAGCCTTTACTTTGCCTGTACCACCGCAGAAGGAACTTTCCTCTAGAAAGGCGTATTCCAGCATTAAGTTTCAGTTGTTAGCGCAGCATACACTCCAGCTGTTACTGCTGGCAACGTTCTGGTCTTGTGCACGGTACCATGAACCAAGGAAGCCTATTGATCTTGGATTCGTTCTGCTATTGCCGTGCGTTTTAGGCTACTTTCTTTGTATTATTGCACGGAAGGTTTCCATAGGGAGACGGTATGTTAACCCTACACCAAAGACAAGCGAATTGAACGCCCTCTAAATTCCTCCCATAGAAATTGTTCCCCCTCTGCTCGTTCACGCCCCTCAGAGCTTTGGCATAAGGCGAGAGGAACGGAGCGTTCAAGTACACGGCCATTGCTGCACCCTGTCGGCGTTTTTTCCCAAGGCTTTGCAGATACTTGCACCTAGCAACCCGCAGGATTTTCATTTTTCCCCTCTCCTTTGCAAGCAGCATGATATCCTAGAGCATCCGACCCCAATAGGGAGTCTTTTTTCTCAGCCAGAATTTATGCATGCAGTGGAAAGGGCTAAAGTATAGCGTAGCCTGCTACAAATTCGTAGCGCACACTGCCGTGATCTAGGATATGCTACACCGGTCAGCTACCTTTTGACACGCATGAAGGGCAAAAAGCGACTGCCGCCGAATGCGCCCTGGGGCTTTTGTGTCGTTTTCGAAGAGCGGTGCGAGGAGTTTGCCATCAGAAGCCGTTTTTTCCTTCAAAAGAGAAGTTCTCTTGGGGGATGCGTTTACGTGGTTTTGACGAATGGGCGGCATTCTCCTGGGAAGCCGTGGACAGATGATATTAGACGTGATTTTTATCTTTGGTTTAGTTTGAAGGCTTTTTCGTGGCTGCTTTCCCTTCCCCTCCCCCGCCTTTGCGTGCCCAACGCATTGCAGGGTGGGAGCAAGAGCAGCGGGTATCACGCACCAGCTAGAGAGGAGTTACCCTGTGAATACATAGAGGAGCATCTGCTTTCCTGTCTCTGTGTGTGTGTCTGTCTGGCTATACGCTGGGGCCATAAAAGAACGGCGCTAAGGGGGGCAGGCAGACAAGGCGCACTCAGAAGGCTCAGTATTCCCAGAAGCCCTCAATAGCACTTGAAGAGGCATGGATCACACGAATATTGCTTAGAGGTTGCATGTACTTTTCTTTTTGTCACAGGAATGAGACAGAGCGAGGGCCCTTGCTGCATCGGCGGTCTGTACTCAAAGGGGTGAGCGAGTGTGCAATGGAGTGCCACGCACTGCCTGGGACAGCCTCGCCAGTTGCATTTCATCTCAATTTCTTCTAAGAAACAATTTTTTTGTGTCTCAGCGCTACTCACAAGAAAGGGGTGTTCGATACAAGGAAGGAGGTGAGGGGAAGGAAGCCATAGCACCGCCGCTAGGGGGCCCCTTTCGTAGGGAGTGTGAGACTCCTGGGAGTGAGACTCCTGGGAGTGATGAGCGTGAGCCGTTTGCCGTCTAGATGAGGACACCCGCGGATTTCAATGCAGCTGAAGTCACTTAACCTCCTTTTCCTTCAGTGCTTTTCCCGAATTGTGCCTTAACGTAGACAGGTTCGTGTGTCGTAATCGCTCCTGCGGCGAATACTCGTTGAGCCTCGGTAGACGTTGAGAACAGTCCGCCCCTGCGCTCAGCAAACACACAAGCCACACCCACGGCTTTTTTTCAGGCTTGAGGGTGTGACTTGTAGGGTCTAACTGAGCGCGATGGTAATAATTGCCAAAGGCTGAGTGAGACAGCGCCTGCATGCTCGACTCATCGGAGAGTCAGACGACCCCAAGCACAACGGGGGGAGGCCTCTCTGACCTCTAGGGGCAGCTCCGGGTGTGGAGTGCAAGACTTCCGGCGTAGACTGGAAGGTGTATTATAACACTCCAACTCGAGCCTCCCTTGTGAGTGGACTAGCGAACTCCAGCAGCGGCGGCTGCAGGGAGCTGCAGCTGCAGCCGCAGCCGCAGCACAACAGCAACGCCAACAGCAGCAGCCGCGGCAACAGCAGCGGTCCAAGGGGGCCCCCTGCTGGGCTGGGGGGCCCCTCCTCAAGAATTCGGCTCCCTTGAGACGCTGCACAGCCAGAGAAGGCTATCCGACAAGTCTGCGGAGGCACAGTTTTTCTTTTGCCCGCACCGGCTCCCACGGCTAGCCACAACGCTGGGAAACGCTGTCAACATGGGGAACTTTTTGAGGCGCCACAAGACGTGAGACTCTTGCGTTTCGGGAGAGATCCTCCAGACAGGGTCCCCTTCGAGTGTGTGCGCCCGCTCCCATCCCTGAAAGAAAGATAAGCCCCCTTTACCTCCCTGAAGATTCTGGAGTGGATTCAGAGTTTGCTTTTTTTGCAGAGATCCTACCAGCGACTGGACAGTATACCTAAATGCGCAGCAACGGCAGGAGAGTGTCACCAACGAAGTGGTGGGCGGAGCGAGCATCGTACTTATACCCGTTTTTCAAGTAGTCTTAACGCGTTTGTGTCTAATATGAGAGCTGCCAACCCTCCACGTCATGCCGCCTTGAGATGGCCACACCTCACCCTTCCCTCTTCAGGGGACCTTGACAACGGCTGCCTCCGAACCGCGCTAGAATCCGAGTGGTTGAACTTTGCGCTGCATCCCGCTAGCTACGATCGTCACACTTCACTCTCGTTCCTGGAGAACTGAACATTCCTGGCTGATTGCGCTATTAAGAGGGTGCAGTGCATGCACATATGTGCATGTGTCTGTCTATATATATGTATGTACGTACGTAAATATGCGTATTCGTGTATACGTATGTGTATGCACATGGAAACGTGTTAGTATTTATGTATCTATCTGTGTGTGTGTGTGTGTTAATGTGTGTGTGCTTGGGGGTGATGCTGCAGGTCACGTCGAAATACACCGTTTTGACTTTCCTGCCAATAAATTTGTGGGAGCAGTTTCAGAAGACGTCGAATGTTTATTTCATCGTCATTTGCGCGCTACAATGCATTCCAGCAGTAAGTTTCAGGTCTCATCCCCCCAGCCTTTACATTCCTGATAGGAGGTCCTTGCAGGCTCGTGTTTGCATCTTTATGGGGTAATTGTTCATGATGCGCTTGTTTCGCTTTCCAGATCTCAACAACAAACGGAACGCCAACGCTGGCTCTTCCTTTAGCGGTTGTTGTCACAGTAAATGCATTCAAAGATGCGTATGAGGACATCCAAAGGCACAGATCAGACAAACTCGAAAACTTGCAGGTACACCTCCCTCTCCTAATCCTTCTTTTAACCCCGAATCTTCTTTCTCCCTCTCCTAATCCTTATTTTAACCCCGAATCTTCTTTCTCCCTCTCCTAATCCGTATTTTAACCCCACCTCCTCTTTCTCCCTCTCCTAATCCTTATTTTAACCCCGAATCTTCTTTCTCCCTCTCCTAATCCTTATTTTAACCCCGAATCTTCTTTCTCTCTCTCCTAATCCTTATTTTAACCCCGAATCTTCTTTCTCCCTTTCCTAATCCTTATTTTAACCCCGAATCTTCTTTCTCCCTCTCCTAATCCCTCTTCCAAGCCCAACCTCCGCTCCTTCGACGCTAGCAGACTCGTCTTTTTTCCGGTTTGAAGTGTAGCGCTTGGGGTGGCTAGCAGCAACAAGGATCTCTCTGGCCCTGGCGGTGCAGCAGCCTACGCCTGTCTGTGAATGCAGCCGTGCCGTCCCTGCCCCTCGAAGTATTGCGATGGGGATACGACTCGGATCGATTTCTTGCGACGAATCTGCAGGTTACACACTCCTTGCCGCGGAATGCTGCAGACGCTGCGGAGGCTGCACGGAGAGACACGCGGCAAAAGCAAAGGGCTGCAGATGCAGCCGTGCGGCAGGGCCTTAGAGCCAGGGAAGGCGATGTCTATGTGTCGGAGAGCGAGGGATATCTGGATTTGCTGTTAGAGCAGCGGCAGCAGCAGCGGCAGCAAAACGCCGAAAGAGATCGACTGGCTGGTCTGGGGCTTGTCAGTCGCAAATGGCAAGATGTGCGCGTGGGAGACCTCGTGGTCTGCTTCAAGAACGAGGCCTTTGCAGCCGATGTGTTGCTGCTGGGATCGTCCGATCCCAAGGGCCTAGCGTTCATCGAGACGAGCAGCCTGGACGGCGAAACAAATCTGAAGCTGAAGCAAACGGCGAAAGGCATGGCAGCTGCTCTACCGTCTTCGCTGCCGGAGGCCGTGAAGGCGGCAAAGGCTTTTGAAGGCAAGCTCGTCACCAAGCAGCCCAATCGTGATTTGGGAGTCTTCGAAGGGCTGCTCCATTTGTCTACCAAGTCGCAAGCAACCCCTGCCTTCGGCTCTTCCCGCAGCCTACGGCCAGGACGTCAAGGCTTCCAAGGGGCGCAAAGCGCTTTCAACAAACCCGTGGCAGTCGGCTACTCCCAAATCCTCCTTCGAGGTTGCAGACTGAGGAATACGGATTGGGTCGTTGGACTGGTAGTATACACGGGGAAGCAAACCAAGATTCAGATGGTAAATCTAACTGTCCATTCTACGGTGTGTGTCTGCGTGCTCGCATGTCTTATGTGCAATGGGGCTCATGTGCATGAGTGGTGATCTAGGCACTCTCTCTCCGTCAGCAAAAATGCATCTTTTAAGGCTTCAGGAGGACAGCGCTAATTTCTTACATCGTTCAAACTCCCTCCAGGGATTGCCCCACATGCGTCAAGTCTTCCGATGCGATTCGAAAAACACGCACAAGAAAAAGATGGATGGAGGGTTGGATGCATGCCTATTCCTCTGTTAAGTCCTTTTCTTATGCGCGTAAAATGTATGTATACATGTTCATGTGTGTGTGTATGGATGTATATATATATATATATATATTTGTATATGTATGGATATATATATGTATATATATATATATATATATATATATATATATATATATACATATATATATATATATATATGTGCGTATGTATGGATGTGTGTATATGTATATATATCTATGTGCATATGTATGGATATATCAATATAATATCTCTTTGTATGCTTGCAGAATAGTGGCAGCGCTCCTCGAAAGCTTTCTCGGGTAGAGCGGTTGACGAATCGTCTGACCTTGTCCGTCTGGGCCTTACAGGTATTCCTGTGTTTGTTGGCAGCGTTTCTCCATTTGGCTTTGGTGTACTGGCATTCGACAACGGATTTTTACAAGCAGTTTGCGGAGAAGGGGAGTCAGTCCGCTACGCTTTTCTGTAAGGCGGGTGGTTGGGTGGAGGCGTTGTGGGGTATGGCTTTTGGGAAAAGGGTTGCAAAGGGGGTTGGATGGCGATTATTGCCGGTGCTTTTGCAGTTTCGGCTCACAGAGGACCGAATGGAAGAAGAGAGTTCTGCAGAGGGTGTGTTTATGTGTGTGCATGCCACACGCAGCGGGGGGTCAAGGGAAAGCGACTGAGAAAAGCGTTGTGATGATGTGGGAAGGTGGAATGAGTGCCCTCCTATTTGCGGTTCAGGGTTTGTGAGCTTCTTTACGTGGATGGTGCTGACGTGCAACATGGTACCGATCTCGCTAGTCGTTCAGATGGGCATGGTGAAGGCCTTGCAGGCATTCTTTATTCTCAAAGACAAGGACATGATGTCAGGAGAGGAAGTCTCAGCGAGAAGGAAGCGGATTTACCTGCCAACTGAAGATGTTTTGACGAGTGGCGCCTTTCGAGGGGGTCAAGCATCACTGGGGGAAGCAGCAGCAAGCGGACGAAAAGACACAGCAGCCGGCAGAGGCGGGCTGGAAGACGGACTTGGAAGGAGAGCAGGCACCAAATCGCTCAGGGGAGAGGACGCACACGCTTCCCTCATTCCTTACGCAAAAAACTCCACAGCCAAGGCCGAAGGATGGATCGTGTCTGGGAGCGTTGTGGAAACAGGAACCTCTTTTGCCCACTACCGACAGTACAGCAAAACACGGAGTTCAGCGAATTCGCGCCGCAGCCGCGATCCTTCAACACTTGCTGTCTCTGCTGCCGCTAAGGCTCCCACCAAACAGGGGGCCTGGCCTCGCACAAGCGACCTCAACGAGGAGCTTGGTCAAGTTGGTTATATCTTCTCTGATAAGACAGGAACACTCACACGCAACGTCATGGAATTCAAAAAGTGCTGCATCAAGGGTGCGCGCGCAGCGGCGGCAAGACGGCGTCTTTCCTGTGATGCAGATTACGCCGTGGCCTATACACATACAGTGCTGCATTTCGTTTACAGGGAGGGGGGTAGGGGTTTCAAGAAGCATATTTTTTGTATTCAGGGAGACGCCTGCGTCGTACAGGTATACACATGTATACGTGCATGTATATGTATATATATATATATGTATACAACTGTATAAATATATATGTATATATATATGCGTCACAAATATGTGTATTTGTAGGGTGTATATGTATATAAATATGGATGCATGCATACATATTTATGCATATATACATACCTATAGCATCTACAGTTGTAGATGTACAAATAGAGTGCTCAGCGTGGTGGATTGGTAGGCTCGAGGAAGATTTCCTGATAGCCGATGGTGTGTGAGCGATTGCTGGAAGGGGGGAGAGGATTTTTTTAATGTGTTTGCATATGGTATCAGGAATCTGTTACGGAACGGGTATGACAGAAATTCGACGTCAAGTTCTGCGTCGGCTTGGGGAGCCTGTGCCGCCCGAGCCGCCTCCCCGTGAGTTTCATGTTTTTGCGAATTTTCGCTGCATGCACTGCCTGCGGCTGTTTTTTCTTCACGGGCAGGACGAATGAAGGGGGTTTGCCTCTGATAAATCGTGCTGCGTGTTTCGAATGCGTGCAGTTCCTGGAGATGAGGATACACCCCATGTGCGCATCAGCGACACCAAACTGCGTGAGCACCTTTCGGATCCTTTCAGTCCGTGTCACGCACACGCCGTTCGTTTTTTCTTTCATCTCGCGGTGAATCATTCGGTGATCTGCGAGGCTGCGGAAGACGGAGGCACGACGTACGACTTGCATTTTCCCCAGAGGTTGCGGGAACGAGGGCGGTCTGTCTTCCCAAGTGATGCCGGTAGTCCTCTGGGAGGGGGCGATGAGGGGGGGAAGGGGCAACACAGGGAGTTTTGCGATAAGTGTGGAAACTAGCCGGTCTGAGGCATGCGCGTTCTGCAGCGAAGCGGCGGCTTTGGGAGGCAGCGTGTGTTTTTCCTTGCAGATACGGCGCGAGCAGTCCTGATGAGGGAGCTCTCGTGTACAGCGCGCATCATTTCGGGATATCCTTTTTGGGAAGACACTCGGAGGGGCTGTCTGTTTCCGTATTGGGGCGGCGTGTGCTTGTCCGAATTCTATGCTGCATTGAATTCACCTCGAGACGAAAGCGATCGAGCGTTTTGGTTCATGTCGGCTTCCCTGATGAAGGTACCCCTGCTACTGCTGCTGCCAGCAGCAGCAGTAGCAGCAGCAGCGCGTGTGAGGGGCTGCGAGGGAAGATCTTGCTGCTTACCAAGGGTGCAGATACGGTAATCATTCCGCTGCTCTCTGGCATCGGTCCCTTGGAGGAATCTATGATCGAAACCATGGAGGAATACGCGAAGGATGGACTGAGAACGCTCTGCATTGCGCAAAGGGAAGTATCACCCGAGGAGTTCGTACAGTGGGCAAAATTCTACGAAGAAGCAGAAAACACGACCGAGAACCGGCAGGAGAGGATCGAGCAGTAAAGATGTGCACGCGTTACTCTAGCCCTTAGGCGTAGTTTGTGTATTATCGATAGGCAGCCTTTGGGGGTAGGGGAGGAAGGAGGGAAAAGGTCCTACGGATGAGGAGGGGAACGCCAATGAAGGGAGGGGAATGAAAATCATCAACGCAGCCAGATATGACTTGTGCTGCGAGTTCTATCTGGGTTTTTCTGTATTCATTTTTCGGGGGGGTAGGAGGGAGGTGCTCACGTTGAGGCATCACCGTCTGCGTATTTACAGCTTCTCCATATCGGTGTATTACAAAGCTACATTACACGCCTTCCAGGGTGCTGATCTCGGCTTTTTTCCTCCGTTTTTCGGCGTATCGATGGTTCTCTGCTCTCTGCTTCTTTCGCGTGCGCGCATGCGTGTCTCTACATATTTGTGGGGTGTATCTGTCTGTACAACTTCGGTCTGTCTGTGTTTCACTCTGTGTGTGAGGCGATGCCTCGCTCGCTCGCTCAATTGCTTGCCCTGTCTCTCTCTCTCTCTCCCCTGGATTGTGTGTCTAAGTCATAACCTTGTAGTGTTTTGCTTGGACGTTGGATACGTTTTGGTGGCTCTGTGTGTGCTGCGTGCAATGCACTGTTTGCATGTCGGCAGAGTGGCGGAGATGCTAGAGAGGAATCTTGAGCTGCAGGGTATCACGGGCGTGGAAGACAAGCTGCAGGAGGACGTGGGTCCTACCATCGAGAAGCTGAGGCAAGCAGGCATTAAGGTGTGTCTGCTGTGTGTGCTTTTGCGACGATTTTTAGCGGGTGTCTATGCAGTCGCGGCGGCTTCCAAGGGCACGTTTGAAGATCACGTTTTGAGCGCACTTTTTCCCGGCGTGATGCACCCAAACTGCATTTGTTGCGCACACAGAGAGGGCCTAGCAGAAAGGATATGCAGGAAAGAAGCTAGCTATGCAGCTTAGAGGCGTTTGTACGTGTGGGGGGAGGCCTTTTGGTGCGGTGTTGTTGTTTACGCGTTTTTGCCCTTTCCGTCTGTGCGCGGTGTCGTTTGTGCGTTTCCTGATGTTCGTATTTGTAAAAGGTGGCGTCTTTTCCCTCTTCCTCCTCCTCTCTTCCTCCTTCGCATGTGCAGTTTTCGTTCGCGTGTGTGTAACACATATATGTGACCGTCGTCGAGTGTTTGTTTTTCGTGCTGCTTTGCTGTGCATGCCTTTTTCTTGCCTAGGTTTGGATGCTGACGGGTGACAAAGTCGAGACGGCAGTAAACATTGGCGTAGCGACCTCGCTGCTGTCAGAGACCATGCAGAAGACTACATACGTGTGGGAAGAATTGGGCAGCAAGGAGCGGCTTATCAAGAAGTTGCAGCAGGACGTTCGTTCGCTTGCTGCAGAGAGGCGGCAGGAGAAGCTTGCTGCCCTCTCGGTTGGTACGGCTGGCAGCAAGCGACACCCCAGCAAGAACGCAGAAGAAGCGGGAGGGGCCGTGCAGACTGAGCGTGCGATGCTTGTTGATGGGGACGCTCTGGCCGTGCTGCTCGAGCCTGACACGGCTATCCAATTTGCCGCTGTCTGCACTGCATGCAAGGCTGTTATCTGCAGCAGGGTGACACCCTACCAAAAGGTGAGTGGCAGGTGCGCGTGCGTGCTGTGGGGGTCCTTGTTTGCTTTCTCTTGACAGACGGCCATGCATTTATTTTTTGGCGGGGGTGTTTTAATTGCCTCTGGTATGTGTCTGTGCTGCCGCGTATGTGTGGCATGGCCAGGGAGCTGTCGTATCTCTGCTCAAAGAAATGACTGGAGAAGTGACGCTTGCGATTGGGGATGGTGCGAATGACTGCAACATGATCCAAGCCGCAGATGTCGGGGTTGGGCTAAGAGGCGAAGAAGGCATGCAAGCATTTAATGTACGGGGCCTCTTCTAAAGCTTGTGTTGAGCGTTGCGAGCCTGCCTTGACGTGAATCTGAGCGTTTTTTTCATAGCGCCATAGTAGCTGGTTGTCTATTGACGCTGCAGCCTTTGTTCAAAGGCTGTCTATCTTTTTACCGACAGGATGATCCTTTCTTCACGCGTCTTTCTTCTCTAAACGCACGACCTTTTAAACCTGCGCCTCTCTTCCGCCAGGGCCCCTCCGCGCGTCGTCCCCAACTTCCCGTCTCTGCGCTCGTCTGTCTGTCTGTCTGTCTCTCTCTCTCTCTCTCTCTCTCTCTCTCTCTCTCTCTCTCTCTCTCTCTCTCTCTCTCTCTCTCTCTCTCTCTCTCTACTTTGTTTGTTCGTCTAGTGCATTCGTTGCGCCTCCTTTTTGTTTTAACGCTCGCCTTAAACAACTCGACCGTGGCGGTGTCCTCCTGCCTTGCGCCCTTTCGGGCTGTGCGCGTTTGCATGCATGCGTTCCGTTGGACCCCATCGCTTCTTGCCTCTTGCATGCACCTGGAGCGTGCGTTGTTTTGGGTGGCATGCGCAGACTTCGGATTACGGCTTGAGTCAGTTCCGCTTTCTTCAGCCCCTGCTCCTGGTGCATGGCCGCTGGAATTATCGCCGCATCTCACGCCTCGTGCTGTACATGTTCTACAAGAATCTCGTTCTGGTTCTGCCCATGTTTTTTTACGGCGCCTTTTCCCTCTTTTCTTCGCAAAAGTTTTACTTTGAGTACCTCTACCAAATGTACAACGTTGTTTTTACCGCTGTAAGAAACGAGGGGGGGGGGTTCTTTCGCGGGAGTCACGGGGGCGGCTTGATGGGGAGAATAGATAACGGGCATCGAGTCGTTCTTTCTTTCTCTCTCTCTCGCTCTTTCTCTTTCTCTCTCTCTCTCTTTCTCGCTCTCTCTCTCTCGCTCTCTCTCTATATATATACGCCTTTTCTTTATTCCCTCCTTATTAGCAACTTCATCCTCCGGAGCACACGCTCACGCAGCCCTTCCCTGCAGCAGCGGGAAGCGCTTCTAGAGAGCACCTCAGTGCGAACGATGCCTGGGTCGCAGCGTGGCATGAAGGATACATAATGCATGATGCGTAGCCGTCTGCAGATCCCCATTACGCTCTACGGAGTGCTCGATCAGGACGTAGATCGGCGTCTGTCCCTCAAATATCCGCAGCTGTATCGTTGCGGACAAAACCACTATTACCTGAATTTCAAAGTCTTCCTTTTATGGTGCCTCACCGGATTCTGGCATGCAACTGTTGTTTTCGCGCTCCCCCTCGGCGCTCTCGGCTTCTATAGTATCCCGACACTCGGAGGACAGGTACACACAGAAACGACGCTCAAGGCTCCAACTAGCTAGCTAGCTAGCTGTTCGGATAGCCAGCTAGCTAGAAGCTTTCATGTGTTTGTTGAGGTGTAGCCTGTTGGGTTTCGGGTTGTGTATGTATGTGTGTCCCTTTCTCTGCGGCTCTTTCTGTTGTTCTATTGGCGTGTTTGCCGCTCTCCGGGGCTGCCGGTTGTAGGGTGACGAAAAAACTCTTTTTACTTCTATAGGGCTGCATGCGGCCGCCCGCTTTCTGAGCTTCTCAGGGTACCCTTTGCAGGATCTGCGAATCCTTGAAAGGGCTTTGAATAGAGGGTTTTTGTGCCATAGGGTATATCTGTGTATGTATCTGTACCTGTGTATGTATGTGTCTTTGTGTGTATCTGTGTGTGTATTTCTGTGTGTGACTGAGTATCTATCTGTGTGTGAATATGCTGTGTTTGATGCAGCCGTTCGATTTGTGGATGTGTGGGATGGTTGTCTTTGCGCTCACGATGATAGTCGTAAACGTGAAGGTCCTCTTGGAAACTGCTTACCTGAATACTGTAGTTTGGGGAGGGTTTATTGTTAGGTATGAGGCTGCTGAGGACGCTGCAGGGAGTGCTGTTGCTGGTGTTGCTGCTGTTCTGCTGACGGTGGTGGGTGGTGCTCCTGTTGGGAGTTTTCGGGGGCTAGTGAAACGCGGGGGAGGGGGAGGGGATGGGGGAAGAGAGGAGTTGGGGGCTGCAAGTTGTGTTGGAAAACGGCGTCTGCGGCGCAGCGGTGTTTTTCGTATGATCCTGCAGATGTATGTATGTGCTTGATGGCCAGCACTTGCATTTGCCGCTGCAGCTTGTGCAGTTGCTGCTTCTGTCTTGTGTGCATAAAGTGTCTCATTGATCATTGTGGATCTCTTGTTCGCCGCCATGTGTAATCGGGGCACGGGACAGGGAGAAGAAAAGTTTGCGGTCTCCTTCAAAATGATACATAAATATATATAAACAAGTATATGTATATACAAAAAATATGGCTATAAATAAATATTTATTGACATACATGTTTGCCGGCTGTCTTGCGTGCGGGTGGCCTTTCATGTCTGTGGATGTCTTCGACCTGCTGGCGCTGAAATGACTGCCGGTGTGCAAGTGCGGGGTTCTGCGTGAATCGATTGCAGCTTGCTGGCTTGTTTGCTCTTCATGTTCGGCTTTTCGTCGTGGCCAGGATTTGCGGGATCTGTCTTGGGAAATATTTACTATCTGCTGGTACATGCGGCCCCGAGCACAATCATTTGTATGGCAGCTGGACCGACCCTCTGCCTCCTCCGAGATTGGATTTGGAAGACTTTCAAGCTCACCCTCATGCCCGAACTTCACCACTATGTCCAGCAGGTGGTCCGTCTCGCAAAAGCACATTGCTGTGTTGCTGCTGAGAGGATTGCGCTGTGCCTTCTTCTGGAATGGGAAGGGAGGAGGGAGGGAGCGCTCGAGTGCTTCGTGTCGCACCCGCGGATGCACACATACATCCGTGCAAAAACTGATATATATATATAGAGAGAGAGAGATCTAGCTATACGTAGATCTCTATATATGTATCTGTACAGTTGTAGGGTTTTCTTCCCTGTTCTACAAGGGTCTCTCTCTCTCGCTGGATTTTTTTCCCGCGTTCGGGTGTATGCTGCAACTCACATTTTGTGTTGTGCCCCTTGTTGCCGCCGTAACCGCCGTTTTAGTCCGCTGTGTGCTCCTGCTTCCCTTGTGCTTCCACTTCTTCCTCCTTCTTCTTTTCCTGCCGGCGCGATGTTTTGCCGTGTCGGGGGGGAGCTTCTCCCTCTGATTGCGGGATGCATGCCTCTCCACCTTCTGCGCCAATGCTCACTGCTATTTTCGCCTCAGGAGTATTTGAAGAGTGCCGACATGGCATCGCAGATCGGCTTAGCCGCAATCAAGCCTCAGAAGCTCCGCGGTCGAAAGGCAGTAACAATTGTTGCCGCCGCAGAGGCAGCAGCAGCACGATCACGACCTGCGGGACGCAGTGTTTCCTTTATGCCAAAACCATCGGTCATTCAGTCTCCCGCAGGAACCCTCCTGGAAGGATCGACTCCGCGTCATCAGGTATCTCCCGAGGATGTGCATCGTGCACCTCTGTGGCTTGCATGCCTCGCATCTCCTTCCTCTCCTTCCTTTGACGCCCGTCGCTCCTTCCAAAAAATTGTACTTGCACCATTTTTCTTGCATTGGTTAGGTCCTGTGGAACTGCTGTGCTGCCTGCCTGTGTTGTGGGACGCACGACGCCTTGCGTCACTCGCCTCTTCTTCCCTGCTATCATCTGTCCTTGCTCCTGCAAACCGTTTTTCTTCACGAGTCTTCGGTGTGCACTTTTCGTGTGTGGTGAACCCTGCTTCTTAGAGCTGCGATTGGGAGAGCACGCAGCTCTCACCTCGGCCGTACAGCGGCTATGCTTTCAGCGAGGCAGACCCTGCCTTCGTTAACGTCCTGAATCAAGATGGCGATACTCTGCACAGGCAGCGCACTACTCTGAAACCACCCTCGCAAGACGCGGTGCACGGCGGTAGCAGCCGATGCAACAACAAAAGCCTCAGCAGAAGCATGAGCAGCGCTCACACGAGAAGGGGGCACAGCGGGAGTAGCAACAGCAATTTGGATCCGCATAACAGCTTGACCAGAGAGTCCTCAGCGTGCACCAACAAGCACGCTGACTCCCATCAAGGCGCTTGAACGCGAGACTGCGCAGCGGAGACGCGGCTTTCGGGAAAAACTTACCGAACGTCACGATGCCGTGGCATTTGCTTTTTAAAAAAACACGCCAGCCGCTTTTGTACAGTGGTCGTGGAAGCCTTTTCCACACACGCTGCACGGCTTTGGCTTTTACCCATGTGCCATGATGAATACGCAGAGATAGATAGATAGAGTGATAGAGATATATACAGAGCGAGCGAGCTGGTCTCTATTTAAAATCCTCAAATCTTTAAGTAGGGCTGCAGAACTACTGCGTAGGCATAAACACAGGGTAGCGGGACGCAAAACCCTCAGTAGGCGCATGTGATGATTCGTAGCATCCGGCTTTTCTCTCGCCACATAAGGCCCCCCGCCTGTTGTGCACCGTTGTTGTGTCTTTCGCTGCTGATGCGCTGTTTAACCGGTTACGTCCTGCTGTTCGTTATTCTCGGGATAAATACTGCACCTGCCGCTGCTGTGAGCAAAGCGTTTGCAGTCAGTGCAACCTTGACTGCGCCCCCAAGACACTCCTTGCCCTGTCCCTGCCACTGTATGGCCTTGTACAAAGACGAGTCAACGCATCTTTTACGGGTGGAAAGCCGTTTCGCTAGAAATGCGGCTCCTTGCCGTGGGGCCGGCTGGGCATGTGGGTGTCTGAAGTTTTTTGTAGCGGATCTGCAGGCTGTCCTGCGCAGCGCTGTTGGTAGCGAACTATGCTGCTTTTCAACGCATTCTTTTGCACAGTAGTTGCATTCAGTTAAGCAAGGGCAAAGAGTTGCACCCTTGGTTCGTTCGCATAACCTATTGCAGCGTACCGTCGGTGGCGTGATTCACGGAGACGGAATGTTGTTTGCGCGTGCGCCAGTTGTAATATGCAGCTGGGTGTGGAAGGTCAAAGTCTAAGAGTGTGAAGCTACGGTTGCTGTAGGGGCTCCACTCCCTCATGGCGGAAAGTCAGAAGGGCTAAACGCTTTTTGAATGAGGGACCCCTTCAAAAAGCATTTAGGAATTTGCTGGCAGGTTTGCAGTGCCTCTGAAGCTTAGCAGTGCCCGACGAAGACCTTTCGTAAAGGGCGGTAGATAGGCCAAACACGATTATTAATTCTTCAAAGGGAAATCTTGGATGAGAGGCTGGCCACTTGCAGCACAAACTGAGATTGGTCCCCCTGACGTAAAATATTCCCCTGTGTCCTTGTGTCCTTTGCTAGTTGCATGCAGTTACAGGGGAGTTGCGTAGTGGCTCGTAACTTCGGTGCCTGGTGTGTCTTATTCGGCTCGCTGCACAGTAGTGCTCACGAGCTTCTTTTCTACGTGGGGGTGGGTGGTCGTGCCTGTGCGCTAATTGCTGCATTTAAACAAGTGTGAGCGCCTGCAGCATAGAGTGTGTGTGTGTGTGTGACAATGCGCATCCCTGCCCTCTCCGCCTAACCCTCTCCGGCAGAGACCCTGTGGAAGGATGTTGGAACCAGGAAGGGGCGAGACTTTTTTTAAAGGCGTGCGCAACACACATGACGCATCCTTTCGTACGTTATGCCTCCGGCTTGGAGGCTCAATGCAGGCTCCCACCCTCCCGATACGGACCGGGTGGGTAACTCCTCACTAGAGAAAGACCCCTGTAGCGCTGCAGTGTGCGAGGATATGCCACCCTGTTAGTGCCGCTCTTGACCACGGCTGTGTTGCGTCGGGCTGTATGGCTGGAAGAAGACTTGACTTGTGCCGGAACGTCGCCGGTTTAGGCTAGGAAAAAAAGGCCCCCTGCCACGTGTGCACCTCGAGAGACTCGGGATGCAGAATTTCGGTGCCATAAGCGGCCAAACCTAGCGAATCTTACAGTTTGAGAGGGGTTCCCCCATGACAGTTTTTTGTTAGGAGTGGAAGAACCCTATCAAGGCAGGGAGGAGAGGGGTAATTTTCCTCTTTTTCCGCGCCATCCCATTGCTCCTAGTTACTCCTTGTGCAAGATTGTGAAGGTTTGCCATCATTGGCGAGGCAATCGACGATGGGGGTCTGATAATTTACGCCGAGAGTCCTCCTTCGCTGAGCCTCACAGCTCCACATGCATTGACGCTGTAGTACCGTTTCATAGCCTCCTGCATGCAGAAAGCAAGCGTTCCTTTGCACCATTTTTGCTGGAGTACTTTTCAAAACAAAGGCCGAAGGGCCCCTTCGCAGCAAGCCCCTGCGCAAGGGTCCATGTTGCTTTTCCCCCTTTGAAAGGCGAATTGCAGAGAGACGCTCACTGCGGCTTTGTGCCTTGTCTGCCTCTGTAACGGGCAAAAAAGTGCAAACTTTTAACAGAAGGAGGCTAAAGGGGCAGCCATCCTTGGGCGAAGGGGCCCCCCTCCGGCGGGGGACCGGTCCCTCGATATCTCGATGGACCCTCAACAGGGGCCCCCTCAATGCATCATAGAGACTCACTGCACTTGGAGTGTCTGAACAATTTTTGCCAGAGACTCCACTTACCAGTATTTGAGCAGTTCTTTTGGCCTGATTTCCTCTGATTTTTGCAATCGCCTCCTGCCTCCCCTGGCGCCTCAATCCGTTCCCAGCAAAGCACAGGATCCGAAGCAGGGGGTTATGAGGTGGTCTGCTGAAGGAGCGTTGTCTCTGTGTGGAAGTCTTCAGACTTTGAATCGGCCGCAATGGCTCAGGGGGCCCCCCAAGGTCTCCCCCCTTGCGGGAAGGACCCCGAAGATTTGTGGGGGCCCTGCCTATGTATTGAGGTGTACAGACAGTGGGAGTTCGCAAGCCTCAGAGTCCGTTTTCAGCAGATCAGTGCTGCCCTCGGCGCCGCTGTGCAGAAGCAGCACCGACTGTTGCTGCAGCACAAGACACAGCCGGATGCAGCAGCTGAGTTCATAGCAAAGGAAGCCTCTGACCCCACCACGCAAGAGAAGACAGAAGGCGAGTCAGGCTGCAAAGGACATGCCGGAAGCACCAGCAGTGGTGAAGAAAATAGCGAAACTGAGGGGCAAGAGGAAGAAGCGCGTTTCATTGCACAACCCAGAGAAGGATTTGTTCGATGGATCATGGAGCGAAGAGGCACACCACACGTAAAACACCAAGACCCTCTAATACCTTCCCCCTTGCCAGAGATCTCCAAAGTCGACCCTCTCCTTTGCAGCCGCTGTAGCGGCGGAGGCGACTGCTGCTGCAGAGGACCCAGCAGAAACACGATTAGCACTTGTAGCAACAGCAGCAGCGGAAAGAACAGCAACAACAGCGGAAACAACACAAGCAGCGCCAACAATCACAGCTGCAACAACAACAGCTGCTGCTGCAACTACAGCAACAACAACAATAACAGCGGCAACAACAACAGCTGCTGCTGCTGCTGCAACAGCAACAACAACAATAACAGCGGCAACAACAACAGCTGCTGCTGCAGCTGCAACAGCAACAACAATAACAGCTGCAACAACAACAATAACAGCGGCAACAACAACAGCTGCTGCTGCAGCTGCAACAGCAACAACAATAACAGCTGCAACAACAACAGCTGCTGCTGCAACAGCAACAATAACAATAACAGCTGCAACAGCAACAACAACAATAACAGCTACTGCTGCAACAGCAACAACAACAGCTACTGCTGCAACAGCAGCAACAATAACAATACCAGCTGCTGCAACTACAGCAACAAAAAGAATTGCTGCTGCAGCCACAGCGGCAGCAACGACAACAGCAGCTGCTGCAACAACAGCAATAAGGACATGAATATTAGCGGCACCTTTTCTGAAGGATTTGCTAGCATGCCTCCCTGCCAGCCGTTCAGCGCAATGCTGCAGCTGGACGACCTGCAGCAGCAGCTTCTGCAGCAGCAGCAGGAGGCAACGCCAGAGCAGCTGGAGGCCGTTGCAAAAGTGTTGCTGCGAGAAGTGCAGCAGTCGGTTGGTCAGCATGGGGTAGCAGCGGGTGCTCCATCAGATGCGACCAACAAAAGTGCTGCTGATAGCGAAAGCGCAGGCAGTATCGAACATGCGCTGTTGAGGAGGTGGCAGGAGCTACTTTCAGTCGCTGAGCAGCAGCCGCGAGAGCTTCTAGAGGGGCCATTGCTGTGCAAAACACTCATGGGGGAGTGGCTAGATGAGCTTCCGCCGTTGCTCTTGGAAGAGGGATTGCTGCAAGATGTCTTGGTGCAGCTCGAGAAAAAGCAACCCCCGCAACGGCTGCATGCCAAGCGGCGGCTACGCGAGGCAGCCGTAATCTCCGTAGAGGGAGCTGAGGCAATGGCCTCGCGCCTTGCGGAGCTGCTAATTCAGGTGTGCAGAAATATGCAGCAGAAGCAGCAGCAGCATGAGGGGCTGAGCTTGCCGGCGTTAAGTGCCATGCCGCTAAGTGCCATGCAGGGGGCGTTAGGAGGTTTGCTGTGTCTCTTGAGGATCAGGAACGTTTGCTGGCCTTTGCCAGAGGGGGGGCAGGAGGCTTGTTCAGCGCATCCGTCTACGTCTGGAGATGCGGGGTCTATTTTCGCGGAAAATCCTCATCTCGGAGACGTGAGCCTCAAGCTTGAGTGCTTGCGCATCTTTGCCGCGGCGGCTAGCCAAGCGCTGGACGGCCTCAAGAGGCGCAAGCAGCAGCGCATGCAGCAGCAGATCTCAGAGCGGACTGAATATGCGGACAGAGGGACCCTTGCAGCCAGCAGTGCGCAACAACAGCAACAGCAGCAACAACAAAAACACCAACAACAGCAACAGCAACAACAACGGCTGCTTTTCTGGCCCCAGCTGCACTCCTCAGTTCGCCTCGCTGAGCTGCAAAGACAGCCAGGAGCGGCTTCGGGGAAGCTTGCCGAAGAAGCGGACGGAGCTGCGTCTGCGCGTGTAGAGGAGCGAGAAGCTGCAGAGTTTGAGCGGCTGCACGGCCCCTGGCTATTGCGGCTATGCCGCCCCTTGACGTGGATTTTGTGGGGTCCAATGATTTTGCGAGCAAGCGCTGCCCTCGCCGCAGAAGCTGCCGCAGCTGCTGCTCGCATCGCTTCCTTCACTGCAGAGCATGCAGGCGCAGCAGTCTCCTTGAGAGCATATTCCGTCGAGGCTTCCGCGGCTGCAGGGGAAGGGGGGGGAAAAAGGCGCTCTTGCGTGGAGGACTACTGGCGGGGTCGCTGCTGCACTGCAGCAGCAGCAGCGGCAGAAGCGCAGCTGCCTGCCACGCTGGGATGCAGCAGCGGCTTTCGCGGGAACAGACTGTCTTCGGAGGAGGTTCGCCTTGTAGGGCCTCCCCAGTGGTCGGTGGCGTGGAGGATAGGCCGTCGCTTCCACTGTCTAGCGCTGCAAGGCGATGCTCGAGTCTTGCTGCAGCGGCACTCGGAGGGGCAGCAGCAGCAGCTGGAGGGGGCTGTAGGACTCCTGCAGACGCGGTTCTTCATTAGAGGCAACAGGCTGTTGCTTCTGTGGCGTCGTTTCCTCAGCGAGTGGCGCCGGAGAGGCAGCAGGAGCTGCTGCTGCTGTTGTGCTGGCGGCAGTCCTCCTGGAAGCGGCATGCACTGCAGCAGCTGCGCGATCGGCCTTCAGTCAGCGCAGTCCGATGAGGCTGTTCCCCCGGACTGGTTCAGTGTTGCGTGCCGGTGCTCAAAGAAAAGCTCCTCCGAAGTTGGTGCTTGCAAATGTGTGGGGAGCGAGCTCAGGAGGCTGCATGCCCTCCCAGCTTGCTGCGAGCAAGAGCCGCAGCGCGACGTTTGCGGCTGCCTGGTGGACGCTTTCATACACCGTGTATTCGTGCTGCTGTGTAGAACCTACTGTATCTGCGGGCAGAATAAGGAGGGGAGGGGCCTCGGCTGCGGGGTCCCTTTATCTGTGTTGCAGCAGCTGCAGCAGCACCTGGGTGAACCTATTGAAGCCTTTGCTTCCCCCCTAAACGCTCGATGTCGCCTTTACTTCTCCCTCTTCGAAGACACGGATGCCCCTTTCGGCAGCAGGGGTTGCTTCTTCGCAAGCCTCTGGAAGCGGGAGCTGGACCCGCGGCAACACCCATTGCGGTCCTTCATCTTCTGCAATCCGCCTTTCGAAGAAGTCCTTATTCAGCGCCTAGAAGCGCACATTCTCTCTGTGCTTAGCGAGAGCAACGGCAGCACCAACAACAGCGACCCCTTAGTGTTTGTTCTCTGCCTTCCGGACTGGAGTGCGTCTGCGGAAGGAGAGAAATCTTCCTTTGTCGCAAAACTGCGGCAGAGCAGCAGCTGCTCCGGGCTGCTGCTGCTGCTGCCGCAGCAGCACTCCTACACCAGCGGGTATAGTCACTTTTGCGACTGCCACTACGAGACACTTCGTTCGTCTTGCGGCTCCCTCCTGCTGCTCATGACGAACGCCGCTGCTCAGAAAGTACTGTGCAGCAGCAACAGCAACGCGGGGCAGCACGTCTTGCAGGCAGCCGCCGATGTTTGGGCTGTCCACACTAAAACAGCAGCCGCGCGGAACTAAAGGTGAAGCCTTTACAACGGCCTAGCATTAGGGGAAGGCGTTTGGAAGGAACTGAAGAGGGGCCCATTGAACGCGAGACTCGGCAAAAGCCGATCCTTATAGACCCTAATAATACATCGCTTGCACTTCAATACATAAAACATACGACTCACGCCTGCTGTACATGAGGATGCAGCATGCATGCATGCATCTACATCCGAACGACTCTTCTCTGCAACTAAATAAATGAATATATTTGTATATGTTCTACTGCTACCCCGTTTGGCCTAAGATTTTTTAAACATAAGGCGTCCTTCCCTAGTGTCGCTTGCTTGCATCTTCTTCGGGTATCCACGCTCTGTGTATGCCTCATTCCCTTCTCTTTAGAGGTTCTATCTCTTGCACACAATTCTCCAACCGAAACGAAGAAGAGCGCTGGGGGAAAAGCCGTGGCAGGCAGCACTTGCTGCTGCTGGCGGCACTGCAGCCTTCTGCTGCGTGCGTTGACGCGCAAGCCTCTTCGAAGAACACAAAAAAATTGGCTGTAGCACACGACTACGAGAGACACCCTCTGCAGCGGGAGCCATGCCATATATATATATATATGTATATATATATATATATGCCTCTGTCTCTACAAGCGTATCGTGGATGGCGCTGTAATTCGGGGACAGCAACAGCAAACACCAGCGTGCGCAGCGAAACGCCACAGTTGGAGGTGTGACAGAGGTAGCTGCAGCAGCAAAGCTTATGCAACAAGCGGCGTCAAGTGCTGTGTCTGCACCTACAGTCCTGCCGACAGCAGCCAACTAGTAGTCTTTTCGGAGTTTGCGGCTGTAGCAAGAAAGCACACGCCATAACAGTGCGGGCGCAATTCGCATGAGAGAGGATACATAAATATATATATATATATGTGTATATCCCCTCTACATATATATATATAGGGCGTAAGAAGCACAACCTGCCACAGACACATAAAATTAGAACAATTTATGCATTGCTGCGTAGTAGCCGCCGACGCGATAACACTTCCTATTAGTAGTGCTCTCTATCTACTTCCATTTCGCAGGCCCTTCTCCCTCCCCGTGTGTATCCCCTTTCCGCCCTATGCTGAGCCGCATGCTGCGCGAAGTACGCTGTCGAGCCAGAGCAGACAGACAGACTCTTCCTTTGCCTAGGACCGCAACACCTGCCTCGTGAAGAAACTTTGGATGCTGCAGGAAGCGTCTGGCGCTACGTACTGCAGCATCAAGCGCAACACGATCAAAAGTCTCAGCTCACAGATGATCAGCAGCGTTGATAGGATGCACTTTCACGCCCAGCGGGTCGGGAATCGACTTAGGAGGAGGGGGCGGTGGAGAGCCGACAAGGTGATACCAAATCCTAAGAAAAGACACAAAAACACCCTCAGACAGACCGACTCCGAGCCGTAAACAAACCACCATAAAAATGCAAGCTGGTGCCGATCGTCCACACCGCGCCACGTCCTTTGGACGCTTCTCACCTCGCGAAAACTCCCGGAGGCTCTGTGGGCGAAGGCGGCACTTCAATTTCCATTTTCTGCATTTCCACGATTCCTGCATCTGCGACCCCAAATAACGCGCACATACATACGCGCCTCACCAGAGGCTCCCCACAGCACGGTGTGAGCAACAACGCAAAAAAAGACAACAACGCAAAAAAAAGATAACAACGCGAAAAAAAGATAACAACGCGAAAAAAAATAGCGCAAAAAAAAGACAACAACGCCAGAAAAAGATAACGCGAGAAAAAAATAGCGCAAAAGAAAGACAACAAGGCAAAAGAAACAACAAGGCAAAAGAAACAACAAGGCAAAAGAGACAACAAGGCAAAAGAGAAAACAATGCAAAAGAGACAACAATGCAAAAAGAAGACAACAAGGTAAAAAAGACAATGCAAACAGAAACAACAAGGCAAAAAAGACAACAAGGCAAAAGAGACAACAAGGCAAAAAAGACAACAATGCAAAAAAAAGACAACAATGCAAAAAGAAGACAACAACGCGAAAAAGAGAGACAACAAGGCAAACAAGAGACAACAAGGCAAACAAAAGACAACAAGGCAAAAAGAAGACAACAACGCATGCAGGCAGCTCCAAACCCACAAAGCAGCACCCGTGCCGCTGCCAAGAGCCGCAGAACAAGCGATGCTGCCTGCTCCCCCATCCCCCCTTCTTGCTCCCAAGACAGCAGCAGACACACGCAAAGCAACACCCCCCACCTCCCGCAACAGCAGCATCAGCACTCTTGAAGGCTCCATACACCCTAAAGCCAACACCCCTGTCCCCCTTCTCCCGCAACACCCCTACCTGGAAACACCTCCACAAACTGTGCACGAAGAACTGCGGGGTCGATGCCTTGCGGCTGCATTTGGTGTTGCAACCACTTCAGAGCAACATCTGCATCCGTCTGGACGCCCCACATTTTCTTCCACCCTGTCTCTGCGCCTCCTTCCTCTTGCTTAGCAGCTGCTCGCGCAAGAGCCGCTTCCGCCTTTGCAAGCCCCCCCACTTTTTCCGCTTGGCGAGAACCGCAGCAACTCCTCACACGAGCAGCAGCAGAGACTCGAGCCGCAACCTATGTCCACATGCACAACAAGCCACAAAGTTTCCACACGAGGGAAAGATGAACGCTGGCGCTGCCACACCTCTAAATATACATATACAGGGTGTACGTGTGTATATTTGTGTGTATGTACGTGTGTTTTGGTGTGTATATTTGTGTGTATGTACGGGTGTTCTGGTGTGTAGATTTGTGTATGAGTATTTGAAAGTGTATTTGTATGTGTGCTTTAGTGTGTATTTGTATCTGTGCTTTAGTGTGTATTTGTATGTGTGCTCTAGTGTGTATTTGTATGTGTGCTTGTGTATGGATGTATTTGTAAGTGTGTTTGTCTTCTGTGTGTCTTCTGTCTGTGTGTGTGTGTGTGTGTCGCTGTGTGGTCGGTGCCTCGAAGGATTCAAAAGGCTTTCCAGGCTGTACACTTCAAGCCCACAGCGGTGCAATCCATGAGAACAGATTCGCCCATCTAGGATACCGCAAAATTCTAAGCGGCGCTGCTCGTTTGTTGACAGCAGAAAATGTGCTGCTGACCTCATCCTGGATATTAAGAGTCGTGGCCACCTTGTCAAGAAGCTTTTTCAGTTCCTCAGTGAACTGCTCGCTAGTGGAGATGTCATAAGTCAGATCGCTGTACATGGAAGCGATCTGACCAACAGTAGCGTACAAGATTTGGCCCTGCACCTCTATGTGCCCTTGAAACGCGCGCACAAAAAGCCTCAAAGTTTCGCAATCTTCGCAGGCGACACCCGCGCGCATGCATTTCTCACATCCATCACGTAACTCTCAGCGGTTCATACCCTGGTCAAATATCCATCCGGCAGCATCGACAATATCAAAGCTCGCCAAATCCGGGAGATTCGCAAGCGCCTTCAGCTGAGCAATCGCTTCGGCGGGAAAGGGAGCGATACGGACAGCGTCTACAAAGAAACGCTCGTCGGAGCGATGAAATCTATGGCGAGTTTCATCGAACTGCCCCCCAAGCATTTCGGCGAGCTCTTCTTGCTGCAAGCATAGATAATTACATGCATGCATGTATATATAGGTATATACACATAGATATATGTAGATGCATATATACACATATATACGTATATATGTATCTAAATATACATATGCATATACACATCTATATACATGGATATATACATCTATTTATACATGCATATATACATGCATATATACATATATATGCATGCATATATATACATACACTTACATCGACATATATATACATCTGTATACATGTATATATATACATACACATACATATATATATATATCCAAATATACATATGCACATATACATGAACGCAAAATTCATGTCCCTTGCCGCCCTTCTCTACGCGCTGATCTAGGAAGCGTATTCTGCATATTGTGTGTGGCATGCGGATCTACCGCGTCTGCTGAGGAGCACAAAGACGCATGCGAAGGATGCCTTCTACAACAATATACAGCAGAACCTCGTGCATGCACTTATATGGTGGCGCTTGCAAAGTTGGGCCCCCTGCAGGCGGGTGCATGCGCGGCAAACATAAGAAGTGCAGAGGAGCACCCTTTTGTTTGCCGTTCAACGGCAAATTTTACATCAATATACAGTGCGAAATGCCATGGGGTGTTTCAGCAGCGACACACAACGTGAAGGATCTCTCTGCAGGAGGCGCTATTAACGTCCTACACTGCCTAACGTGTGTACAGACACCTCTCTGTAGCTCTCCATGTGTATATATATATATATATTTGCACATGCGCGTGAACGCCTTTAACACAGGACGGAGAAGTGTTTTTTTAATTGCATATATTTACACATATATACACATATACATATAGATATACCTTTTTCGAGTAGATATATATATATATACATAGCAGTGTGATCTGTAAATTTTGATCTGTGCTGCAGACCGGGCGGCTTTTCTTCCCGCAGGAAGCATCGCACAGGCGCTCACGCTGCAGAAAAAGAGAGCCGTTTTCGATGTGAGGATTTTTCTTTTGGGGAGGTATCGTGATGCCGTCTTCTACTTACCGCAGCGTAGCTGGCGTCCATAGCATCCCTGTCCTTCTTTCTCTTCATGTATCGCTCCCAGTAGAATCTAGCTACACGCTGCGCCTCGTACAAGACGAAGCACAGGAAAAGCAGCTGCCCGCAAGAAGAGGCTAGCACTACCATGCATTCCATGGCCAGCTGGAAGAAAGCCACAACACGCACAAGGCAGACAGCACCTAGTCTTGCGGGAGGACAGAGTAGAAAGCGGTGGGAAAAGGCGAGATGCGTGTGATCTTTTTGTGCTTCCACTCAAAGGCCAAGAGGCTCTTGAGAGGAAGCCGACCAGCGAATGCACTGCAGCTGCTTTCGCGCGGCAAGGAAGGGGAGTGGCAACACACGGAGGTAACCCCTTGCGTGATCTTGGAAAGGAAGTGAAATTGGATGGCAAAGGCGAGAAAGCTGCAGAGAGCTAACTCTCTCGCGTGCAGCGTCAAGGGAACGCTGAAGTGACGTTGGGGGCCCCTCTGCTCCTTAAAGGGGGCCCTGTAAGCAGCAGGACACACGGGATGCGTACATGCATGCATGCATGCATGCATGCATGCATGCATGGAAAGCACTGAGGCTGCAAAGCCATGAGACAGCCATGCGGAAGGCTCTGAAGGCCTCTGGAGCAAAGCGAAGCGATTATTGCGCTTTTGCGCGGGAGCAACAGAGAGCATGCGTCATAAAAAGCGCAGCACAGGGGATGAAAATGTCACTCTAAAATGCCACAACGAGATGCGTTCGCCGCAGAACGAAAGGTCCCTTATTGTTCTTCCTCTTACTGCAGAATGCGGGGGAAAGAGAAGCGAGAGGGAAAGAAAAGGAGCATGGCAAAAACGCACCAAGAAGGAACCATTTCAGCTCCATACGGTTTGAAGAACAAGACCAGAATGCCGTATCCCGATACAATTGCCCATGCAATCGTCAGCGGTTCGACGGTTTGTACGAAGAGAGAGACACACACGCAAGAGAGGGTCAAGAAGAGGCGCAAGCATTCCCATCCGACGCGTCTCGAGCTGTAAAAGTCGGTGAGGAAGCCTAAACATTTTGTGATGCGGGGAGAGTCCAGGCGTGCGATGAAGAAGAGTATCGTAATGAAGCAAACAAAGGGGAATCCAACGACGTACACCATTAGCCCTGAGAATAGACGGCTCGCCAGCGCATGCAGGCGCGCGCATTCCGTAGAAGCCATGCAATTGGACTACGTCAAGCACGATTTGGCTCGTCGGTAGAGGTTCTCAGCCTCGAATAAGACACGCAAGCGGGGTGTTTTCTGCGTGCTCTATTACCAGGCATGGCGAGCTGAGCTCCAAGCGACATCTCGGGACCGCCACACGGCACTGTAGGATCGTATGCCAAGTAGGATACTCCATCGGCGAGATTTCTTTGGCGCAAGAGATTCGCAGCGCAACACGAAACAGCACAGAAGCAGAGGCACGTGCCAAGGCTTGTCGCTGCCTCCCGCGGAGTGAGTACCGCTGACTCTTATGAGCAGAAAGAGCGCAGCTTGGGAGGCTAAGCACTTGCAACACTCCAGAGAGCGACGACACAGCGACAGCGGCAAGCGAAGCTCAACGCTGCAGTGATGACGCCGCCCTCTGCATGCCAGACTCTGGTATGGCCAGGGAGGGAGGGGAAGAAGACGGGAGAAAACGAAACAGGATGCATTCCTGCACGTTTCAGCGCGATTTTCTGCCCTCCCAACTCCTTTTCTGCCAAACTGACCTGCAGGCGAGGGCTGAGGAAAAGGAGGTAGCGGCTAAGGGGGACCATAGATACAGCGTGATCAGGCAGAGTCTGCTGAATATGATAGTGACTTTCTGCCCGACGTAGTTACGCCACAATTCGCCTTGGACAAGAAGCAAAATGCGCTTCTCTGGAGGCGCATGATGGCGTTGGTGGTGGAAGACGATCGTGAGAATGACGAAATAGCCAAACAGCAAGAGCAGAGGGCAGCAGAACGCAAAGATGCAATACGCGTATAGAGGACTTGCCCAGTTTGAGCTCCAGCAGTCAGGAGCAAGCATCTGAGAGAAAAAGCGCACATATGCAGTTGGTCGTTTGAAACACACGGAGAGAGAAAGAGAGAGACAGGGAGACAAGCTTCCGAATGCGTCTTTTAGCGGAAAAACTTTCGAGATGCATTGGGGTTGATTTCGCCCCTCTGGATATGCACGCAGAGCTCTGTACATATTGGTGCACACATAGCTCTGTACAAATTCATATACATGTATATAGACTATACATTAACATGCGTGGATGAATAGGGTAGCGTGCTGCAAACGTGTGCATTAGGAGAGGGAGCAAGAAAGGCAGTCACGTAAAGCAGTCAATGAGTTGCAGCTCGTTAGAGGGAGGAAAGGGGGGAATAGCACGCAGCGCATACCGAAAATACCGACGTGATGGCGATGGAAGTAAAGCTGCGGTAACCCAAATACCAAGACGAGCTGAGGAAGACTTCTGTTAGTGAGCTGTCGCTGTTGTTGATCCCCCTTTCTCCTTGGAAACTGTCTTGGCCTATGGCTCGGGTGGAGAGGCTGCAAACGAACAGCAAAAAGGGGGGCAGCACCTTGTGAATGCGAAGCACTGAAGAATTAAAAGCAGAAGAAGGAGGGCTTGCTTTTTCGCCTCATTGCCCGCTGCTGAGATGCGAGGAGGCAGCTGTGCTTCTCGAGAGAGACAGAGAGAAACGGAAAGAGAGAGAAACAGAAAGAGGGAGAGACAGAAAGAGAGAGACAAAAAGAGAGAAACAATTCAAGTCTCCCCGACTTTCAACAGCCCGCATCTCCCTTCCAGTTTGAAGGAGATGCATGGATTCATTTTGAGACTTAGGATTGCGGAAGGCGGACTCAAGAAGCCATACCCGAAGGACCCCCAGATAATTAGATACATAAAAAGCTGTTTCAGCGCCGGAGTGAAGCAAATACGCTGCAAAGCGACAGCAAACGTATCGCTCCCTGTGGAAGTAAAATACTCTCTGCCCAATGTACGTCCTCCTCTGCAAGAACCTTCTTGCGAAAAATAGCCCGGTACTAATTTCCGTCGCACGGCGTGTCTACCTCTTTGCTTCCAGATTGTAGAGACTGCCTGCCTCTCTGCCTGTCTGCCTGGGTGTCTGCCTCTCTGCCTGCCTGCCTGTCTGCCTGCCTCTCTGCCTGTCTGCCTGCCTCTCTGCCTGTCTGCCTGCCTCTTTGCCTAGCTGTCTGTCTGCACTCCCCTCACATCCGTGGCGATCTTGAGGCGTTCCTCCGCTTCACATTCCAGGCAGAAACTAACTAAGGCCACAAACACCAACAGCGCTGCAAGCAACCACCCACGTACACACACACACATACACACACACGCAGACGCACACGCATGCAAAACTGTTCCCGAAAGCTTCTTCCCCTTGCACGAATGCTAGCAGACCGGCAACTGCTCGCTCGAAGCTCCAAAAATCCTCCTTTAGAACCCGCCAAACAAATGTGCCGTCTAACCGGCAATAAGTCCTAGTGCAATGAGAGCGATTTTCCATCCTGCTGGACAGTCTGAGCACTCGCTGGTTGCCGAAAGGAAGTCTCGTGTCATGTTCTCTTTGCACATTTGGCAGAGGGGCCCTGCGAACAGACGCGCATGCAAATGGCTATTTATAGCCCTGCTCCTGCGAACAGCCGGAGAAAATTCTTTTCCAGAGGATAGACAGCACGAAACAGCCACCCTTCGCGTAGGAGGCCCTCAAAAGCCTCGTGGCTCCCGCTTCCACCACGCCTCCCCCTGCCTCGCCACCGCCTCTGTGTGAGGAAGCAAGCGCATGCACAGGGAGCTTTGGGGTGTGTGGAGGAGGGTAGAACGTGGGTCTGCTTTTACGCGCTGCTCCTACTCCTGCCCTTTCAGGAAACACGTCTCCCCAGTGTGCCTCGGACGGTTTTCCCCCTCTTTTCAGTCGCCATTGCTTCCCTGCGCTCCCTGCGTTTCTTCCCTCTCTACGCCCTCCCCTCCCCCGCAAATACCGCCCTTGCAAGTCTCCCCCTCCTGCTGCGCCGCTCATCTCTGTCGCGGCGGCTCCCGCCTACCTGCATGCCCTTCAAGGCACTCTCCGCAAGGCCCTTTGCATGCAGTGCTGTGGAGACATCGCTCGTATACTGCAGGCCAGGAAGAATTTAGAGGTCTCCACCAGCCGCTGCTGAGGCTGACAAGGTTCTGAGCGAGCAGAGATCCATGCGGCAGCGACGGCAGCAAGGAGGCAGTTGCAAGCGTTCGAGGCAGTGAAAGGCACCAGGAAAATCGCGACATCGCCACGCGAAGCAGACGCAATGAACCCCTCCCTCCACGCCTGCCCGTTAGCTCCCACGCCGCAGAGCAACGCCAGAGATCACTTCTCCCTACCTTGCAAGCAACAGACTCGTTTTCCTCCGTGATGCCTCCAGGGCACTGAAAGGCTAAGAGGGGAGTCGGACAGGTTGCACACAGGAAGAGGCTGTCGTCTAGATACAAACCTGCGAAGCCACCGGCAAACGCAGTCGCCTCACTCCCAAAATAGGAAAGCGAAGAGCGGCAGAAGAAGGAGGCCGCGTCGGGCAGCGCGAGATGCTCAAAGTTCCCCCTTAATGGAGTGTGCTCGAGCAGCAGCAGCAGCAGCAGCAGCAGCAGCAGCAGCAGCAGCAGCAGCGCTGAAGGAGGTACTGCAGCAGCAGCAATAGCAGCAGCAGCAGCAGCAGCAGCAGCAGTGTTGAGAGGCGTGTTAGAAGGCGCTTCACGGGTTCGAACAGCCCTTGCAGAGCGTTAGAGGCCGCAACGCAGCAAAAGATGCAACGCCATAAGAGACGCTTCAGAAGGAGTTATCTGTGTGTTTCAACATCGGAAGGCAGCACCTTCTCCGCAGCTGCAGCTTTGAATGCTACTCGCGCCAGTGACACCCAAAGTTGTCGATCCGTAGGGGCACTGCAGGCAGCACAAAGCGAAAGCAGGCAGCCAAGACAGAGGAGCTCGTGCATGCACCACGCAGCACAGCTCCAGGGGCCTCTCGGGCAGAGAGAAGAAGGGAGATGCAGCAGCCAGCATGGCACGCACGCAGAGCCGAAAGGGGGCGGCGAGTGTATGTATGTGTGTATATGTGCATGTGTGAAAGTGTGTATGTGTGTGCATATGTGTAAGTGTGTATGTGTGTAAGTGTTATGTGTCATGTGTAAGTATGTGTATGTATATGTGTGTATGTGTATGTATATGTGTGTATGTGTGTATGAGTGTCTATGTGTGTGTATGTGTGTGTATGTGTGTGTATGTATGTGTATGTATGTGTATGTATGTGTGTAAGCGTGTATGTGTGTAAGCGTGTATGTGTCCACATTGACACAAGGCCAGGAAAAATAAAAAGCCTGAGAAAAGCCTCAGGAGTCTCGTTGCTAGGGCGAATTCGAGAACGCAAGAAACGAGGTGGGTCTAGTGGCGGCACACGTATTGTGCTTCGCACGCTGCTTCTAGGGAGCACTAAAGAATCTTATTGACATACTCCCATGCATTGGATCATTTTTGCTGAGGGGGAGAAGGAGTTCGCCGGACAGGGCAGACAGGAGGAGCCGTCGAAGAATGAGCCAGCAGCACAACTCTCAGAAGTCGCCGCATCTGCCTCCTCGGCAAATGCCCAGCAGAAACAAAGCCAGAGCCAGCATCGGCAAGGCCACACGACTACGTGTGGGGGCTTCCCCATTCGACCTCACTAATCTTCCTCCTTTAAAAAATTGCAGAGGCTTTGCCCATTAAACGACCCCCAATTAGAATAGAGGGAGCCAGCAAGGAGGAGATGCGTCCTAGAGGAGCGATGGGCATTGATAGAGAGAGAGAGAGGATGAGAGAGAGAGGATGTGTGTGTGTGTGAGAGAGAGAGACACACACACATACACAGAGAGAGAGGGAGACACACACACACAGAGAGAGAGAGAGACAGGGAAGGCTGGTAGTACTCTCTGGCTGTGCACTCCTCTGCGCTTGTGGGGTAGCTGCAGCAGGGCAGGGCCTTATTAGGCAGAGTCTGCTATCGAAAACGCCTTTAAAATGCTCGCTCGGCAGAGCATTCAGGTAAGGCTAAAGGATGCTGGCGCGATAGAACAAGGGAACGAGGGGCAGGAGACCTTTGTAGAGTCAACTGTCACCGCTGCACCTCTTGGCGGTGTAGAGGCCTTCCCCACGAAAGCGAGGTTAGGGAGCTCTCGCCGGATCCTTTGAAGCTTCAAGGTGGCCCCTGGTCGCCGAAGATGTTGTCGCAGGAGGCGACGTACATACACTGAACAGGGGGGACGGGAGGGCAAAGAGGCGCGGCTGCTGATACCGAAAGGTGAGTGGCGTCCAGACAAGCACATGAGCAGAAACACACAGGAAAGTGCGGAAAAATAGAGATCTTGAAGCTTGAACAGAGCGCTGCCAGGAGAAACAAATGCCCTTGAGCGTCTTTTGCTAGGGTCTCTACCGAGACTCACGCCAGCCAGGGACCCCTGGTAATTACTTTCAGGGGGGCATCCGAGAGTACCCCGCCGTTACATGCATCAATCTTAGTCGCCTGGTGTTGGAGCGGCAATCAGATCGAGGGAAAAGCCGGTTATCCGATGCGTCTGAGACTCTCAGGGCGAAAGGAAGGAGCTGTTGATCCGCCTCACTGTGAGGACCTAAGAAGGGTTCATCCATCCACACGCGGGAAACAATGCAGAAACTGAAAAAAACTATGAGTTTTCTCTTGAAGAAAATATCCCTCGGGCGCTCTGCGGTGGCAACACGGCCCCTGGGGGCCCCTGGCTGGCGGGGGGTGGCCCACTGCACTGCCACTACAAAGAACGAAGAGAAGTGGCTGCAATTGAACATTGAAAATAAATTTTCTACATCTATGTGCAATGTATTGGAGTAAGAATCAGGGGCGAAAAGAGCCGGTCCCCAGCTACACAGCCTCCACTTGTACAGACACCCCAGCGATGCAATCCAACGAGCATTGCGATCTGTTAAGAAAGTGCACTTCAGGCCACTCTAGGGCCCTCTACTGGACCTCCCAGGAGCTTTGCATGCTTTTAATGTTTCCTTGCATCCTTCTTTCTCAAGTGATTCAGCAAGCCTGCCGGCATCAGCTAGTAGTCCCCAGCACTGTATTGCCGAGTTGCAGTGTCTTTTGCAATTAAAAGCTGCACTCTGCGAGCGTGGAAAGCTTATTCGCACGATACTAAGCTTCACCTCCGGACGGGTAAGGGTGCAACGGGCAGCTAGTATCCGGGTGTGTTCCGACCCCTAGTAGGCAAAGTATTTCTTGGGCTAGTGGAGGTTTTGACGATGTGCCTGAGACCTTGGCAATGCAGCCCGAGTCCTGTGGCACTGATTTGCCCTTTGGAGGGGCCCTGTGTCTGTTGCAGAAACAGAGTCCCCTGCAGTCTTCTGCATTACTCTTAGAGGGAAAACGCCGGAGCGAGTCAGGAAACAGGTAGTCTTCTTTAGGGTCTGAGCGGTCCCAAAGGACTTCAGTGCGCCTTAGCGGTGATTCAGCAGAGCACGGCTTTTTCAAATACATGGCTATATACCTAGATATACCAAAGTAAAGGGACAGCCCAAGCAGGGAAGCGTACAGACACCAGAAGGTCAATCCGAGGCCGTCAGGGCAGGTAGCTGTGATGGGACACAATCCTAAGGTATATCCTATTATTGAGCTATTTATTTCTAACCTGTCAAGACGTTTTTGTGCCTTTTTATAGTTCTTTCACCTTCAAGGCACACTGCCACTGTACAGGAGCAGTGTGTCTTTCAAACTGCGTGGAATGGCGTACAAGTGTTTAGATCTGTTCTTGCCGTTCTCACTCTTCTTGGTGCGCGTTTCTCTCTGTCACTGATGTGTCCTGATCAGAATCTCTACGAACTCGCCTTCCATGAGTTTCTCGTTATTTGCTATTCATTCAATTCACCCTGTTCCCTGCGTGAAACTACCTCTACTCTTCCAGTTTCTCCGAGTGTGTGTATTTCCCCCCACAAACACCTCGCTGGACTCATATGCTCCTCTACTTTTTACCAATTTCTGGCTGGGGAAAATATGTGAACCTATTTCTCGTATGCATGTGGGTTAAGTCGACTCGTTGACACTTTGTCCCTTGTAAAAAAACTTCACCCTCTGGTGCCCTCAGCGCCAGGAAGTACCATTAGACCGGGAAGCAGCTCTGAACTTCAGGCTTTTGCACCTAAATAGAGCCTTCCGCATACATGTTCGCAGTCTCGCTGGCAAAACGTGCCTAAGGCTAGTGTGTGCGTGGCGTCTCTTTGTTGCGGTTGGTCAAGCGACTGGGTATGTGTGCATTCTACCTGTGGGAACCAAGCTCCACGTTAGCGGTTCGCGCTACTCTCGTTATACCAAAGTGAAGTCATCTTTTATCGAGTTCCCCAAGATGTCTGCTTGTATGTTAACTTTCGCGGAGTAACTTGGGGAAGTTCCGTGCCTACGCGCTTAGCGGCAATGTGTAATTGGGCACGAATGTGCGAAGCTGTCAAAGAACACACCACCGCGAGTCGCTTCTTTCAGTCCTTTCTCTTCAGATGACGAAATTTTACTGGGATAAGATACACTTTGACGCTTTTCACCGCACAAGGCATATTTACTTCACGAATGGTGAAGAATTGACCTGTTCGCTTCGGTCGCTCATAGATCGAATTATTTGCAATGTACAGCTGATCTAGTAAAATAAGAATCAATGATGCGTGAGGGTGCAGCTAGGTGCAGCCTAGATGCCATTCCGCTCTGAGAATCACACATTGAGTAAGGTGGGACCTCCTCTGTTTATTACTAAGCAATGCCTAAGGCAGGAGCCAAGTGTCTTCCTATGGCTACTTGCATCGCCAGGTGTTTTCAGCCTGTTGTTGAAGAAAGTTAAACTACTAAGCTAGCAAGTAGAGAAATACTTGCAAGACCACAGCTCTACAGACGCCTGACAAAAACCTCCAGCGCTCCTAAGGAGCCACTGACAGACCTCAAACAACACACTTGCTTCTGTCATGCGAGACTGGGCCATACACTCCGGATTTGCAAGCGCATATAAAAGTCCAAGGAATCTGCAGAGCAAGACTGGACCCAGAGAATCACAGGCTGCTTGACAAGCAAAGAAGGCACATCAGGAAAACAGGAAGCCCCCTCCTCCCCCCCAACACCCAGCACCCCCCGTCACAGGTTGTGGTGCAGGCAAGGGAGCTACGGAGGCTACTGGCGCGGTTAGGGATCCACCGTAGGCCAATTTTGCGCAGAGATAAATTTACATCAATGACCAACAATTGATAGTGTTACTTGACACTGAATGTAAAGTGGATCTGACAAAACGGCACAAAAGTGCGGTCTACGCATTTACTCGTCGGCTCGGTCTTGTAGGCTTGGGTTTGCTTTTGGGAGGCAGAACATAGGAAGTGACAAGGCTAGGGTAGCTGACTGCTTTCTTAAATCGGGATTGGGCACGGCCAGCATGGCCGGTGAGCTCTATGCTGAGCACGTGCACCGTGATGCAAATTCTAAGTAGGCCATGGAAGGCGTGGATGCCTCCGCAGCTGCGGGGTGCGAAATTTGGTGTGCCGGTAAATGGTACGAGCAAGGATCTCGCGATCTCCTAAGTAGCGTGCAGTTCATCTGCAATGAGCTGGGTAGAGCTGGTGCCTCAGCAAGGCAAGGCAGAGTCTTTACGCGTATGGCTAGCAGTGCAGCAAGAGAAAACGGTTCTGAGCTCAATGGCTCTGCATGGAGGCTCTCATCAGGTAATGCAGCTGAACTTTGGGCCAAAACCAGCAGGAATGGGCAAAATGAAAGGAGGAATCTGCGCTGGTCATGGCATTATTCATGGACAATATCTTCGTAATCAGCCAAAACCATCAAAAGCATCTACAGCAGCTGCAGCTTACGCTTCAGCTGCTACGAGATAAACAGTGACTGCGAAGGCACGCACGTGTCATACTTTCGAAAGGACAATTACGCTTTTGAGGATCTCTGTTTCGGCTGTAGGGATCGAGCCGAAATCGGAAAACTTGGAGCGATCATGGAGTGGGCTCTACCTCAACGCGGCTGCAACGGCGTTGACAAGTTTTATAAGCTAGAATCCTATGAGTGAATCTTCATCCCATTTTTTGTTGGAGTTGCTGTTCTTTCGAGTAATCTACTGAAGAAATCGCAGTCTATGACCTGAAAGGAGGATGCAGATGCCACAACTAGATGGCAGAGTGGATGCGTTGCATTTCGTTCAGTACGTGCGCTTCCCGATTGTGGGCTTCTTCATGCCTTTCTTACAACCGATGCTAGGACATTGCGTTGGTGTTTTCTTCTCTTAACAGACTGCACGCCATGCAAGTCAAACAACCATTGCTTTCTACTCTCATCGTTTGAACGAAACAAGCAGCCGAATCCCCTGCGGGCAAACGGACTGTATGTGTTGTGATGAAGCGATGCTGAAAAGGTCCCAGCACTATTTACATGAGTGTCTGTCTCTGTCCGGAGTACCATCGATCTCAAATGCGCCTTCAAAAGTACAGTCAGGACCTTGATAACCCTAGCGTGGTTCGCTGGCTTGAACGCTACCTGCAGTTTAGCTGTACAGTAAGGTATGTGGCATCACCAACATGGCTGCTGCCGCTGCGCTCGTTTCGCTCCTATCCTTTGTTTGCTCTTGTTCACTGTGTATTACTCCATTTTTCGTTGATCGAGCAACAGCAGTTGAGGCACGCCTTCCCTTCCTCGTTTGCAGTGTTTTCGGGTTTCGGCATGTCAGCTGAGTAGAGAAAAGCAGGAACTCCTCCACTGTGCTGCATGCAGTTGGCATCGATATGAGGGTAGGCAACCCTGGGGCATCTGTTTGAAATGAGGACAGATGCAGCCGATTAAGCTACACTTGAAGACTGTGTACTACACTAGGTAAAGTTAACTCAGAGTTCGGTTGGATTAGCTAGCTGCTTTGTCTATTCGTGATGCTATTCAGGAGGAATTTCTGCCAGCTCGAAACGAAAAGGCGCGAAGTTGTTTGCATGCGGGCTAGATGCTTTGTGCAACTACGTGTGAATGCTCGGAGTGCTTAAGAAGCTATACGATTTGCCTATGTGTTCCTCTGCCTCATGGCGAAAGGTCTGAGGGGCGCGGGCAGGGGTATGAGGTAAGCCTTTAGAAAAGCTTGTCCTTGGTTTCTCGGAGGGCTGTTTTGTGTCTGCAGTTGAGCGTCTCCCGACAGCCTAGAATAAGCTTTGGTGACTTCTTTTAGCGTGGTAGCAATACTCTGTAATTAGAAGTATGAAAGATCAAACAGTTGAGGGGTTCATTACTAATTTGTCTTTAAAGATACCTAGTGTGCTAGAAATCGTCGAAGGTTGTGTAGCCTAGTGTGCTAAACACCTCATCACCGATAGGCACAATCAAGCCTAGGCAAACCCGAAAACTGCCGCTAGTCACAGCAAGCCCAAGACAACGGGTAAAACCTCCGGCGTAGTGTGCTGTGTTCCGCGCAGATGGGCAGCTCCGTTCCTTATTTCCCCCGTGTAGCCTCGTGAAACGATGCGAATCTGCTAGGGCCCCCCTCCTCCTTATAGCAGAGTTTGCACAGAAGACCCTCTGCATTCAGTGTCGTGCTGACCTCTGTAGTGTCTTGGAGGAGTGTGGTGTATTCGCGATGGAGAAGGAGCTGAGGAGGAATTCTTGGCTCAGATGCGCCGTTGCGTTGCTGGCCAAGCGTTCCACAGGGGCGTAAACCGATAAACTAACCACCCACGCATATCGCTGAAGGCCCCCTGAGAGAGTTCTACTCCAAAACTAAAGCCCTATAAGAGGTGTATGGAGTAATTCTAAAAGTCAGCATGTGGTGTTTCAGGTTAAGTCGTTAAGGGCCGGGGCATACAGAGGGTAGGCGTGCTGCCGCTGCGCATGCATGCTGGGGTAAACAATGTGGTCAAAACTTTTGGGATTGCTTTGTTACATGCTTATGAACAATTCGTTTAGCTTTTAGGGCTTAGGGCCTCGGATCAAGGGTTTTTGGACCTTGGGTTGCGCTGTATCTGAAGTACCATCCGTGTAGAAGACAGCGCGGAGAGCCTTGCAGCCATTTATTTCTCTTCACTCGGCACACAGGAGTGCTGCATGAGGCAAACTGCCTCTTTGAGGCAGTGGATCTCTTTTATGCAGCTGCATACGTGCACTTCTGCTGCTCAGAGGCATCCTCAACGTCCTGCAGCGGCAGCAGCAGCATCAACGGCAACGGCGGTGCAGACAGCAGCAGCAGCGACACTAAAAGCAGCGGCAAAGACAGCAGCAGCAACGTCAACAGCGAGAGCGGCGAAGAAAGCAGAACAAGAAAGCAACAGCAATAAAGGCAGACGCAGCAGTACCCTCACCCCAAAGAGCGAGTATCAGCAACAGCGGCGGCGCTTTCTCCTCCTTCGCCCATCAATTGTCGTTGCCTGATGGATGCCTTCAGCCCTCCGCCAGCAGTGGCAGTGTTGCGATGTTGCCAAGAATGCTAGGCTTCATATGCGAATGCATCCATCCCCTGCAGCAGCAGCTGCAATGGCTGCTTTTACTTCTCTTGCAGGAGTGGCCTGCCGCAGTTGCGACGGGTTTATGTGCGTATGCAGCACAGACACTCCTACAGGGGCTGCCCTTTTTCTTTGGGTGCATGCGAGACTATCCTTCCCCCCTTGCTTTCTACTCGTGGAATCTGCTGCGGCTGCTCCGTCGGAGGCGGAGCAGCGGCGCCAGCAACAACAACCGCTGGAAAAGGGATGTTGCGTCTTCACCCCTGCAGCATCATCAGCACCATAGCGCATGTCGCCTGCTCGGAGTGCAGCACGTGGCTCCCGCTGCAGCGTCGGGTTCCCCCGATGTTTCCGATGCCCACATAGCGTCTTGTCGGAGCAGCAGCAGCCTCAGCAGCAGTAACAGCGGCAGACAAAAGCTAGGCGGAAGGCAGCGAACACGGCCCCCCATGACACTCGCAGTGGATCTTGACGAAACACTTGTTCTTTCCACCCAATGCAAAGTGATGCCAAGCACTCAACGCCTCCCGAGAGTTGCCCATTCATGCATACGCACAAACACACCTACACACATAAGTATATCCATGAGTACATATATGTATATATGCATATATATATGTGTATACATATTTACACACATATTTATACATATACGTACATATTCATACATATATATTATATATACGCATATATATTTACACATACACATACAAATATACACTTTCATGGACGCTCGTACTATTTCTAGCTCTAGCCGCTCAAAAGCTGCTCCCCCACGGATGCAGTAGGTGCACGCACTCCTGTTGTTGTGGCTGCCCTCAGCTTTTCGCGTCTCAGAAGAGCGTGCCGATGCGTGTCAGCTCTGGACTTGTCACCTTTCAAGTCGCAAAGCGACCACATGCAGATTACTTTCTCCAGGAGGTACATACACACTGCCCAACGGGGACTGCCTCACCAAGCAGTGCAGCCTTTCTCCTTTACGCCTAGAAGCAGCTTACTTGTATGCAGAAGATGCGACGTGCGCGTCTCTTCTTGGGGCACGAGTCTTCTTGAAGAGCAGAAGACTTTTTCCCATTTCCACGGATGCCTCATTTTACGTGTCGTTCTACCCGCATTACATCTGCCTTTTTCTCTCCCTTGCCTTATTGCTCGGGTTCTTCTTTATTTCCATCGCTCTCTGTCTGTTTGTCTGGCTCTCTCTGTCTGTCTCTTATTATCTCTTTTATCTCTCATCTCCCTTTGAGCCTGGAGTCGCCGGCTTTCCCTGCGTTGCGCTGCAAGACTGCCCTTTGTTTCTTGGGGTTGGTAGACGCCCATTTTCTCGTTCTCTGCGCTGTGCTGCTGCAGCTTTATGATCTATATGAGATCGTTATTTTTACCGCAAGTAGGCAGGAGTACGCGCATGCCGTCCTTGGTACGTACAACGATCCAAATGCCTAAACCCTATGGACTAGACTCCTCGAGGGCGATGTTTACACGCAAAGCTGCTCACTTCTTTGCTGCTGTTTGTTATGATGGATGCTCTTGCTTGCCTGCTTCTGGCCTTAGATCTTTCCAGCAATCCCGCTTAGGGGCCTGGCATCTTCTTTCTCCATCTGCACGCCCTCTGCTGTGGTACTGAGATCTTCTTCTGCGCTGTTTTTCTAAGACGCTACTACAATCTGCTGTGGTACTGAGATCTTCTTCTGCGGTGTTTTTTCTAAGACGCTACTACAATCTGCTGTGGTACTGAGATCTTCTTCTGCGCTGTTTTTCTAAGACGCTACAAATCTAGTACACTACGTGGATCGCGTTTTCTCGCGAAGCGACTGTATCCTGACGGGTAATCTTGACGCCTAGCCCCCCTGTTTAGGTCAAACGTTCGCCATGCGTCCAGTTCTTCACCGTAGCGCATGCACGTCAGTTTCTTGCGTCCTTACTTATATCGCAACTCAGTTCTTTTACTGGTGCGTGCTGCGCAGACTTGGGGTATGTCAAAGATCTCACAAAGTGCCGCACAGATCTCTCAAAGGTTCTCCTCGTCGATGACTCTCCAGTGGCTGGAACCAACTGCCAAGGCAAGCTCGCTACTTCCTCGACCCCACAGGCTGCGGCAGCGGAATTTTCTTTTGCTGCCTATTTTCCTTCTTTTTAGCGCTATCAGTGCATGCATCCCCATTACTCGCGCTTCCAGGTTTCCGGCGTGTCTGTACGCAGAAAACTTTGTGCCTATTGGCGGCTGGTTCGGGAGCGAAGCAGATGAGCAACTCCTCTGCCTTCTTCCCCTCCTGCATGCACTGCGAGCAGCAAAGGATGTTCGATGTATTTTGAGGCTGCGTCTCCTCCATCACCCCGTAAGCAGGTCTCTTCACGTTCAATCCATTAGCTGATGCCTGCGCATGTTGCAGGATGCTGCTGCTCGTACAGACACGCCTCCCTATCAGTCGGTGTGCTTGGGCTGCTGGTTCGCTTTTTCTCAGCGCGCATGCCAGTGCTGCTTCTGAAGCGGGGGATGCCTCTTTTTGCGCTGCTTTGTAGCCCGTATACACTGTTTCTCTGCTCCTCCCATCGCTATGCCCAGCTGCTGCTGCTGCTGCATATGCGCTTGGTCCTTTCTTTTGTTCCCATTGTTGCTGACACTCTTGGGGAAAATATTGCTATGCCCAGCTGCTGCTGCTGCTGCTGCTACATATACGCTTAGTCCTTTCTTTTGTTGCCATTGCTGCTGACACTATTAGGAAAAATATTTGGAACCAAGATAAAAATGCATGACTGTTTTTGTTTTGGGGTAAAGGACTGATGCCCTTGGAATTGCTAGGCTTTGTCTGCCTCTGCATGCAGCTTTTACAGCCTCCTTCCCAGCGCATGAATGGTCAGCAGCAGCACAAGCAGCAGTTGCTGCAGATGCGACGCCAGGAGCGCCTTGGTCTGACTCCGCAGCAAGCGAAAGAGCAGGAGCTGCAGAGACCTCATCTCCGCTTCCGGCAGCAGGAGCAACAGAGTATCTGCCCCCCCACGCTGTCTCTAGCAGCCATTGATGCATGCAGAAGAGCAGTTGGCACGGCGCAGGCCTTTGTGGCTGCCACTCCGCAGCTTGTTGGGGAACTGCAGCAGCTTTGGCAGCAGCGAATGGGGCGTTGCATGGCCAGCATTCGTCTTATGCCTCCGCATCAGCAGGAGCAGCGGGTGCTGCTGCAAGAACACGCCGATGCGGCTGGAGTTGTGCGTGATGTTTCCTGTGTGGCTCGCCAGGAGCTTGCAGAACTGCAGCAGCAGCGGCACAGAAAAAGCCACAAACACAAGTAAAGCGAGCAAGAGCGAAATCACCAATTTCAGCAGTTGCAGCCACCCAGGTAGCTGAAGCCGCTGCTGAATCGTTTGCTGAAAACTCAAATAGAGCCCAAGCAGTGAGCCGTGCAGATGGGCGTAACGGAGGTGCAGTAGCACGGCAGTAGTTGGCGCTCCTTGCTTGTGCCGCTGGTCGGCTGGTCTTGATGCCTCCTTGAGCTCGACTGTAATTCTTTGTTCTCGAAGCCAGGGCTGGTGTGGCCTTTCCTACAGCGAAGAGAAAAAATGTAGAAGGAAGGCACAGGCACTGGCAGAGCAAAAAGGAGCGCAGAAAGGGGGACAGCTACATTTTGAGAGGATGTATAAATAGCTGCTGGGAAAGGAGTCACACAGAGACGTTAGATAGGACTAAAAGTGAAGGCAACGGAGATACACAGAGGGAGGGGATGCATAGAGGGCTGCTTGGCTGGCAACATTGCATCGGACACTATAGCTGGAAGCAGCTTCAGCGCAGTGACTAGGCCTGGAGAGGCGAAAAACACCCCAAGGGGTGTTTGAGGTGAGGAAAAAGAGCATCGAAGGCGCAGGCTTTTGTGCCGTACAACAGGCGTAAAACAAGGCAACCGCCCCTCTGGCACTTTGTGCTACGCATGTTATGCTGAAGGAAGATTTAGCTAAGGAACGAGCGCGCACTGTGGCAGTGTGTAGCGCTTCCTCTATAGTCTCCTAAGGGAGATGCTTAGCTTCAAACTCAACAGGACCGAATAAAAAGCGTTAAGTTTTCTTCAAAAAAGCACCCTACTTCCCCTGCACGATACCCGCTGAGCTTTGAGATTTGAGGTGAGATACGGACCGTTAGGGTATGCGATGTTTCACCCTCTACGCACTTCGAACAACCACAGCTAGCCGCATACAGCATCTAGCGTACAGCCCACCCAGTGCTTCTCTTTTCACATCGAGCTATCAGTACTCTGCAATAAGCAAAAATATGCGAAATGACGAACCAGCCAGTGCATTCCTTTTCACTTGTTTACATGGAGTAGAGTAAAGTGTTGGAGTGCAGCCCAGTCCGTTGCACGGTTCATCGGGTGGAGGAGGATTCACAGGGAGCCGTAGATGTGCTGAAGGCTGAAACGGCTAGGGGCCGAGGATACACTGAACGGGAGTGTCTAGTGAAATGGGGTAGGGAACGCCAACCACAGTGATTGACGGAGGAGCAGTTGCGCGCCTCGTTGCCTGCGAAAGAATTTGCGGCTGTGCAACGCCAGTCGCACTAGACAGTATTCATTGCGCTTCTTGATAAATATCCTTCCCCAGCATATCTATATTGCCTCAATACGCTACCTTAATCTATGGGTATTGCTTGAAACGCAACCAGTCAATATTGATCAGGTGTTGTCTACACTCAGATTTATGCGCAAGCACTCTCAGGTTTATTGCCCCGACAGCCTGCCTGAGGCCTCTTCTGACGTTTTGTAATACGCTGTGTTGCATGCGCCGGCTGTATTTGCATGCATAGGCTGCTCTAGGAGGTTTAGGCGCCGAGGCACTCCTGAATTTGCGTGTATATTTTGATTTTCTTCACACAATTTACTTGTCTCCCATGTTTGCATAGCGGGAGGCGCGTACATTTGAGCGTTCCAACAAAGGACCGCGAGCCACTGCGCCACCGCGTTCGTTTTAGTCAGGTCTCTTGTTCGCCCTTGGTTACTGTGTCTTATTTGTCCTTATTCCTCAATTGAGCATCAGCAGTTGAGGCACGCATTCCCTCCCTCATTTGCAGTGTTTTCGGGGTTTCTGTGTGTCTGCTGAGTAGCGATAAGGCAGGAAATCCTCCGCTGTGCCGCATGCAGTTGTCAGCGACATAAGGCAACCCTGGGGCATCTGTTTGAAATAAGGACAGACGCAGCCGATTAAGCTACGCTTGAAGACTTTGTATAACACTACGTAAATTTAATTTAGACTTGGGTTGAATTAACTAGCCGGTTTGTCAGTGATAAATATTCTTTATTACGACGCACTGTCAGCTCGAAACAAAGGAGGACAATTGTTTGCATGCGGGCTAGATGCTTTGAGCAACTAGGTGTGAATGCTCGGAGTGCTAAGAGGGTGAAGCTAGTGTTAGCCTACATGTTCCTCTCCCTCATGACGAAAGGTCTGAGGGGCGAGGGCAGGGGGGTAAGGTTCCCCCCTTAGAAAGCACTTAGTTATTCAGTAGTAGGTTTGTATTGAGTCTGGAGTGAAGTGCCTCCCAACAAAGACCTTAATCAAAATTTTTGAGTGCGTGGTATTTGTAAGGCTGTCATACTTTCCCGACTTCCAGAAATTCATCAGCATATTCATACAAATGAATCGGCTGGGGAAGCACGAGTTTCCCCAGCTGGGGAGCTACTCAATCCACATCAGCTTGCAGGCCGGCCTCTTTGCCATGGTGACAGGCATTTTGCCACCTTCAACGTTCATCCCCAAAAGTGCTTTTTCAGGCTGCTGCCAAAGCAAATTCAGATTACTGAATTACGAAGTGGCACTATCAAAACCAGACAATCGTTGTAGAGAAGCATGATGCCCCACCCTATCGACCGTCAGTGGATGAGCGGGGAACGGCTGCGTCGAGCCATGAGGTGCCACCAGCTGTACCGCTTCATCTAAGGTCTTGGTAGGGAGTTCAATGCACACTCTATAAAGAATTATTGAGTGTTCTTCAAAAGAATTCCTCCGCACCGTTCCTGGGCCTCTCAGAGTTCCTGAGATGAGGCGAGAGGAGCAGCTAGGGAGTGCATCGCTGCACTCTTTAAGCATTCTTAGTATTCACAGCGAGTTGCACACAGCACCTAGCGTGCATGCAAAGACTGCAACATTACATTCTCCTATAGTGAGCTGAAGCCAATCTGCGATAAATACGATACACGGACAAATAGGTAGGCCGTCATTTACTACGTCGTAGCCAAATATAGTTGGTGCGGTAAAAAGTGCAGCTTAGCTCGTGCATAGCTTGCAAGTGCGGCAAAGCGAAAGTAGGGGACAAAAACGAATGACGTCTCATCGGAGAACGCAAATTGACTTCTCCCCAGAGCTTCCTAAGCGTTATCAGCAATATGGCTTTCGGGTTCCGGATAGACCATTGCTTGAGAGGCCTGTACCACCGCCTCCCACTGGCCAGTCTGGCTAGCTGTAGCTAGTTGTGGCTTCGTGTGCGTACCTCCAAGCATGGCAGGCTAAAGGGATTACGGCTTGAGGGTGTGAAAACGGTTCTGCAGTGTACTTCCCTGCATGCGCTCGATTGTTTAGCTGAGCTTAGAAATAACACCCTGTGGCACTGACGGAAGTGGGCATTTTCTTGTCGTGCGAGTCAGCGTAACTAGTCGGATGTGTTGTTTGCTGGAGTGGGCACAATCGTGAAATTAGCAGCGTTAAGCAACGCGATCGCTTCGGTAGTGCCGAACAGGCCGTTAGAAGAAGGTATCTGTACAGCAGACCCGCTGTGTGCCAGGGGCTGCAGCTGCGGCTGCTGCTCGGTCGAGCAGCAGCCGCAGCTGCATCAGAGGTTACAGAGGTTTGGAAATTCATTTAATTAGATATATGTATTTGGCTTAGCGCTGCAAATAAATTATTGGCGACCTGCGTTTCCTCATACCATCCAGGGAGCACCGCAGCTTCTCCTGTGTGAGTAAACCAGGGCAAACTCCGCTGTGTGTCTTTTTACTTTTCGCGCATTTCGTGGAATTCCTTTTCGATTGTGCGTCGAGTATCGGCGAATAGTGCTCACCTTGACTGGAAACAGTGCTCAGGGCTCTCGATTCTTTGGACAGCGGCGCAGCCGACTTGACTGCCCTCGGGGTGAGAATTATCTTCCGCATTGCAGGCTGCTCAGCTCCAGAACGTGTCAATGGAGGCATTCTTCCCTGCACTAGCCGTAGGGATCATGCAGCTTCAGTGTTTGGAGTGCTCGATGCTCTCTCTTCGCCCATGGAAGCCGCTCTTCCCTGGGGGTTACGCCTTTCCGTTGCTTCTGTACCTTCCCTTTATTTCAGAATCGGTGGTTTCTTCATTTGCGCGGCTCTCTGTATTCTTTCGTGCAACTTTCCTTGGTACTGGCGAAGGCCTTAGGGCTTGAGGTTGTACGATTAGCGCTGACCGCTAGCAAGCGAGTTTCTTCAGGCATTGGATTTACGCTTTAGAGTTTGTGGTCAGGATGGAGAGCAGCATCCTCCGCGTCTCTGTCCCTCATTTTGAGGAAATCGAGGAGGGCCGCATCGCCTTCAAGGTGTCTGTACAGTATGCCAAGCTCTCCTGGGAAGGTGTGGAGATGACGTCGTCGCTGGTGCCGCTGCTGTTGGTGTATCACCTTCACACCACTTGCTTCCGATATTTTCGAGTGCTTTTGTCTTTCGCAACTGCTCCTACTATAATATGCGCGTGTTTTTGCCGCTTTTTCAGTATGGCGTCGATTCAGCGACTTCGTTGCTCTCCACGAGCACCTCCTCGCCAGGTGCCTTGCTGCTTCCATTTTGCAGTTTGTCGTTGCTGCTGCTGCTCGTGTTCTCGTTGTTTGTTGCAGCTGCTTCCTTGTGGCTTGTGCGCTTTTTCAAGCTGTATTGCGACAGTGGGGCAGCTGGTATCGGCATTTGATAGCTGCGTTTTCTTGCGCTGTTGCTCGTCGTCCAGGTACAGCAACTTCGCTGTAGCTGCCACGCTTCTAATTCTGTTGCTGTTGCGACTGCAGCGACTACGCGGCACTGCCAGAGCTTCCCCCCAAGACTCTCCTGCCTTCCGTGACAGACACGCGATTTTTAGAGAAGAGGAAAAACAAGCTCTTCAATTATCTGCAGGTCCGCCTCTTCCTGCTAGCTCGTCAACCGCCCAGTGTCTGTACAGCTAGCTGGCTAGCTGTGCATGCAGCCTTTATTGGGCCTGGGCATCCAGGCTCTCCACATGGGACCGACATCCCATCGGGTGTCGTCTAGCAGATGTAGTTCAGCGCAGCGTGTGTGGCAAGGCAGTCGCTCGTCTTTTTGTTGTTCTTTTCTCCAACGGCTTGTGCTCCTCCTCCTGTGCATATCCATGGTGGCTGCAGGATTTGCTTCGTCGGCCAGACACGCGATTTTCCCAGGAACTTTTGAACTTTTTGTGCCTTACTGAACAGGTCAGGGGGAGGAGCAACTCGCGAGCTCCTGCAGCGAGGTGTATTCATCAGGGTGTTGGAGTGCCTGTAGCTTCCCACCTCCTTGTGGGCTTCTTTTATGGGGTTTTATGGGTTGGCTGGGTTTGTCGCGTCTGTCTTTCGACATCAAGCATAAAATGCATTCGCTTAAGTGCTGTAATCGCTGCTTCCTCATCACGCAGGCAGCAGTGCAGAGCAAATGCCTCCACCCAGTAATGGTGGGAACCACGGGATCACAGCGCTTTGCGGTGTCTTCGCTCGCCAAGTCAGGCTCCTGTATCGTAGCCGCTTACGAGGCAAGTTCTACGATTTCACCTTGAGAAGTGTAAGCCAGCCATACACGGCAGGCCTAATGGTGGGGGGTGTCCATACACCCCATTTTTTCAAGTCTGAAAGCTCCCCTTCCTTGCTCTAAACGGTCTTTAAAGGCCGTGTCGTGCAGTGCGCCTCTAAAAAACGCCTCCCTCCAAAATGAGACTTTTTTCACAGGATAAGACAAGCATGAGCCGTCTAGGTCGCTTGTGGACTATTGTGGAACCCGACGAGCTAGGGATGCTCAACATATGGCTTGTTGGTACTCAAGTAGCATCACGCAGCATCACTCAGCATCACTCCAGCTCGGCCTTTATATAAACTTCTACCCCTCTCCCCCTCCACCCGTGTCGCAGCGAGTGCCTGACGCCTCCTCTGCAGCGTGCTGCCTGTCTCGCCGTAAAAGTATATGCCTCACTGCATGCATGTTGGGGCATGGCGCATGCGGAAGGCAGTCAGCCCCAGGGGCTTTTCTTGCGGTGCTGGATGGCGTGGTGTACAGACACTTCAACGAAGCTTTTCTGCTCTTCCTTCTCGCAGAAATATTCTTGCAAAGTGAATTCTTCCCCCCTCCCTCCCCCTCCAACACACCCCTTATCGTATACTATAAGTCCAGAGAACGAGATTTCAATAGGGGGCGGCGCAGCCTCCTATTAAAAATCTCTTTGTCGTTCTAGTTCTTGATATATATATATATATATTTATATATATAGGGGGGGCTGTGAATTTCTCTTTCCACAGGTTCGAGCTGTGGCTTATCACGCGATCACCAGCACAGTCATCGTGGCACTTGATGGTGAGGCTTTTTCTAATGTTTTTTCGAGGTCTGAAAGAATCCCGCTGTGGCTAGCTCCCTCCCCTGGCATGTTGAAAAACATGATGGCTCTCAGGCTTCAGCACTGCAGTTCGACAAAATCAAGAACTCCCTCAAGCTGTGCGAGTTTTTTCAGATGGATCTCTCCAAAGTTTTCAGATGGACGCAAAAGGGGGGCTTAAACAGGTACTCTTGGCGTGGAAAATCACACTTGCGTAGCCTCCCGTGCAAAGTTCAATGCCTGCCTTTTATGCACAACGGCAGCCTTTCGCTTGGCGCCTTGTTAGACAACAAGAGATCTAAGGCTTTTAATGTCATTGCACTCCCTCCGCGTTGCGGATGGTGGCTGTTGCACTTCAGGTTGGCTCAGCTCCAATCCATCAAGGTCCTGTTGTGGGACTGTCTGGCTTGGAGGGAAGCTCTCCGAAATTCCTTTCCGCAGCTGCAGACGGCAGCATCCGCCTCGTAGATGGTCAGTTCTAGACATCCTGTATTCTCGCGTCTTCTCCCCTTCTTTCTGCGCACCGCTTCCAGTTGCACACCGGCCTCCACTGCTATCCCCAGCTTTACATATGCATATATATGTATATATGTATGCATATATATACGCATGTGTATACATATGTACGTATACACATGTGCGTCTTCTTGCTTGCATGATGCGAATTCTGAACGCCAGTGAATCGTCCATGGATGTCTTCTAGGAGCTGTTTTGCCGCGTAGCTACACCTCCCCCAGTGCCTGTGCGTGTTGTGGTCTTGCTGTCTCGCGTGCTCTACCTTTTTTTCTTCCTGTCTGCTGTCTCTATGGGCCTTGGATGCGCTTGCTGCCTTCTTTTGCTGCTTTTTTTGCTGCTTTTTTTGCTGCCACTCAGCTACTAATCTTTCGGTTCTCTCGGGGGGTCGACTAGGCCGACGGCTCGGTAGTCATTCGTTGACGTGTTGCTTCTTTGCCGAGCAAACAGCGACTGCGTATTTAGGTAAAACGCAGACGCCACCAAATTGCACACTCAAGCTTCTTATCGCACCGCTTCTCCCGTCCTTTCTTCCCTACTCGCATTTGCATCGATGGCTTGTGCCTTTCGACCGCAGCTTGTTTGTTCTTTATTGTACTTCCACCTGCCGGCTTTCTGGCTAAAAAAATCTCCCCGTCTTCTCTCTGCTTGCCTGCCACGCTCTCTCCCGCTGCTGCTGCTGCCTCCTCTCTCTTCACCCATGCACGGGCTCTGCCAGAAAGTCAGTCCTTCCTCATCTCTTCCTTCCGTGCTGCGTTTCCTCACATCTACCCAAGGCACAACCGCAGCCGTTCTCCTGGTATACTCCTTGAAAACGAAAACTCCCCAGTTCGTAGCGGAAAGCCGTCTCTCTCCAGAGGACCCCATTCTGGTCGTTGCGGCTGACCCCTTGTAAGAAAGACGCGCCTCAGGAAAAAAGAAAACACCCCCGCAGAAGCTTCTTTCCCCCTCCTCTTCTCCGTGTCTTCCTTCGTGCCCGCTTGTTGTGTTCTCCGCCGCTGTGCTGAAAACTCCCCCTCTAAGCTTTCTCCCTCTCTACTGGCATGCATACACACACACACACACATTTTCTTTGAGGATGTACAGGTGGATGCTGAAGTCTCAGGCACCTGCACTTTTGCGACCTTTGTTCCTCTTGTGCCGCTACGCTGCTCTCGCCTCCGCTGATTTACCTTTTGTAGCCCTTGTCTCTCTTTGCCTCTGCTGTAGTGTACGTCCACCGGCATGCCCCTCTCGATGCACTGTTCGAATTCCTTTCGCGTTCCTACGCATGCCTTATCTCCTGGCCTTCCCAGAGCGCCCTCTCCAGTTTCGCTCACATAGCACAAACTCTCCTCGCGCGTGGCTATATGTCTAGTTTTCTCCATTCCTGTGCCTCGTGATGAGGCCCTTCGCGCGTACCTCCCTCCTTGCCTGCCCTCCCCTCATCCAGCCCTTCTCCTCGCTGTCTCCCCACTCTGTGCCGTACTGTGCGTCTGCAGAGGAGTCTTTGTAGGTCACGGCTCGCAGGTGTCTGTGCTGCAGTACAACAGAGGAAAAGCGGAGCGAGGCGCCGTGCTGCAACTGCGAGACAATGCAGAGGCAGTGCACTGCCTAGCTCTTGATGCCCCCAGAAAGCGACTTTTCGCTGGATACCAGGCATGCAGACAACAACCTGCCTTTCTGGATTAATAACACCTCTGATTCTGCCTTCTCTTAGTCACGCCTCTTTTGTTACGGTGTTCTCCGTTTTCCGCTGTCTTGCATCCTCACGTAGGTGCCAAGGTCTCTTTGCGTGTTTATCCTTGCGTCGTCTCTTTGTCTCTCTCTCTCTCTCTCGGCTCTGTGTTCCCTCGCATTCTTCTTGCTCGCTTTGAATTGGCGCTTGGATTCGCCGCTAGCTGACGTCCACGTTTCCTGCGCATTTAGAGCGTCTCGCGGGTTGAACCCCGTTGTCGTGCATGCATCTTCCGGCAATGCTTCATTTGCAGTCCTTCATCGCGTGGTGGTGCACTGAGCGGGGAGAGTGTCTTCTGGCTTGGGCAGCACACAACGGCGGAGTAAGTTTCCTGCTGCTGAGGCGGCAATGGCCTCGTGGTATAGCCAGATCTGCCCTTCATGTGAACCTCTTTTTGGTGTGCTGCTTCGGGGAGGAGGAAGGGAAGGGAAGGGGGGAAAGAGGAAGGCTACTACCTGCCTGAGGGCTTTTTGTGCGTACATTTGCACCCCCCTGCGCGTTTAGCTGCAGTCCGCGATTCGAAAATGCACGATCTTTGCTGCTGCTACTGCTCCCTCACAGGTCCATCAACTGCTTACCCACGAGAACCCAGACTTCCTCCTTAGCGGAGGAGACAGCGGCACGATCAAGGTGCAGTTCTCGTTAATTTTAATCACAACAAGGCCCTGAACGCCAGAAGCCACACGCGGCAACTCCTAACGCACCAGAGCTAGGAACGTCTTCCTGGCAAACAAGGGGCCTACTCGTAGAAAGCTCTTGCACTAGCGTTCACGGTGTGGGTGGGAGTCTTTGCATGCGCCGGTGCGCCTTTTTCTGCTCAGCTCTGGCAGCTTCCCCATGGCTCTGTCCTCACTCCGTGGAGTGTACATCCACCTACGCAGCAGTTCGAGGGAAGCAGCGGCTGCTCCCGGCCTGCGGAAAGCGACATGCGCTTTGGAGCCGAGGAGGATGAGCAGGAGGAGCAACCTGAGGATGCTGGAAGACACGGAGAATGGGTTGTGAACGCAGCAAGCAGAAACAGAAATCCAGCTCTTCTGCGCCGCTACAGCAGTGGATCTGACGATGATGAGTACGCCCCGCAGCACCAGCAGCAGCAACTGCAGCAAGAGCAGCAGCAGCAACAGCAGGAAGAGCCACCCCTACTGGTTCAGCACCAGGAGCAGGACAGCAGCGATGACGAACTCGATGATATACGCAGCGCCTTGGCTTAAACAATCAGTACCGACCCACGCGGGATTTTTTCCAGTGTAAGCTAGAGAGTTGATTCGTTTTTTCGCCGTCCCTGTGGCGCGAGGCACGACGAGAACGGGGCAGAGGGCTAAACAGCAGCTCTATGTGCAGGAGTTGCGTATCGCGCACCGAGAGAGGCCAAACTAGTCACGAAAAGGGTGTCGCAAGGACGTAAGGCGGGATGTAGAGAGCTATATACAACGTCGAAGGGCGGCGGAAGGTGGTTGGATGAGGACGTTGCAGTCAGAGGCAGCCAACACCAGGTTATTCGAAGCTTAAAAACCTAGCGGGAGCAACGAGGTACAGACTTAAAACCGAATAAGTGTAAAACGGGGAAAAGAAATGTACATGAGAATTTCTCCGGCACGCCATAGCCAGCCACGCGACTGGCCTGCGCGGCGGGTGAGTTGCACTACCGCCACTTATCTGCCGTCGGCAGTAGCAGCTGCTGGAAAATTACTGCGGTATATTACAGGGCATCACTACCCTTAATAGCGCCACACGAACCGTGGCAGCTGATGCATCACCGTCAGCAGCACAAGGGTCCTTAGTTGCTGCAGCGACACCACCACAGCAGCATCAGCAGCTGCTGCTGTGGTGTTAGCGGCTCCTATTGCGACTTCTCTGCACGCGCCACCTGCTGTTGTAGCTGTTCAAATGCCGCGGAAGGTGCAAGGCGCTGGAAGCGACTGAGCGATGCTGGAGAGGGTTGCTGGCCGTACGCCCTCGGGGCCAAGTTGAGCAGAGCAGAGCTTAGCTCCCGTATGTAGTTGTCTCGCTCCTGCAGTTTCTTCGTGTAGCGAACCGAGTGGCAGCAGCAGCAGCGGCAACAGTTGCTGGTGTGCTTGCTGCTGCTGACCAAGGTGGAGGAGGGGCAGATCGTGGAAGCGCAGCAGCGAGGAGGCATTTGGCGGGAGGTTATCTCCTTGGATATGAGCTAACAAACAGCACAAGTTATGCACTACAGGTTTTGCCTTTGTGATAGATGATTCCAGATGCCGCGCGATTCCATGCACTTAGGAAGTTGCGGTGCATGTACACCGCAACATAGGAATCGATAGTCGTAGACTGCCGACACTTCCGAGCTTAGCTTGAGATGGCGTTGTACCTGCTTTTTACATCCCAGCTCACCTTCATGAGCTTTTGTCTGTCAAAGGCTGGGGGATCGACCAACTGCACCACATCCCGTACCAGCTCGACGAGGCCTCTAAAGTCTTCTTCCCCTGGCGGACCCCCCAAAAGGGGGCCCTCTTGAGAAAAACCTTGGGGGCCCCCAGGTAGGCAGAAAGGCGTAACTTTCGTCACCCATACCTTTCCATTCGCGTCCGGCAGCAAAGAAAAACGCAGCAAGAGAAATCCCTGCTGCTGGTGCTGCTGCTGCAAATTGAGACAGAATAAAATCTTCAGAATAGATTCGCAGCTTGCAGACCACAGTTGCTCCCAACTTCTAGAACGGGCTCTGGATGCCTCCCACCCATCAGCCTCCGGCAGGGCCTGCGCCTCAGCTGCCAATGCATCACGAAGCTGCGAGAAGGACAGGCTCTGTGGGGGAGTGCACGCGGCAGCACCGCCTACTGTAGAGCGCTGCTGCTGCTGCGTAGGGGCATGCCCCTCCCTAAACAGCTGGCTCTGCCCTTCTATGGTGTCTTTAGGTGGCAGTGCTGCTGCTGCTGCTTCCTCAGCAGCAGCAGCTGTGCTGGCTGTTGCACTGGTAGCGTCACCATTCTCGCCATCTTCCCAGAATGTAGCACAGACGCAGTCCGTTAGATGAATCAACCTGTTGCTGAGGAACTCGGGAGCGGAGGAGAATGCTAAGCGAGCCACGCGGGCACGGCCCTGGCACAAAGCAGAAGCAGCAGCTGCGGCGGAGGTATGCAGCAGGTGCATGCGCAGCAAGATTATCAGGCGCTAAGGCAGCAGGAGAGGTGCTGTGGGAGAGTCTGCAGCACCTCGTCCAGTGTGCAGCATTTGTATTGGCCTCAAGCTAAAAAGTAGAGGCATCATAGGTTCCAGTAGCTTGACGCAGAAGTGTTCCTAGCCAGAGTTTCACCGGCAACAAGAGTGCCAGTGATTGTACTATTGAGAGGTGCACCAGACTCTGGGAAAAGGGTCCAGAGAAGCCCCATAGAAGATATGGTGACGACTCAAAGTGTGAAGAGCTAACATTGCACATGCAGGAAGCAGCCTGCAAGCGGCAACGAGATACCAACTCGGAGATTGGTAGCACTATTTCCAACAGAAACTGCAGGAGAAGGGGTATCGTCATGATCAGCCTTACCCATGGGATTCGGAGGACCCAGGGGATGGGGGCGACACAAATCCTGGCACTCACCTCTTTGTATATGAACGCTTCGAGAGGACAAAACGAGAGGACAACAACAAAGCAGCAGAGGTCGAATTTGCGTCGTTGTAGCAATAAAGGAGGCGATACGTAGCTTTGCACCTGTGCCCCTCCAAAATTGCTCTCTGTGAGCGGCAACTGCACCAAGCGGGGAGTGCTGAGGGAGGAATAAGGGCCCGTTACTCCTGTAGCAAAAATGATCCTGAGCCAAGATGGCAATATAGTGCCAGACCTATTCCCAATTGGTTAGGTCAGATAAGAGGCAGCCAGGGAGACTTAGAACAGAGTGCTAAAGGCACGTTATTATAGAGGCCTTGAGGCGGCTAGAGCAAAACGTCAGAGAGAGCCACCAGAAGCATCCCACACACGTAGAGAGGAGTAAAGTGTGCACTTGACCGGCACGTTGAGCACGGCTCCTGGCGTTGCTTTTGTTTGCAGTTACAGGGTATATTTAGACAATTTGTGGACTCAACCGGATCCCATACTGCTCCACGCATTACGGAAGACAGACTGATCAGAGACTGCCGTGAACAGATTCATGTCTCGAGACAAACAGGCACTAGGCAAAAGAAAGCAGCAAAAGGTGCAGCCTTTCGTAGGAGGGTTGCGAGGGCAGTTCTGACTCCTCTTCCGGTATACCCAGACGAAGTCGTGGATCTGTCGATCCCCTGTGCTGATTTCCTCCACAAGATCTAGATGCCCTCTCGGCAAGGAGACCGTTAAAGGCATCACCCTGAATGCCCATCGCAGCAGCAAATGTACAGATGACAGCAGGGGGCCGCCAACAAGAAGCTTTGCGAAGCGGGTAGACCAGGGCGAGGGCAGCACCAAACGCGGAGCACACGTAGGAGGATCGCCAAAATGGCATTAGCAAAATGCGAGTGCCACAGTAGCGGCAGCAGCGGCAGTCTGAGCAGCTGTTGTACCGGCCGCACTTGTACAAGCATGAGACGCTAAAGCACTAGTATCCCCACGAGAGCCCTCTGATAGCCCACCAGGAAGGCCCCTTGCAGCTAGCTTACCTGAAGCCATCTCCCAAGGGACCCTGCCTCTTAATGTACCGTGAAAGGAAGCGGTAGAGCCTACAGGTGTCCAGAGCGTCACCAATATTTGGCATCCAGCTAATGCGTTGTAGGCGGAACCCAAGGGAGCCGGGGGGCCCCCAGGGGGGCCCCTGGAAGCTCCTCGAAGAGAGGTCAGAAAGAGATCCTTGGGGTGGCTCTGACGGACAATCAGCGGCCCCACTGCTGCTTTGGCTGCTGCGTTCGCTAGTCCTACGGCGGCATCTCTCTGCATTAGTGCTTTTCTTAGGGGATTCAGACGACTCGGCACAGCTGCTTAGGGAGCTTCCCTCAGAGAGGAGAGAGGCTGCAGCCACCCGCGGCGACATCCATATGAGGTTCGCAGTTGCAAGAGTGGCAGGAGAGGAGACTTGACGCCAGAGGCCTGTGGAGAGAAGGGCCCTATGAATGGCAGCAGGGGGCAGCAATCCTAAGGCGACAATCAAGGGCATGTACGGGAGAATCTGCCACACAGTCCAGGGTGCATTTAGTGACCTCAGGCAGCCTCAAGGAGGGCCTTTCCCGTAGTCAGGGCCCCCAAGAATATGGGAATGCTTTTGTGAATACGCATGCAAGTGTGAAGAGCCAAAATGGACTGTGGTACATCCGCATGCATTGCTGTACAAGATGGAGAGCGATACGCGCAAAACAGGATTTAGCGGAAGGGCGGCACTGTCTAGCACAAATAAAACAAAAGGCAGAGGGAACTGAGGAAATACACACAGAGCGCGGGAGCTAAGAACGGAGTCAAGATAGGTCACTGGTGGCAAAAGTAGGGAAGGGCCTACTCGCTCACGATAGCTTCCTCCTCCTTACTGCAGCCTACGACTCCAAAAGTCCGTTTGTTGCATTCGGTACACCTGCGGCCTCCCGTCCTCTGATTGCTCTCTTTGGGCATAACGCTGCTTGTTTTTCGAAGCCCCTCTGCGCCTTCGCTGCTGCTCTGGCTGCTGGGGATGCCTATGGAGCGGCTACCTCTGTGCCAAAGCACGACGTCCCTACCCCGCTCTTCTTTTTCCGCAACTTTAAGCGCCAGTAGCAAAGAGCGCAGCAGCTGGAAAGATTTGGGGTGTATGTGCATCCCGACAAAGAATAGAGGTGACGGGAAAGAGATAGAGAAGTCTACCACAGTAAAATCGGAGCCGTCAGAACGTAGCACTGCCTGTGGCGTCTTTTCGTGTGCTTGCTCTTGCTCTTGCTGTCCTCCATTAAGCATTAGAAGGGAGCGGCTGAGAGGTGTAGAGGTTCTAAGGTCGCCTTCAAACTTGTGGAGGGATTCCGAAGTGCGCTGAGAGGCAGCAGCACCACGGGTGGAGGACCACCTGGTAAAATCATCTGCGTTGTCAGCGACACTTTCTGCGCTGCTGCTGCAGCTTCTGTTGCTTGTGCTGCTCAAAGATTTACTCGTTTCAAGGGGGCCCTTTCGAGGCCTTCCAGTGCGGGGTAGCGTTATTGAAGACCAGCGGTAGAGATCTTCGAGTGGCTCCTTTCCGAATGAACACCCCATGGTCTGCTGCACACAAACGTTTTTTCTTGCTTCCGAGTGGTCCGTGTAAGCGGAAGTAACGATTTCGCATGCCTCTAGTTGCGAGCCGCTGCTGACTTCTAAAAGCGGTCCGGCGTGGCTAAGGGCAGTAGGTGCAGCAGTTTCTGACACGACTTTATCCTCTTCTGCTGCTGCTTTTGCGGGTTCTGCAGTCTTTCTTTCTGCGGCTGCTGTTTCCGCGATTTCTGGTTCTAGAGGAGCGGCGTCTTCTTCGGCGACTGCCGGTGTTGGTGTACTCGCAGACGCACGGCCTGCGGGGGAACTTACAGCTCTCTTTCCTGTCGAAGGTAATGATGATTTGATTGCTGCTGACGCACAGCCTTCCACGGTGGAAGCCAAAGCCGGTGAAGTAGCTTGTGAGCCTCGTTCAGGGGGGCAGAGGGAATGTGGCAGCCCGCGGCGTGGCTCGTTCGCTGTTGATGGGCGTTTCCACTTGTGCCGTTTAAGGGCATCTTTGCGGGATCTGCAGTTCCCCTGCCGAGGAACTGTTGCAGAACCTACACCAGGCGAAGGAGCAGGAGCAACTGCTGACATGGTTTCTGCTGTGCCCGGCTCTCCAGAGGGTTGTGTAAATGTGCATTTCTCACTAAGACCCCTTCCAGAGGGTCCTACCGGAGCGGAAGCTTCCGAATTTGGGATATTCGAAGGCAGCAAGGGATCCTCGAATGGCTTAGATATTGATATGCACGAGTCTTCTTCGGGCGGTTCTCCTGAGCCCTCTTGTAAGCGTGCCTGGCGGGCTTGTTGCTGATGCTGCATTTGCCGCATCAGTCCTGCACCGCTTTTACTGGACGCCGCGTTGTCTCTAGGGGTGGACACTTTGTCCCCTAATTCACCGCTTAGTGTTGCGAGAGACTGCGGGGTGAGGCTCTCCAGTAGCTCATACACCCTTTCCAAGGAGTGAGATTCCCCCTCTCCCATACTCTCTGCAACAACAGCAGGTGATGCTTCATCCCCCGCGCCTTCTGCTACTGTCTGCGCGTTTTTTCGCAAGACTGACGAATTCCGTTTTTCCAGCATACGGCTTTTTCCTGGAGGGCACTGCCGCAGGGGAGCTCTGTCGCCTGTGGCATCAGGCCTAGCAATTCCTGCCCCTCTGAAACTGGGCTTCCGTGTTGCAGCAGCTATGGCAACGTGGGTGGCAAAGGGAGCCACAACAGCCTGCGCAGTTGCGGTATTTTCCGCTTGCGAGGCACCAGCAAGCACCGGAAGCTCAAAGTCCAAACCCCTCACCGCTTCTTCCACACTGCTGATTAGCAACTTCGCACATGAGCGAATCGACGCGTGAGAAGACCTGCTACTTTTGGGTCTATACCGCGGTGCTGCAATTCCTGTCGTTGCCACAGAACCTTCTGCTGGCTCTGCGATTGCTGCCGCTCCGATTTCCTGGGAATAGTTTATCGTTTTTGCTGCAGTAGACGCGCCAGAGATGGACGGGCTACGATTGGATTGGAGGCATGGCTGGTGTGGGGGGGATTTGCTCGCACAACTGCGCTGGTCACGCTGTCGATCGTGATGTTGGTGCTGCGGATATTCCTGCGGCTGAAGCGATGTGGTCGGCAAGTTGTGTCTTGGAAATGTTTGCGAGTCTGGTTGTTGGCGCTGAAGTTGTTGCTGCTGCTGCCTAACGGATGGCAATCTGGAAGGCCTCCTCGGCGCCTCACCGCCGTCGCTGTGGGTTTTGCTACTGGCCTTTTTTGGAGGTGGAGGCTGTTTGTCGTGCGAAGTGCCTCTGGCGAGAAAGGGATGGACTCTTCGAGGAGCCATCCTCTTCATGCTGGCAGTGTCAGCTGCTGCAGTGGGGATCACGCCCTTCCTGCTGCTGAGGGCAATTCTGTTGCATCCATTATTAGGAGGCCTCTTAATAAGAGGTGGTGGTACAGGGAGAGAGACAGGAGAAGCTGAGGCGACACTCAGGAAAAGATACGCCAGCCGACAGAGGCCTCAGGGTATGTGTGGGAAAAGGCAAGGCACACAGCTGCGTAGTTTCTCTTCATGCACACGCATGCCCAGGCAGATGTGCGCATGCCAAAGGTGCATGCGAAAACGCATTCCCGACTTAGCACTGTGTTTCCTTGTTCTATGATTCTCAGAATCAACGAGAGAGCCAAGCGCACAACAAAGCGGCGCCACTTTGCTTAAATGCTGGACACGCAGACACGCGATATTGCAAGAGGCAACATAAACACACAGTCCTACCGCTATTCGGTGAGGCTTCCTGTGAAGAGCCCCATGCGGAGGGTTCCATTCGCCTTGGCGTATCTTCGAAGGTAGTGGCTGTACACACCACCAGCAACCACACATCAATAATCCTAAGGACTGTATTTGAAAGATTTTAGCTCCTACGCAAATAGCCGTACGTAAACAGGCTCGAGCGCTTTTGGCCGTTAAACCCTATGCCCGAGATCCTTGATCACCTCTCTTGACATGTTGCTGCAGAAAGAACGGAAGGCCTTGTTTTTTCTCTAGAAATGTGAGACCCGGAGGAGGAGGAGCACACGCTGGGGGTGCAAAGAAGCCGGTAACTCCGCTGCCTCCCTGGCACCTGGCAGTGGCAGTAGTTCTGCTTCTGCTGCTTTTCGGCGACAGAGATGGACAGAAACTGTTTTTGCGCTTCCTCTCACCAGCACAGCTCCTGCATAAACCTTGTTGCCTTAGCTGCTGCTGCTGCTTCTGGCGTTCGCCTGGCAACGGCCGCAAAAGCTGCTGTCCAGAGCTCAGCTTCTGGAGCTGCTGAAGCGATACACTGGGACGCCTAGTGCATCCTGGCAGCTGCGAAAGCGCGACGCTCTACAGGAGCGGCAGGATGAAAGTGAATGTGGCAACAGCAACCCACGAAGCGGCGGTCGAAATAGCTAAGAAAGAGGCACTCTTCCTAGGTGATCCTCAGCAAAGCACTTTGTGGAGTCGACTTTAGCAGAACTAAGCTACACAGTTTGCTGATTAGGAAGGTTCAGTGTCTAGATGGTGCTGATTGTTCACTTGGGGAGCATCAGGAGGGCCAACAAGAGCTGCAGCGCTGGTCGAAGGCGAGTTTGACGGACGCCCAGCAGAATCCCAAGATGCAGCAGCAGGAGCAGCAGCAGCCACAGAAAGCCCCTTAGAAGTTATTGTCTTGTTGTCGCCGCTAGTTGTGTCGCCGAGCATGTTAGAACCGACCGTATGCGGGGTTTGAGGTACGTGTGCACCGAAAGGGGCCTTTGCAGCCCCCTCAGCGTGAGGGACTGTCAGCTTGTCTATTGCATTGAGTATAGAATCAGAGTGCCTTCTATCTCGAAGTTCCAGCAGCGCGAGATTCAGCAGCAGTCTTCGTTGCTCCTGAAGTGGCCCCCTGGTCAGCGGGCTGCTTTGGAGCTCCTGGCTAAGCAACAACAATTCCTTTGTCTCTGCAGCAGATGTAGCGTTGAAACTTTATATGCCTCCTATATCGACAACAGCAATATGTGCTGCAGCCGTTCTGGCTGCAGGCTCCCTGTTTGATGCTTCTTACAAGGATTTTGGTGTGCCTTTGTCTGTACAGCTGGCATGCTCCCTTCGCTACGCATGCCGCAGCACACATGTTCGCTCACCCATGTCATAGACACTGGAGGGGCTCGGTAGCACCCTCGTATCTGCGTTATCGTTCTGGCCAGATCCAGAAGCTCCACCCTCAGCAGCAGACTCGGATGCCACAGGGGCATCTCTTGATTCCATTTCGGTGCACCGGTACTCGCCCAAAAGGAGCGCCAATATAGCCCCAATTAAAATCGACTGCCCGTCTTCGGCATAAGGACTTTACCCCTTGCTATTGCAACCTTGTTCAGTTCTGGTTGCCTCTGTGCATATATATGTGAGCCTCATTGTGTCTGGTCTTCTCCGTCTCTTCATGAGGCCTTCTGAAGTCCCCTACTTCCAAGACATTACGGGACAGAAGGCATTAGCGCAGAGAACAATGGCTTTTGCTTTTGGCCTCTCTGAGGTGTATAGGCAGCTGTTGTGGCGAAAATGGCTCAAGGGTACAGCCGTCTGCCTCCTTGGGAACTATTACGCTAAAAAACCATGCCTCGCGTTACCTCGCAGGAAGTGTACCGCGAGTCCATGGTTTGGGGCCAAAGTCTACGAGCGTGTCTCTAAGACTCCCTGAGCACTTTTAGTTCTTTAACGCGTATGCACCGCTGCATCAATGAACGCCAAATCCAAAGCACCCGGTGCAGCGAGCGCAAGAACGATTGGGGGAAGCACTATATATCACGCGATAAGGCCAAAGTGCTCTGTAACCTAAGCGCGATCTTGCCTAAACGAAAGCTGAGACTACGTTTTCGCGGATCTTATTAGGGAGCTGACTCGCCCAGAAACACTCTTTCAGTGGTAGCAGGGAAGCAGCCGCAACAGGGGCAGCAGCCACTCCAGCGGCCGCCTATGGACGATCAAGCGATAGGGCTACGAACGCCCAGAACGATGTAGAAATTAAATACAGTCAGCATTGGAAAGGCTGTCCATAAATGGACGGCTAGAAGCCGCCTGCTGCTGTTGAGTGGGCCTCTTGTTGACGCGTTGTGTCGGCAGCGGTCGGTGGCGCAGGGGCTGAGTGGTAGTGCAGTTCTCAGTGTTTTCTGCATAATTGCCCCTCTGCTTCTCGCTCTTATGAAGAGATTTCCAATAAGTATTTATTTACTGTGCGTTTTAAGGACGAAAAGGCGAGATTTTCAAGCATTCTGGCTTCCCAAGGGCCCTAGACCGTCGTGCAGGAGGCGCCTCCACCGGGCCTTAGGGGGGTGAGTACGCTGAGGGTTTTGTCGGCTGCGTTCTCCTCTAGTCAATATTATTTCTTTAATTTTTGAAAAGGTTCTCAACGGATTCTGGTTCATGCAACGCAGGTGAAGGATAGACTCTCGCCGGACGCGCACTGCCTCCCGTCTCGTAACAGGTGGCTGGGAGGGCCCCCCCTTAGTGATGTTTGGCTCGCAGCTTTGTTCATGAAGCCATTCGCTGTAGCTCCATACAGCGTTGTTTAACCCGTAATAACTCCGCGAAGGGGGGCTCAGAACTTCGGACGCTGCTACTACACCCCTACAGCGACTGCAGCCGACAGAGCCTGCTGCTGTGCATCCGATCTGCCTATACACTCGGGCAAGAAGCTCGAAGAAGGCCACAGAGGCGTTTCAGAGGCTTCTATGGAGTCAAGTGACGGGATACCCCGAAGTGGTTCCCCCACAACCAGGTCCAGCTCTCTGCGCAAAAATTCGGCGACAAACGAGATTCCCACGAATGTCTTCGGCTACGTTAGCCACTGCAAAAGCAGCAGCATGAAAGGGCTATCCCCGCAGCTCAGCAGCTGCAGCAGCTGCTGCTGCTGCGCTTCCAGCTGCTTGGGGGACTGTATCCAGATGGGAGTGCCTCTAAGGGATGGCACCCTCAGCGTCACGTGGTCTCACCCTCCTCAGAACCCATCGGCATACACTCAAGGAGCCTATTCAGGAGGTTATTTGCGCGATGCATGCTCCAGCAGCAACTGCAACAGCGACAGCACAAGCTGCGAACGCCCCGTGTCTGCCAAGGACCTGATAAGGAGATACACCTTCCCTGGTTCCATGAGCAGCAGCAGCAGTGCAGCAGAATCAGCAGCAGAGGCAGCAGCAGGAAAACAACCGAGACGAGCCACTGCCTGCTGCTTTCTTTCTAGCGAAGGAGTTGGGATTTCCGCGGCACCCTCCACTTGTGCTGGTGAGCCTTTTAGCCCCCGCAGTAGGCCAAAAGCAGCGACGAAAGCCAACAGCAGCAACAGCAGCAGCCACAGACTCTCCACTGTCAGTACCCCAAGCGGAGACAGCAGCAGCAGCAGCGGCAGCATGCCTCTTAGCCCTTACCCCCCGCGACCACACAGCGCAGAAGTGCAAGAAGGAGCCGCAGCGCAGTTACAGCACGAGAAGCAAACAGAATCGGCAGAGAGAGAGGAGCCATGGCGGTCCAGAGAGCACCTGCAAGCTACAGACAAAGAGAATGGCGCTACTTTTGGCTCCAAAACGGCTCAAGACACACAGCGATTTTTCCAGGAGGAGCATCAGCGGCTGCACGGAGAGGAGCATCAGCCGCTGCAACATGGGCAGGAGCGACACGATGAGAAAAGGGAGGCCTGTGGCACTGAGGAGTCGCGTACCGCTGTAGTTAAGAGCGAAGAAGTAGAACTAGAATGCCATGCAGGAGCAGCGGCAGAAGAGGCAGCAGCGCTTGAAGGGAGGGGGGGGGGAGAGAAGCTAATGGACGCTGAAGGGGTGCTTGAAGCGCGAGACAATACGTCCAGTGCCTTAAAAGCGACGGAATCCAATCCTGCGGCTGCAGCCGAATGCACCATCGTTTCCAGCATAGGCCCCTCTATTCGCTCTGTCTCTCCGTACAGCAACAGCGCAGACAGTACGCCAGCCTCTCTTTCATCGCGTGCTGTTGATGGGGAGTGTCGCACTGCAGCAGCCTCCCCAGACGTATGCATGCCCCTCGTGACAGCAGCAGCAGCAGCAGCAGCCTCTGAAACGGCAGTTTTTCTCCTGGAGAGCGAATATTCAGCGGTTCGCCAAGCTCAATCGCGAGCGTCCAAACCAGGAGGAGGAAAGCTCAAGGAGCTCACAGGCAAAAATGGGGACGAGACATGCCTGTTGTTGCAGCCTTCTCTGCAGCAGAAGCAGCACGAGGAGAGCGAATCCGCTTGTCTGCAGCTGTCACGGCTGTGTGAGGAAGCCGCAGCCGCAGCCTTCTCCGCAGCAGAAGAGCAGCAGTTGCTGCTGAATTTCGAGATGGCTCTTGCGAATCGGACGCCTCGGCTGTCAGCAGCTGAATCAAGAGACGTCGCGGCAGAAGCCTCCCTTACCCCAGCAGAAGCTGCATCTGCTGCAGCAGAAACAAGACTCGGCAAGCACCACAGCTCCAGCAGCAGCTGCTCGTCAAGTGCGCCTGCGGCAGCCGCTGCTGCCGCTGAAGCCGATGCAGCGGCTGCTCCACACAGAGCGCAGGAAGAACTCCTGCAAAGAGAGAAGGAAAGCCTCTCCGTGATCCAGCGGCAGCAACTCCAGCAGCTGATCGAGGAAGAGGAGCACCTCGTCCTGCTAGCCAAACAGAAGGAGGCTATCCTTGCAGAGCTACAGGCGGAGTCAAGCAGCCATAAAGGCACCACCGGGAAGGAGCCGCAGGAGGAGCTTTCCAGCCGTCGTTCATCAGAAAATCTCTCAAACACCTGGCGGCAACTCGCTTTGCGGTACGCTCGACGTAAAGTCTAAAGTCGCCCACGAGGCAGCACAGAGGAAACAAGAGGTCGTTCAACCGTGCCAAGCATGTGCTCCGCTGACGCCACCTACACATATATGTATATATATATATATATTTCTTTCTCTCTCTCTCTCTGTGTGTGTGTGCATCTGTTTCTCTCTCTTTCCGCTTCTGCTTTCAGCGTTCGTATGCTACTGCAGTGTCTGTCCAGTCCCACTCTACTCCTGCCTGCCTCTTCCCGTGCCCCTGTCTCTCCGTTGTTGTGCTCCTTCGCTTCTTGCTGTTTCGCGTTCATCTTCGACGGTGAGTAGCGCAATATATTGAGCCCAGCCTCTTTGAAGACGTGTAGCATTGCGGATTTTCGCAGAGCAGACACCGCCTCGGCTGCTCCCACCCTTGCGGCAGCTGCATTGCAGCAGCAGCAGCCCTTAGCGTGCAGAGAGGCACTCGACACCAGTGTGCTCACTCTCTCAGCGGCAGCCTTCTTCAGCCTTTCTTCCGCCTTGCAACAGCCACAGCCACAGCAGCAGCAGCCACAGGATGGCGTGGTTGCTGCGTTGCAGCGTGTCGCCGTCTCGAAACAGACCCTCGATGACTCACTGCTTCTGCTGCGAGCAGCAGTAGCAGCCAATCCTAAGGACGCTGGAGCGCTCATGGCGCTTGCAGCTGTCGCGCTTCACTGCAGACACTATCGCGAAGCGGAAGAAAAGTTTTGCTTGTTGCTGCAACTGCTTGAGCCCCTTCTTCTGCGGCTCAGCCGCAACTTTCCCACCCCTCGAGAAGACACTCCACCCACAGAGCCAATGCTCCTGCGCCCGCCACACCTGCTGCCTCCAACGCTTCTATGCGGTGAAGATGCAGCGGCTCTATTTGCATGCTTTAAAGAGGCGCAAGACGCGGGCCCTATAGTCTTGTGGCCAGCAGTTGCGGGTGTCGAGGCTGCAGCTGGCAACAGCGGCGCGGCACGCGCACACAGCGCTGCAAGCAGGCTGCAACGGACGCATGCAGATCGAGCGGCTGCAGTAGCCGTCTCCTTGGAGTGAGCGAGAAAACAGTGGGGCGTGGCTTGCGTCCGCTGAAGCGCTCCGCAGGCTAGGACTGCTTCTGAGTGTCGCCGGGGAGAGGCGTGCAACATGCAGCTCCGTAGAAGCCGATCAGGCTACGGCAGAGACAGCCAGAGAGTGGGGCGAATCGGATGCTGCTTGAACGCGCAACAAGTGCAGGAACGCGTGTCTGCCGTGTCTTTTTTCAGGTGGTTTTGCTGCAAGAGCCTAGGACGCCTTGCCCTCGCCTTCGCACCGTCTCCTGCTGCAGCAAGGATGCCACTCCAACGAGCACTCGCTGCCGCTGCTGGAGCTGCACAGACGGAAGCGGCGGACGACTCTTTGTGGGCGCTGTACGCGCACATGCTTCTCAAGCAGCAGCAAGAAGCTGCTGCTGCTCTGGCGCTGCAGCTGGCAGTGGCCGCTGCGGGGTACCGTGCGAGTACCAGCAGCAGCAGCAACAACAACACGAAAAGCGGCAACTCTTCCTCCGAAAGTGGAATCGCCAGGCTAGGCAGACTGCTGCGCACTGCAGCCGATCCTCGCGAAGCCGTCTTGGCTGCTCTTGAAGCAGCGGCAGCCAACGCAGCGCCCACGCACACCCCCGCAGCAACCCGCAACAATGCGACAGCAGCAGCAAGTGCAGCTGCTGCAAACTCTGTTCGCTGCCAGATCCTAACCAGTGCTGCTTTGAACGAAGTCATTGCCACACCCCTCCTCTATCCCGTGCCTGCCAGTGGCTGCGGTCCCTGCAGCAACGACGCGTCGCTGCTCGCACGCTGGCAGCAAATGCAGGTAGAGGTGTTCACCTGCCACGCTCAGCGGCTCCTGAAGGGCGAAGCTGAGACAGCATTCGAATCACCAGCGGCGCCCTTGACGACGGCTCAGAAGAGTGTCTTGGCTCTGCTTGAAGATGCAGAACGTCTTTGCGACAAGCTGCTGCTACGGCGACATCTGCCACCCCGCATTCTCGCTGGAGCGCTCTCCGAGAAGTCGCTCGTTCACCTCCTCAGGGGCAGTCTGACAAAGCGCCGCTCGAACGGCAAAGAAGAAGCTCTGAAGTTCGCTCGAGCTGCCGTCCGTCTTGCGACTGACATGCAAAGTCAAACCCGTCTGGGCCTGGTGCTGCTCTGCTGCGGCTGCAACGCAGAGGCGCTCTCTGTGCTGCTCGCCGCTTTGCAGAGACGGCGAGCTGCCTATACACCCGAGCTCTCGGGTTGTGCTGCAGCCTATTTGGCCATTGCAGCAGCCAGAGAACAAAGCCGCTGCTGCTCGAGGCTGCAGCAGACGTCTCCAGCTGACATGCGCGCTGCGGACCGACTGCAGCGTCTCCACTCTGTGGCGCTGCAGTTCGCGAGGCTGCATTTGCCTCACTTGCGTAAATTTCTGCGGCATGATTGCAGTCACCGAGATGGAAGGGAGCTCTTAGGCCTGGGGTACCTCCCCCTGGTGCAGCCTCTTGCCACTGAGCTTTGCAGCTTGCTGCAGCAGCAGCAAGCCAGCGGCGGCACTTGCGGTCCCTCAGAGAGCGCCACAAATAGCTGCTCAGCGAAGGATTTGGCTGCTGCTGTTGCGCAGGCTGGCGAGGCAGCAAAGGCAGCACTGGAGGCAGCCTCTGCATCGGCAAAGGCGAAGAAGCCCGAAGCGCCAGCGGCAGCAGCAACCGACGCTGCTGCTGCTGCTGCTGCTGCTGCCACGCAGCGAATACTGCAGATCCCTAAGAAAGAAGCGGCAGGAGCAGCAGCGTACTTCTCTGCGGCTCCAAAGGCGGTGCCGAAGCAGCCGCAGCTGCAGCAACTGCAGCAGCATGACCAGCAGCAACTGCAGCATCTGAAGCTTTCTCTGGAAGGCGCTAGAACGCGGCAGCGCATAAAATCCCCCCAGCGGCTGCTGCCTGTCCTCAATGCTCCGTTGCAGATGCCTTCCACTTCGGAATCTCCTGGATCCAGTCCTTGCGAAGGCTCGACAAAAGGAGTAGCCGCTGCAAAGGCAATTCTGAACACAGCAGCCTCAGCGCCAAAGGTGGCAGCCACCACAGGAAGCACTGCAGCGCTTCACCCTGTGCAAGCTTCCCAGCCTCCCTCTGACATGGCCTTGCTGCATGCGAAGCCGCCCGTGCAGCCTCGCCAGCAGCACCGCATGAACTTAGCCGCATCTGCAGAGCCTGGCACTGCCTCAAGTGAGCGGCTTCCTCAGCAAGGCGACCTCGCAAACATCCCGCCGACTCAAAGACTCCCAGGGAGCTGCCAAGAAAGCTGCCGCATGCAAGGCGAAGAGCGGCACTGGCGTCAGCAACAGCAGCCTCGAAGCCTCGCAATGGAAGCCTTCCGGCTAGCTGCCACGGCCTCCTCCGCCTCCCCCTCGGCAGCAGCAGCAGCAGCCTTCAAGCCTTCTCGCGCCGAAACTTCAAGTCTGTCAACTGCACAGACAGCATCAACCACCGAGGCAGCCGCCAGAACATGCACTACTGGAGCCGCGTCAGAAGAGCTGTTTGTCGGGGATGTCGCTTTCCCGAGGGACCCTGGTTTTACAGTAGCTCAGCAGCAGCCACTCCCTCTTTTTCCGATTTCTCACGATGCATGCAGAGTCTTTCAAGAGCAGCGACGCCTTCAGTCGCACTATCCGCAAAAGGAACGTCACGAGGATACCTCCTTCTACTCTTATGCACTGCCCACTGCCTCCAGCAGCAGCAGCACTAGCAACACCCCAGGGTTCTTGCTACAGGGGGGGGGAGCGCAGCAAACTCCTGCCACAGAGCACGTCCAGCTGATGTCTCGCCCCCTGCAGCAGCAGCAGCAGCAGCAGCAGCAGCAGCAGCAGCAGCAGCAGAGGGTGCTGCTCGGCCCTCCAACCTCGCATCTTCCCGTGGCGTGGCCATCAGTTACCCCTTTAAGACAGCAGAATACTCCAATGCCTGCGGTAAGACAGCGGAGTGTAGTGCTGCAGCACCAGACTACGCTCGCGCCTCTTGCAGCGGATTCAACGCAGCTGCCACACCCGCAAGAGCTGCTCTATGCAGGCCGTCTATCAGCGCAGCCGCAGCTGCCGCATACTCTTTGCATGCACCAGCAGGCCGATCCGCAACAGCGCCTGATGCAGCAGCAGCAGCAGCAGCAGCAGCAGCAGTTTCTGATGCAGCGCATGTTGCAGCAGCAGCATCACCGCCACTACCATCAGCGGGTGCTCTACCAATCGAGCGTTGCCTCCGCTACGCCTTTTATGCCTCCTAAGGGCGCTGTTGTTTCTGCTTCGCGAGCGGCGGAAACAAGGTATGCGGCAATTCCTGCCGCTGCCCCTTTAGGGGGTGTGGTTGCTGGTCATGGGGGGGGAAGGCGCGCTGCAACGCTCCTGCCCGTCCTCGTTCCAGTGCCTTGTGCCTCAACAGCGGCTGCAGCCGGCTCGACGGAACGAGAGATTCTACAGCGTCTCTTGGGCGAGCTGCAGACGCTGCCTCCTCTTTTCCCTCAGGAGAAGCTGCGGTATTTGTACGAGATTGGAAGAGGCGGCTTTTCACGCGTGTGGGTCGCTGAGTTGATGCTGCATCAGCGCTCTGCCGGGAGCCTCGCGACTGCAACAAGTACTGGTTCGCCTCTTTGGATTTCCGTGGCTCTCAAATGCATGCGGGTGTCTCCCTTTCAGCAGCCTGAGGCACCTTCGGCAGCAGCAGCGGCTGCCTCGACCGGAGGCGAAGAGACAGTGTCTCTGCAGGAGCTTCAGCAAGAAGTGCAGCAGCTCCAAAGCCTTAACCATCCCTCCATCGTGAAGCTGCTTGGCGTGTCTCTGCTCTCCTGGGGTGGCAACTCCAGGGGCCAGTCTTGCATAAAGCAGCAGTGCGCAACACGATACGCCGATACAGAGCAGCGGTATTACCGCGTCGCTCTTGTTATGGAGCTGTGCAGCGGTAAGGCCAAGCGCTAAGAGGCCGCTTGTGTTCAGTCTGTAGGGGGCTCTCCCCATCCACGCCGCCGAATACACTGAGAGACTTTCTTCTTTTGATTCCCAGGCTCACCGTCCAGTGTTGTCTCCAGTTGTTAGGCCCTTGCAGCCAGGCCCTTGTGCTCTGTCGGCTCCTTTCTGTCTCCCACAGTGTGGGGAGGCGATCTGGCTATTGTGGCCGCTTTCTGGATTTTTGAATGCGTTTCGCTGCATGTCTGAGGGTGCCACTTTGCTCTGATCGTCTCCGTGTGTAATTTTCTCAGGTGGAAGCTTGTATGCCTTGCTGCACGAACGTCGCGTTTCCATGACGTCCAAGGACAGGCTGTTTATTGCCGTGCAATTCGTCTCTGCCCTGTGCTACCTCCACTCAAGAAGGGTCCCTATTGTGCACAGGGATATCAAGTCGCTGAACATTGTGGTGAGCCGCAGCTCAGTGGCGAATCCTCGACAACACACGGGCTCTAAGTGCGGGAGGGAAGGTCAAGCAAACGCAGCCTCCTAGCCCTTCTCTGTGCAGCAGAGCAAGCCAGGAGGGTCAGCTTGGCACGAACTCAGATCTAGGGATGCGCTAGGCAGCAAAAAGAGAAGGCAGAGGGCTTCCTCGAGGCGCACAGACGAAGAGACACGGCAACAGAACTATAGCAGAAAGAAACACCAGGGTGCACTCTCCATGGGCCGTTATTGTTAGACTAGCATGCATGTTCACGAAAAGCCTGCCAAGCCTCTCCTGCCCGCTTCCCTTTCCCTCCCCCCATCTCTCCTCCCTTTTCTGTCTCCGCCTGCTTTTGTCTGCAGCTAGATGGAGCGGGGAACGCGAAACTGTGCGACTTCGGACTTGCTGCCGAGGCAGACATGCACACATCCACCATGGGAAACACAAGTCGCAGCCTAACAGCCTCCATGCGTCCTATCCGACCCAAAGAACCGTTGCAGCCTGCAGGGTCGCCTCGGTACATGCCGCCTGAGCTCGCAGCAGGAGGTAGGCTTGGCTTGAATGCACACATGCAGAGCACACACACGTGGTGCATAGGACCTCGGAGGCAGCCACCGTGCTCGCACTCCTCCTGCATGCGACGCAAACAGCCCTGTGTTGCTAGGCAGCTGGTCTACCCATCCGGCTCTCCGTTGCGCTTGACAAGTCTCTCGGGCGGTGCTTCCTCTGCGTGCAGTGGCAACCCACTTAGACCCCTCCCTGGATATCTGGTCCGCTGCATGCGTTTTGCTGGAGCTCTTTGGAGGCCCTCTTCCATACCACCGCTGCCACACATTCGAGGAGATTCAAAGGCAGCACGCTGAGAGAGTGGTTAGTCGCCAAGCGTGTGACCCCTCTCGAGAACGGCACTCTTGAGCCACTGCCAGCTCCTGTGGAGGCTCACAGGGGCTGCTGTAACTGCAGGAGGGGAGTGCGCCAGAGCTACCGAAAACACGCATAAATATCCGCTGGTGCCATCCATCCATAGTCCAAGCCAGCTCTGCTTTCGTGCATTGGGCAAAAGGCGAGAAGACAGCTCACCATATAGAGGCTAGCATCAGGGCTCTGCCCCGATAGCACCAACCGGAGTGGCGTCAACTTCTCTACATTCAATTTTTTCACATAAATTGCCTGTCTGTTGCGATGCAGCTCCCCTCGTTCCCTTCAAACCTCCCGAAGCAACTCGAACTGCTGCTGCGCTCCTGCCTCGCCTTCGAACCGAGCCAGAGGCCTTCCGCCAGTCAGGTACGACAAAGCATCTACCATGCTCTTCCTCGAGGCTGCCCATTTTCGTGAACCCAGGAATTTTGTGTACACATGCATTTGATGCTTCAAGGGAAAAATCAAGTTAAACAGGCATCCCGGTCAAAACGAATTCATGAATTTCCCTTGTGTCTAATCTCTTCATGCATGGCCAGTCCAGCTCTAGCTCTGGTCGTTCAATTTATGGCTGCTGCTGTGGAATTCTTGTGCTGCGCGGCCTCAGGTGCTGTTCGAACTGAAATCGCTATCATTTTAGAATTAAGGAGTTTTGTACTAGCTATGTTAGCCTTATATCTTCTAACTAGTACCTGGTGATCAAGCGTTAAGATAGTTTGTGTGATTATGCCAGTGACTGCGTGTTTTGGTAATTGAGAGAAGCTATGTTAATGCTGATACATACTCACCAGCTCCGTTTTCTCTTCCTCTAATATTGTGGCGCACTAACACTAGTCTCTGCATCGCGGGGTTTGTACAATCTGCACTTCACGCTCTCCATGTGATCAATAAAAAATAGATGCTAAAGTTTGTTTTGACGTTATAAAATGGGCTGTCAGTACACTAACTGACGCAACTACTAGTCCCCCCCCGGACCTCGAAAATACCTTTCACCTTGCCAATTTCCACATTTAATGATTGCTAAGCGTTTGACTTATTCTCCTTCCCTCTATATCATCTGCTGCTGACTCGAAAACAGTTGGATGCTACTTCCCCGTCCTCCTCCGTTCTTTCCACTACGAGTGGAAACGCATGCGAGAGCTGGAAAGTCAGCTTCCCGCAAAACTTTGCCATCTTTGTAGTGTCTTTCATAGCTTGAGCTGCCTTCTGCACTCCACTAAACACGGTAAATTGATAAACTACATAAAGGCTCAAGAGCGTCAATTTTTGCAGTCAAAGATGCCTGTGTTAAATGCTTCGTTTTCTCTTTAGTGTAGCTTGACAGGGTTGCATTTCTTGAGAATTGCAAGCTTCTTAGCCGACAGCAGCACCATCCCAGGTGTCTTAACATGATGATCATCAGATTGGGAACCCTGCGTTGGGAGTAATGAAATAACGGTCACGATGCTCCCCTTGCGGGGACTGCTGCGCGGTGGTACCTTCAGACGGACTCCTTGCATTTGTGACCAGAAGATTCGCAGCAAATTCCTAATTTTGCTCAGACAACTTCATTTTAGTAAAAACGGAGAGATTGTCGCATGCTGACTTTATCTACCAGTAGCTGTGCTGGAATAGGAAGGAATAATCCGTATTTACTTCTATGACTTTGCCTTTGAGAATTCGATGAGTTAGCAATGAAAATATATCTCAGCATGGAATACTCAATAAGGCCACACAGCTTCAAATGGCATTTTAATAGGGCGTGATAAAGTAATTTAACGAATACTGCTCACGTACGCACTGGTGCCAGGCAGCTGAATGAATTTCATTTGAGAGCGTCAAATATGGAGATGTACCTGGGGGAGCCCCTAATTCCTTAAGAGCCTGGATTAGCCTCAGTAAAGGTGTCTTGGGCTTACGAGGGCAACAAAGCTCTGAACGGCTGAGGGCGGGATGTGCGATTCGTTCTTTCGAAGAGAGTGCTCATTAGCAGTACACCAGGACGAATTATGTCTACCTTGGACGCAGACAGCAAATTTACATCTATTTATTCTGTGAGAAATACCAACTATAAGTAGTTTCGCTCATTTACGGTGGCCGCTGTAGTGAATCGGGCTAAGCAAAAAGTCCCATAGGGTCACCTGTAGTGCTGTTGTTCTAGGACTCATACTTGCAGCCTGAGATAGCATTGTTTCCCATGAAAAAAATTCATTTTCAAAACCAAGTGCTGCTTTTTTTGTCAATAGCAATTTTTAAAAGGAAGGGCCAATCTTTCATGAGCGATGAGGGCTTCCAGCAGCCAGGGGTGCGTCTTGTGTAACGCATCTAAAGCATAGGGTGTATGTGCAGCTGAAAAACGCATGATATACTTACATTTTCGAAGCATTTTTACTATAGGCCTAATTTGAAGGCTGTAAGGGCTTGTTTTAATGCACTGATGAGCTATCGCCCGTTAAGGCTCTACCGCGCCTCCGCGGAATGAGATACCCTATGACCCAACGAAGCGGTGGCCCCATATGGCGGCAAGATCAGTAGCCAGAAAGAAAATTGTCCGAAATATACGTTAATGATAAAGGAATCATAATCTTCTGTCGAGTCTCAGTAACTTTCCACTAGCTTTCTGTCTTGAAGCAACAACCTGTACACTGCCCAGAGCAGCCCACGAAGTGTAGCACAATTGACTGAGCACAGAAGATTGATTTCTCCCCAATCCAGTCACAATGAATAGGCCCATGCTACCTCCTGGCACAGGGAAGGATGCATTTGAGATGGGACCCGTCCTGGGTACAGGTAAGCCTTGCCAGTATCTGTCACAGTTAGCAAAAATGCTAGCTGTTCTCCAACAGTACTTCCAGTGCTAGGATACTATCACAGTAGTCCAGTTGATTAGGTCATGCTTCTGCAGACCTCTCGCACTGAAGTACCAAGTACAGAGAAAGAGATGCTACTGATGGAGACAAAATAAACCTGAGATTGCATGCCACTGGACACAAAAGCCAGTAGTTCGGCGCAGGACTCTACTAGGAAGGGTAAATGAGACTAGTGTGTGGTTGTGTTGCTCAAAATGTTTTTTTTATTTCACTGGTCTGTCTCTAGATTTTGATTGAAAGCACTCAGCCCTCTTCACACTCTCAGCCATTAGGGTTTCTAAAGTCTTGCTTGGTGCACCATTCACCTGGACAAGCCTCTCAAGTAGATATGGAGTTGCGCCTCTGCTACTAGTGTGGCGAAGGCAACAACTTGAGCCGCAGAATACTGTTGATAGGTCCTATCAAGTACAAATCCCTGACCCAACTTGATGGAAGTTGCTGTCGAGATAATATGGGGTTAAGGGCGGGAGTATGCTTGTCGCTGCACGATGTGGCGAGAAGCAATATGCGTGGCCTCGAATTTATGAAGCGAATACTTTTCTCATGCTCTTGTAGAGCTTTCACGTGCGGTAGAGTACCTAGGTCTCTTCTGGCCTTTTGCAGCAATGCCGCTGTGGTGTAGACACTCTATCACTGCCTACGGAGCCACCAAAAACAGCCATGTTGAGGGGGGATCATTTGCAACAAGAAGGGAAAGAAAAACCGCTTGCATCATTACAGCAAAATGTGATTTCAGGGTCATTCGGAAGGGTGAAGTGTGCGAAATACCTGAAGTCCCGAGGAGCAACACTCGAGGATACAACTCAAGTGCCCCCTCGAGTAGCCATCAAAATCCTAAAGAAGGCCAGCATCATTAAGTTAAAGCATGTGGACCACATTCTCAATGAGAAGGCGATTCTTTTAAGGCTTCAGCATCCTCTCACGGTGCGCGCGGGTGCTCACTGAATTAGGGCAAGTACGACCCCCTCGAGATACGAAGCACTGATAAAGCAAACGAGACAGGAAACAGTTAAGACTTAAATGTAATTGTCCTCTTGCACTTGACGAGCAGGTTCGCTGCTTTGGTACATTTCAAGATCCACGATATCTTTACCTGGTGATGGAGTTTGTACAAGGTAATAAGTTTTTGTTTTAGCACACTCTAAACCTGAATCTATTTCTAGAACACTAGATCGCTTAATATCCCTATCTGTAGGTTTGTGAGAAGCTACTACGTTCAGGAATAACAACTAGTGGAGCGGCCAGTTGAGCGTATGATCTTCCAGTAATGTATAAGGTCTTTAAAACTATTCTCAATGTGTCTCGAAGGTGGAGAGTTTTTCACGCATTTAAGAAGGGCAAAGCGGTTCGACAGTGAGACAGCGAAATTCTACGCCTCTATGATCGTTGACATATTCGACTATCTTCATGCAGACAACATTATCTACAGGTGCATCCAATGCTTTTAATGCAGCCCATGGATATTTGCATTCCTAATAACTTTTGTGCACTTGTTTGATGAGGTGAACTAGGCGAGCAAGCCACGCTATCTATAACATGGATGCAACCGCTAGGTTAATGCGATCCGTTGTAGAGACCTTAAACCGGAAAATATGCTACTAGATCGTGACGGCTACGTGAAGCTGACGGATTTTGGCTTCGCCAAAGTAGTGGAACTTCGTACTGACACGCTTTGTGGCACTCCGGAGTACATTGCCCCCGAGGTACTTCTCAACAAGGGTAAGTGCTTAGACTTTGCCGCTAATATTTTTAGATTTTGCAGCGAACTAATGGAGGAGCGAAGCTGGTAAATTCAGTTCTTATTGAGCTTCAATAAGGCACTGCAGGATGGGCGTTTGACTTTTTGGGGAACGCAATGCATTGAAACAGGCCTATGTGTGCAGGCCACGGGAAGCCAGTTGACTGGTGGACCCTGGGGATTCTGATATACGAAATGCTTGTTGGCTATCCTCCCTTCCTTGACGACGATCCCCTTGGCATCTACCAGAAAATTCTTTGCGGAAAGTATGTGTTTCCCAAGTTCTTTGACAAGTAAGAACATTCGTCTTTAGTTTCTCACAAGGAAGCAACGTAAACACAACAATGCGTATCCAGAATACTCTTCGAATTCCTTCGAAAAGAGGCATTTTTTGGGATGACATCCAATAGTCACTGCTTTCTGGCACAGGGACGCCAAACTTCTCGTACGGAAGCTGCTACAGGCTGACCTTAGCAAGCGCTGGGGCAATCTGAAGGATGGAGTAAGGGATATTAAAGAATGCAAGTGGTTTTCTACTATAGACTTTGCGGATATTCGAGCCAAGAGGATTCCCGCCCAATTCAAGCCTGTTATCAAGGTAAGTGCTACATTTTTTTGAAATTTGCTCCTTCTTCAGCAACTCCAGTGCACTATCACGGCCAACAGACGCTGCCTTGATGAACTTATCATGAAATAATTGTTCTTGTAAAAGTACATAAACTTACTCGGCAGCCGTACTAGCTTTTCATCTTTGCTGTGCTAGCTGGTAATGCAACTTGTCATGGCAGAAGGGTCATGTAACCAGGGCAGCTTTAACAAAACATCGCAGGATTTGATTACGACCTATCAGCCATAAAGCTACATAACTGCTGATTTGTCGATGTTTAGGGAGTCGACGATGTGTCGAACTTCGAGTCCTACCCAGAAGACAAGGAGGACACCCCTCCGATCGACCCCAACAAAGACCCTTTCAAGTCTTGGTGACAAACCGTTGATCGTATCATGTTGATTAGCAATGTAATGAATCAATCTGAACAATGAGTTAGTGCTGGATTTCCGTCAAGTGTATAGACGGAGCTTGTTGCATGAAATAAACCAGCGGCTCAATTCTAACTGCCGTCTCATATCAGCGAGTGCCAACGAAGGCACCAACTCATTGAACTGAGTGATGCTTGGTCTGATGAAGCGATTCAATTACTGCTGTTGTTCAGCAACCATGTACGTATCAAGAACACATGGCATCGACTTCGGTGGTTCTTACGCATTCTCGCCTGCTGAGCCCTCCAATTAGAAGGCCAGTGTTACATGGAGGCACGTTCTACTAGATTATTGATACCTTATTACGAATTAGCGAAGAGCTGAACTAAGCGGCTTGTTCGTTCTTATTTCTTGTTTGACGCACAAGGCTTTAGCTTGATTAGAAAAGATTGAAACGTTCTGTGTGTGTGTGTGCGCGCGCTACATGCCATGTGTAAATTGCGGTTAATGCTCGGAGTACTTCGAGGCTGCACACATGAGCACCCTAAATGGCCCTGTCCTCTCATATTCGAGACCTGAGGGGCGCAAGCCAGAAAAGGAAAGGCCTGTTTTAGATACACAATCTTTAAGTCTCTAATAAGTCTGTATTGGTTTTGGAGCGAAGTGTCCTCCTGCAGACACCTCACATGGAACGTTACACGCGGCATCTCTACGATGACGCCTGCGTGCACGGGACCATTCTAGAAGTCAGGGAGCACACTGACAGGATTGCATTCCAATTCGAAGTGCACTTAAACGTCGCAACCTCGACAATCCTTGCATTCTGCTGCCTCTCAGCAAATCCGGGCCTCAGGGACTGCACTTACGTGTAAGCACGCAGATTGCACTCTTGCGCCGTCTCCGCTGCTTAAACAATCCACTTTGCATCTAATTTTAAGTAGAACAAGCTGGTCTTTACCATTGGCGTGAACTTGGATAGACGCTGAAATTCACTCGTGATGGCTCCCCAAGTACGGCTCTATATACTGTGACCCCTTTGACTGGGCTGTACCCTCCGCGGAAGGCTTGTTGTTTAGCAGATGCTGCTTCGTTGCTAGCCAAGCAGCCTGCTCCCACTGGGTTGATACCCGCCGTTCAAATAACTTAACTTTTAGCATGGTGTTGCAGTCCGGATTATACGAACCAATTCCCTACTGTAGAAGCAGGTGCGTTGTGGGGAGGCTGCCTACGGCTAGCTTAACTAGGAGAGCGAGTTTTCTCAAGGCTTCTCTTCTGGCACATACTGGATCGTGGGCTAGGTCCCGCTGACATAGTCATTCTAACTGCCGAATCAGCTGTTGTTTTTTAGCTGAAGGTGCAACTTTGCACCCGTTTGCCTCCAAACCTTCAAATGGCTCACTGCTTGGTTGTGTACGCCCTAACGGTCAATTGTTTAATGGCTGAGTCCTTTCCACATTGAAAGCACCTGTTCGTCTACGTTGTGGCTATTTGAAGGACAGCATGTCGAGAAATATGAATCTTGAGGCTAAGAAACGTTTCTCTGCCAAAATTTCCGTGAATCTTTCAAAATTTGCTATTGAGGTGGTCTGGGCAAGAATGGATGAGTCAGAGCTCATACAAAGGCTTGAAACTTAGTAATTTCGGGAGATAGATGAAGTCCTGTACCTAACTTAAGCCACCGTCAAAGTGCCCCTCCCTCCAATATACATGTCCCAAGAATCACTTGTTTCATTCACCTGGAGGGAACACAACCACGCATAACGACTGGTCCTTGCTATACTTACAGTTTTCATGAGCCTTTCTGGCAGCCATATCCTCATTTATGCGTCCATTAACATTCCATTTGTTGCCTAATCGTGGCAGTCTGTTCGCTGTTGAGCTAGTACTTTTACACCGGAATGCAAGCGGCACTCTGCTGCCCCAACGGGCGTTTTGCCACTGTACACCTCCATTACAAAGGGACGCTTTCCGCCAGACGATTACCACTACACAGCAAACTGCTTACCAAATAGCATATTTAAAACAATCCCACTGTTGTAGGATGACCTGACATACCGCTGCATCCACAGGCAGTTGATGCAACTGCTTCGCATCATGCACTGCGACCAACTATTACCCTCATTCTCAGGTCTCCGTAGCGAGAAATCAAGCTACAGGTCCAATTGCAACTTGAAAGAATGCTATAGAGTACTTCTCAAGAATAGTTTTGCATTCACCTGCCTGTGCCTGGCAGGGTCTCGATATGAGGAAAGAAGGACAGCTAAGTTCCGCATAGCTGTACCCTCAAGCATTTTGAACATCAACAGTCACATGTATATAGTACCAAGCGCATACCACAAAACGTTGCTTTTCATTGCATCGAGCTCACGCTACTATGCAATAAATGATTTATACGAACTAACAAACCAGTGAGTCAATTTCTTGGCAAGTGATAACTGCGCGTAAGTAATACAGTAAAAAGTGTTTGAATGTCGCTGAGCCCAGTAAGGCCGATTACACCAAGCACTTGTGAAGCACTTGTTGGCTAGTATTACGTCCGAGCCTCCTGTACACACTGGAGTAGAAGCATTGATTCCGAAAGAACACACTGAAAAAAGTAAGCTGACAATACCCAGGAATTGCTTGATGCAAATTTCCAGGCCATAGTAAATCTGTCCAGCATGTATAGATCAGTGAATACATGCCAGGAAGAGGCCTGCTTTTGCTCGCATGCACTATTCAGAGCAAGTATTTCCCCCAAAAAAGCATCAATGCAATTTAGGGTCAAACAGCAGAGTGTAGGGACTTCTTTGTGCCAATGTCCATATATTCAGGTTTGTGGCAACGCAAAGAGATGCATGTGCATTGGAAAGCACTACACTAATGTCCGTTGGGCTTAAAGATGCGGAAAGTCGGGGCCACTACTCGTGGTTAAGATTGTACGGTCAAATTCGAGCACCGACACCTTGACAAAATGGCTTGACCTGTGGATGTAAGTAATTTTAGAAACCTGAGATTATTGACAGCAGCTTCAATATGTCCCTTCGCCATGGCAACGCACCTAGGGCGTCAAGGGTAGCACGAGCCCTGAGACCAAGTAGAATAACGATGCGAACTACATGACCTGCTGAAGAGTGCATTGGACGTCATTACTAGTGAGAGCGAGATACTGAGTAAGTTGCGCGTGTGTGGCATCACGACATGAATGTGCATAACTGAGACGCATTAATGTATGGTGAGATTTACCCATGGCATCTTATGTCTTGCTTCTAAATACAATGCTATTCTGCATCAGTTCTACCACTAAACTAGACTGACTTGCATAATGGTGCCTTAATTAGAAGTTTCAGTTTTAGGTAAGAATCTCTTGTTCGGAAGAGGCAGCCCAAGGCACCCATCATTGAAACCTGCGCTAAGGCGCTGTTCACGCCAGCACAAGTCAAGGTGTTGAGTCAGCTAGCTTGTTCATCCACCAGCAATTCGCAGGATTCTCTACACGCCTGATGTTTTTCTTGCGTAATAATGCATAAGAATAAAGAACAGAAAGTACATGATACCACAATATGTAGGACCGTAGCGTTGAGTCCAGTTACTGTACTGCTGTGTTTTTAGTGTACTAAAACTGTCATGCTTCTTGCACGCATCCTACTTTTCGTTTGACTCAATTTCTATCTCCGAAAGCCATAGGCATGCACGAGGCTGGTACGCCAAGAGCAGCCCACTGCCTGCTTCATTAAATAGAGAGATATCTGTCTTCTGTAAAATATGCTCAGCAAGCCTACCTTCGCAAGCGCCAGCATCTAACTCGAGCGCTTTTGCAAGTACGGTGATATAAATTTTACGTGATATGTGGTGTACTGAAGGGTGCTTCAGCAAAGCTAAATACACTTTGATGTAGTCGAAATGTAGTGTATCATGGCTCAATAATAAGGAGTGCGGGAGCGTATGAATTTCGGCGGTGATAAATGATAGTCTCATGCCTACAGAATGTAACCAAATAATTTTGCTAGGCAGTGACTCTCCCATGGACAGCCGCTCAATGCCATCCTCTACGTAGTTTCCTCAAAGATCAATGTAGCTGGTAGGCTAGAAAGTGTTTTAATCTGAGGTTACATGAAAATGCCTGAAATTCTTCAGTCAGGCTATTTTCCCGGTGCCTGATGAAGTACCATAATCAAATAACGCATATTACAGTGGGAAATTTCCGTAATCTCCACTGCTTGCAAGGTGCCAGTAGGGACCCAGATCCCAAAATTTCATACGAAATCTACATCTGCGCATTAAATGTGGATATGTTGCTGCGATGTCTTCTGCTGGATTTCGATGATTTCACTTTGGGCACTTTAGGGATAGGGCTAGCGTTTCGTCCACACCAAAAATGAGATACATGAAAATTTCAACTTACGTGTGCATTTCCAGCTTTGGCATGTATCTCATCGATTCGCAGACCACGAATGCCTGTGTATAGTTGCAACACTCACAGCACGCACGGCACACTCCAGCAGGGCGAAGTCTTCTCAGGCATCGTGGGCAAATCCTGATGCTGCTATGAGCGTAGAGTTTCGGCATGCAAATTCGCTGTAAAATTATATACGCCGGGTTGATCTTACGACGGAATTCCCTCGTGCGGGAAGTGTATGCTGTTGCTGTTGGCAGCACTAGCTGTACTGTAGGACCCCTCTTCAGATTTTAATTCGCTGATGTGTTGGTTCACATAAATGCCTATACGGAGGACTTTAACTCCCGGAGAGTCACCTTCTGTACAATACTGGAGAAATGGGTCCAAAATGCGAGCTCTGTTGGTGAAGACTAAGTGTGTCTCTCTGATGAAGACATGACACCTCTCCAGTGGGGCTTCGTGTATGGCATAGCCGTTACTCAACCGCTCAAAATCCCAGTATGATTGAAACAGACAAGACCTGACAAAAAACAAAAAACAATGCTGCTGGCAAAGTCTGGCGTGTGATTCTATTTTCGTTGCCTCTGCTTAGTGATATTTATTCTTACAGGACGAAAGTGTATCTGATACCTGCTTTTCCTCTTACTTGTGGGCCTACAAGCAAGCACCGAAGAAACACGCTTTTATTTTAAGCCCATGAATGGCGTACGTCTCTGGAGATATTGACAAGACGATAGGAATGGACCTGCCCTACATGCTGGCGATACGGATGGATTTCCCTTGCCTCCAAACCTGTACAGCAGTCAAGCAGAGTGCAAGCCAGTGTTTCAAAAGCACTAGGTTTTCTTGGTGCTATGTCCGTATAGAGAAAACTAGCACTACCAGCCACTACGCACCGGTTTTGAGATATGTTAGCACAGTGTAACGCAAGAAACAGAGCAAGTATTCCCAAGCCTACTTGTTTACTGCCTTTATTTTGATGCCTCAATGATTCTGAGCTGCATCTGCGCAAGCCTGGAGCTCAAGATCGTGATAACCAATAATGACTGCGGTTATCACGGGCTTTTCTAAGCATCAGCGAGGGACGTGAGAAGGTGCAGTGGTTACTGGGTGCCTTTATGTCGTGGTTTATATGGAAAATTGTGGTCTGTTCATCTCTCCAGAGCCTTCCAAAGATATTAATCAAGGTGTACAGGTAGCACTGTAAATGATGGAAAGACAGTTTTTTGCAGTATCGGCACTGATGCGTTGCAGTGTTCTGCAGTTCAAAAATCTCCTGCGAAGTTGTGTGATGATGCAATATGGCTGAACAGCTGCAGGCCTTTGCTTAAATGGAAGACCCAGCTCCAGAAACATAGCTTACCCCTGTCCTCAGCACTCATTGCTTATGTCAGGATGCAGAGACTGTACAAGAACACCGCTTCTTGCTGGACTGACTTTTCACATTTGCACCTAGATGTGTAGATCTTTGGGGTTGGAGTCTCTCTTCACTATAACATGACAACTTCCAACTAACCACGGAAAAACGACGGGGTTTGCTGCTTGTTGCACGTTACCATACTGCTCTGCTACCTTGATAGGCCGAGTATTCACAAGACATTCGATGCAATGAATCACTGCTAGGGCGTGAGGCCTCGAACGCATTTTATCCAGCAAATGCGCGTTCTTCGCGGTGATGCATGGAGACCAAGCTACTAGCAGCCCCAAGAGTGCGTTTTCGCGCAGCAGCTCAAAACGTAGTATACGATGAAAAAGCAAACAGGACCAGTGCCACTGCACAAAACCAAACGCTTCCAGCATTGCCGCCCGCCTTCAGCCTTGTGAGTTTCATGTTAGTCTTGTGCCCGTGCTACAAACGGCATGCGAAAAGTGAGTTCCCTTCTCGCATCGCTTTACGAGCATAGCCAGAGGAGTAGCCTGTGCATCTGACTCAAAGATCATGAGATGTACCGTTTGTAGAAGAGACGAAGAGACCGAATTGACCACGCACTTCCTCTTTTCATGTTCAAGCTGATGCCATTTAATTCTCCCTGATGAATTTCGAAAGCCTTTACTCGGGCCCGAGGCTAAAGGTGTTTCTAGAGGCCCACAGAACTGATACATAGGGTAGATTAAATGTCCGCTATGAGAGTTAATGTGACTTTAGACTAGTAGACTGCGAGCTTATACCCTTGTGCAGATTGCTCAAAGCAAGATAGTCCATGCCTTCTTCGGTGTGTAAGTTCTCTAGAAAGTCATATTTCCCCTTATGTAGTGTTCTTGAAGTTTTCTAGGGTATTCTTTCAATACTCTACTGCAATCCCTCGAATACATAAGTGCCTTGGAACGCTGTTCTTTGAGTCTGACGCGCCATATTTCGGGTAGTAGTAGTATGAAGAATAGCTTCCAGTGCCCTACTGGCCTGTTGAAGCCATATCGTGTACATGTCACCATTCGATCGTGGCGGCGGACCTTCGGATAGAAATCAACGCTGGAAGCCATCTGACAATACATTTTTTGCTTGCACACAAGAGCAGACAAGGCTGTTCAACGCCCACAGACATTTTGAAGCTGCCATAGTTCGCTTACACGAGCTTTGCAAAGATTTGAATGGCACTCAGATACTTTGAAACGGGCTAGTAGATGCCTCCGTCAGAGTCATGAAGCCTGCATGAACCTGAAGGGATTTCTAGGATTACTACTGCAGTGTTCATTATCATAAGCTTGTAAGACGCGAAGACACACCCTTAGAAGACTGCTAGAGTATTGCAAGTGTCTGGCTTGGATAAGTTTTTGCCTCCATCAAAGCAGATATTCAATAAACTGGAACCACAGTTCTCCTCAGTAAAACCTGTCTGTGGGTGGACCCGGTATGTCAACAAGATGCGATAGTCGCTCGTAAGTTGCAAGTTTCCACGAAAGCGCTGATTGCTTAGTAAAAAGTCTATGCCATTCAAAACCTGAGACGTTGTTAACTAATGCAGCATTGATTCAGCAGCGAGAGTATTGCGTATAGAGCTTCACAGTGACTCTTACGAACTGCTTCAGTGAGCTCGCCTAGGGCCGTCACGTATTATAAAATTATATTTCCCACCCAATAGCCCTGCTCGGGCGAGAGCAGTAGAGCTGTGGATTTGGTTATTCCCAAGCCCATATTTTTTAGTTATAACTCAATGCTGAAGACAAAGGTGGAACTCTGAGCCTTTGGAAAGACCTAGTTCCTTTTTAACACACGGATTTGTTTGCGTACTAAATAGGTTGGGTCTATGACTTCAGTCAATGCGAGTTACAGATATATGCAAAGCCCCATCAACATCGCCGGATTCGGCGCATACGCCTTGAGGACAGGCATACAGATCGCATTTCGGTATATATTTTTTGACAATGTAAAAATACCATAGAAACACTATTAATTAGGGATTTCAATCCTTCGAACAAATGTGTACGGGCCGAATGCCTGTATTATTTGGTTCTTCCAACCAAGGTGCAACAGTCACAGCTTGCGAATAGTGGATCTAGGATTGCAGTAGGGGGCGTTTAGGGGAGTAAATTCTCAAGGGGTGGTGAAAAAGTGAAGAGGCTGAAAGTGCACTCATATGATGAGTGTGCTCAGTTGCGCGTGGATCCAGGATGGAAGGACCAGCACCAATCAGCATAGGGCTCCGGCAGGTGGCAGTCCAGAGTGGCGTTCTGGTGTCCTCCTGGGGATGCATTGCTTTGCTCCACCCTATCATGCACTCTGCGCTGCTCCTTAGCTTTATTGCTTTGTCTCGCCTGCACCTTGGTTGGCTGTTTTGTTGCACCTGCCACATGCTCCTGACGGGCTGCAGGTATGTTAGCCAACCCCCATACAAGGTGGCCTGCTGGTTTAGCCTGGCCTCATGTCCTTCACGTTCTACACAAGCCAGGGCGCATGGGGTATTGGCTTTTTGCACATTTTGTGGACTACTCCCACGTGTGGCGTTTCTCAGGAGCACGTACAGTCCATTTGCTCCCCTGTTACCCTGGACAACTAAACGTCGGGTTTTCTTGAAGCTCTTGCCATCGCTGTAGAGCGCAGCTTGATTAATACTTACCGGTCGTCTGTGTTTGTTTTCTGCAGAAGGGATACAGCTGCTGGCCAGAAGTCATCGGAGAAGCGAAAGAGCACGGGAGCATTCCGCTGCTTAAGTGAGAGATGCTGGAGCCACCTGCGGCTTCGCTATTGGCATTGTGTTTTCTACTTGTTTTTGCTTCTAGTAGCCTTCTGGGTTGCCTCAGTTGTGCAAGAAGATTCTCATGAGGGGCTGCAATCGTCGCAAGTCGGAGGTGGTTCTCACAGTTCAGTGCATTCTTGGCGTGAGAACAGCCTGCCTTCCCTGTTGCTTAACTCGGACTGTTCACAACACTTCAAGATTGCAGCCAAAGCCGTGATTAGAGGCCGCGACATGTCGGACCAACTTCTGTCGCTGCTGCATTCCTGGGCAAGCCAACAGTATGTGAAACTGAGTGTGTGGTTTCGAACGGGTTTACTGATGCTGGAAAACGTTACACTAAAACCGTGCATGTCGTTGCTTCGCCAAGTTGGCCTGTTGCCAAGCATCAACGAGACAACTGCTCCAGAAGTTTGCAACTCGACAGCCCGCAACGCAGGCTGGGACTGGTGGTGGGTTCAGTGGTTGACCGTCAAGCATAGCATGATACACAGTTTTCCGATCGTTTCACACAGCTTTGTTCATGGGAAAAATGGAGACAGGACTAGCTGGAATATTCGAGAGCTTCCGGAGTGGCACGATATGCTGTCGGAGCCCATGTTGAAGTTTGGGGAAAATGGGGACATAGTAGAAGAGGGATCATACTGCGCTGTGCTATCACTTATGCTCCTGTATTTCTTTTCCTCAATCATTTATCGGGCGTGTCTTGCCATTCCTGCAGTAGTTATGCAGATCCTAGAAGCGATTGGTTTTAGCATGTCAGGTTATACCTCACGAAATTGGGGAAGCCTCCTGGTTATTACCTTCAAAAGTGCTGCAGCTTCGTTTGCAGTAACACTTGTGATTTCGTTTTTCTGTATAGCGGCGGTGACTGCTTTAACGGGCTTCCGTGTCATTGGCTTGTTGGGGCGTGTCCTCAAAAAATCTTGTATCAACAGCAGTGACGTTAGCAGCAACCGAACTGCCCTAGCAAGCGATCACTTAGTGAAAGCCGATATGACTAGGGGTGCTGAAGTTCTGGAGATGCTGGCAGCAGTTTTGACTTGCTGGATCATATTACTGTCGGACCGCAAATACGTCATGTATTTTTGGGCTACAATGCAACCGCTCCGGCTTTTTGTATTGTATATTGTAATGCTGCTGCGGCTGCCATCTGCACAAGTTGCCCTTTTAATGTCGTTGCCAGCTCCTCTGAACAAGCCAGATACGGTGCTGCAGCGCTCTCAGCCCCTCCGAATCATAGATCCCGTGGCTGTTGGTTCCATGCTGGGATGCATCATCGCTGCTGCGACATTGGCCTGTATGCGGCAACTGACTACCACACTGGGATCTTCCGTCAAAAAATCAATGTCCTCACATGCACTGCTTGTGAAGAATAGTCTTCGATCCCTTTGCTACACTCGAGGCAAGTGGACATTTCGCAACACGTCAAATAGGAACGAAGGACAACTCCCTCTTCTGCACGAACCTCTGGAGAAAAGCCGGGTATTCTCGCGTGCTCAGAAACATTTGAACGAGGAGAAAGTCGAACTTGTCTTTGGTGGGGAGCATATAAGCAAGCTGGGGTGCGAGTCGCAAGACGAAGCAGCGACATTACACCCGGAAAATCTGACCATTCTCACACGATGGCCAATGTGCAACGAGCTTACAAAGTTTTACTTGGTGGATCTAGTACCTGCTGGCGAGATATTGCAATGTCAGTGGCCCGTTAGAGACGAAATACCAAAGCTTCTAGTGTGTAAACAACTTTCCCGAGAAATACAGGAACAGCAGAGGCCAGCCCAGCAGGGAGTCTGGTGTATGCAACGCTTGAGGGGTCCGAAGAGTCAGTTTGGCGAGCTGCACTACCAACGCTGTGATATACAAAGTAAACTAGTTGGCCAGGGAAGGCAGCAGGGCAACGATTCGAATGCTGGCATGACGAGCCACCTATATATGTGGAAGGAAAAGCATACAACGGCATCCGTTAAGCGAGGAGGATTGTGCGTAGAAATCGATGTTGCAGTGAAGAAAGTAAATAATGCGATCGATTTGAAAGAAAGGTTCGAGCAGCATTTGAGAGAATCAAGGGTTCGTTGCAATTCCTTGGGAGCTCAAGCATACCACATTGTCCAAGAACTTAAAAAGCAGACAGAGAACCTTTCTAAGAAAATAAACGAGACACGTTACCTCAGAAACAGACTGAACAGAACACTAGGCAGCGACTGGAAATTTGGACAAGTTCAGGACCATTATATCCATGACGCTTTTCATAAAGAAAAGCATAATCAGCAGAATTTCTACCGCGAAACGTTGAAATCAACAGAGCAGCTTACATTCAGACTGGTACAAAACGTGCGACACGATATACATTTGCTAAATAAACGCAAGGGCCAGTTGGTTCATCATGGATTTTTCGCAGAATTTCAGCTTTCTCACGAGGCTTCCAAATGCAGCGGAAACAATATTTGTGAAGTTTCCGCGCCGCAACCGAGCAAATATACACTTGCAGAACTATCGCATTACGCAACTGCTCCTCAAATAGGTGCCTGTAGGCTGGATATCACTGCGTTTAGCGGATGAAATAAAGCGATTCTGTCTGCTGGCTACTAACAGTAGGTTGCTGGCATGGAAGCCATGAAGAGGGGCGTTTATGTAGCTAAGCTAAATCGGTAAACGAAATGCGTTTCTCGCTTTGCGCTCCACAGGTTTACGAAGCACCGCCTCACAACTACAGACACCCAAAGATGGGCTAGCATTCTTACATAAACAACATGTAAGTCAACGCTGCTAGGCTTTAAGTAACGAACTATTTCTTGGATTTTTCACCCCTTATGGTGATTTTTTGGGGTAAATCCCATATCTCCCGCAGCACTATCTTGCATGATCTTGCGTTTGCCATTCTGTCTAAGCCTGCTGAGTTTAACAAGCCGTACGACACTGAAGTGCTCTTGGAAGAGGCTGACCGGCTAGAAAGAGCATTGCAAGTTATTGGCAGCCGCATCTTCTCATTGCGTATGGTATTATACAATATTGAGCTTCCACAGTCCACTCTCGATGCTGCGAGGAAGCTGTATAGAGCTCCTGGTTACCTAGGATCAGATAGCGCGCAGCTTCGTCGAGTGTTGTTTCGCCGAAGCAAATGCAGCTGGATTGGGGATTCAGAGAGTCTGGCGTCGACCCTACATGTGTTGAAGCGCGCTTGGCCATCTGAGGAATTCTGCAACCGTTTGTTACGGCGATCAGGCCACGCAAAGGACTTGTCGCTGTTAGAACAAAAGGTGCGTTGGTCCTACTAAGAGCCAAACCAGCTCCCTCACTTGATGCTCAACACGGTGGCGCAAGCTCGCAATCTTCACGTTGCTGAGGAGAAGTAATGCAGATTGGTAGTCGCCGCCTATTTATTTTGGACAGCTAGGGGCGACGATAATCACATAAATCCCTCATCACGAGCATCGTAAAGTACGCACTTTGTGAGATCATTGCCAAGTGTATCCGTATCTCATTGATCAGTTGAGCTTCAAGGGTCAAATCGCTGTGTAAATGGGGTGTGAGTGTATGCTCGTGGGACGCAGTTTCTGCCACTGGCACAACTTCCACAAGGCCGCCAGCGCGTGGCCATAGTGCTGTTTCTATTAGGCCTTGAAACTCAGTGGCAAAAGGAGTGTCGACGTCTGAATAAACTAGAAGAAGGTCTAGGAAATATTCGGCAGTCAAATATGCTTAAAATTCTCTTTAAAACCTGTGTCGAAGTCTATTCAGAGATGAGCACACGGATCTCATACATGAATTCTCTGGAGATGGAAAATTCTCCATCGGCGAGTGATATTAAACACAAGCAAGTAGAGCGTCCATGCTCTTTGTCAAACCAGGGACAGCGAACAAACTGCGGGCTGGAAAGTGTGCTGGATCAATTCAGCATCTGGAAGGGCAACGGGGATTTCAACCTAGGGTGCTTAAGAGATGCAGCGAGCATTACTTCCTCCCTGCTGCATGGATTCTCTCTTTTGCAAGTAGTTCTGCACAGAAGTTTTCTAGATCTTCGTGGAACCGGTGTGCCGTGTGGTAGCTACAAAATTTCAAATAGTAAATACGAACCTAACTACCACCCACTGAATATCCCATACCTCTATGCGGCAGAGATTCATGGAAGTTCCATGTTGACTGGAGCGGAGGTGGCAAATAGCAAGTGTACTCAATCTAGGGGCCTTTCGTCCTCCCACAACTGTAGCTGCATTTGCTGTTCGGACACGGGTCCACCAAGCCTTAGTATTCTACTAAAGTGGCAGAAAAAGCAGAAGCTGATAAAGGATCAGAGAATGCACAGACAAGCATCAAAGAAGCCATTGAACCCTTCAAAAATGGCTCATCCAACGAAGTACACAAAAACGGATTTGCATAATGAGGTACACAAAGGATGCGAGCCGGAATAGATGCCGCTCAGTATAGCCTGAAACCATGAACGCTGTGAAGCAGCCAACACCGCGGACCACTACCGCCAAAGGCGAATAACTATTCCTGAGACTGTAGGAGTTGTGAGACCGGCATACGCGCCACATACCACCTCTATGTCCTATTCTTATGCCTCAGAGCGACGATGTGTCTGCCAGAGAGGGCCTAGAGGAGGCAATGGCAGTTGGTGAGTGCGAGCATATTGCTGAAAAGCGGGCATAAATACCGCACAGTATAATTATCAAAGTTAGCTGCCTCCGGAGAGCCTGGAATGCTGTGCAGGCCGTTTGGTGGTTGTGCAACTCTGCTCTGTTGGATTACAGTAACGCTATACTACAAAGCGCTGAGGAACCGCCATAAAAGGGTCGCTAAGCTAGGCAGGAATGTCCAAGAGTACTTCACGGAGTTATTCTCACCATTATTTGCTGACTTTATTTCTCACCCAGCAAAATTACCCGCTCCAGATGATTCCTTGGCTGTCCACAAAGTTAGTTCCGCGAGCTACACCCAGAGAGATACGGAACAGGGTCTGGAAATGGCGTGCCAGCTATTGAAGACAGTTCACAGCACTGGCTTACTGATAAGAGATGCATGGTCAGTTATTCTGATTTTTGTAAAGTGGTAACCTTAGACTGCACGGTAAATTGCCCATATACGTGGGGATCTTTAGGCTTGAACCACATTAGGTGTCAGGCTATTAGGCTGTGGTATTATGTTTCAGGCAGGGGCTCCTAAACAAGAACAAAAACGGCATTTGCGCTATGAAGGATGATTGTACAGAACTGTGTCCATTAATGCACGAGCCTGACGACGATGCGGTGAGCTGAATTTCAAGGCAGAAGCTGTTGCAGATCAATACTTTTTTTCGAGAGGACTCAATACCTTTTTCTTTCAGTGAGCCTGTGGTTGCGTTTGTCTCCCAGACTTTTTCCATTTCTATGCCATTGACCTCCGAGAATTGTCCACATATGCTAGCGAAATATGCTGCGCTTGCAGCAGACGCGGCAGTTAGAGCTCAAGAGAGTGTGGCGCGTAGCAGTCCGCAGCATGCTGCGCGAAAGATACAGGAGTGCATGGAAAGCTGCTCGTCTACCAGGATATGTGCTCAGTAGTACAGTCACGGAAGCACCGGCAAACGGGACAACCAGACCAGCGGGTCCATTAAGCAGCAAACTTTCGTGGATAGCTCTCCGCCTCCAATAGTGCCCCTTCAAAGTAAATACTCTTAGTGGCAAAAACCGCAACTCGAAGATATTATGGCATAAGAATGTAGCGACCATGACGGCGGCGCCGGTAGTAGTCTGTTGCCAATGCCAAGTAAAGCTAGTTGCTTACTTCGAGGGAAGAAGAGGAATGGAATTGTACCTTGAAAGTAGCTCTACTGCAGCCACAGCAACACCACAGTGAAGCAGGGAACAGCTGCCACAAACGCAATGTAGCATAAGCTAAAATATCGGTATCAACGGGTCAGTAAAATAGAGCTAAACCAGCAGATGATAACGCATGCAATGAAAGCCTCCCAAGTTGTACAGGTCGCCCCAGGGTCGGCAAATTGGTTTCATAAGACAAACACGCTCAACAGCGGATAACATCCCATCCAACAGAGCAGAGCACCAGTGAGATGGCTGTATGCAGTTTCCAACTGCTAGAACTAGAGATATTAAAGTCTAGTCAATGATAAAGACATCAGCACTAGATGACCGTCCCAAATTTCATTTTACCGACTTTGAACTCTCATTACCAACTACATCGTGGCCTTTGGCTCGCAAATCTGCGCAGCACCAACCGTACTATTCTCTAATTTAACACCTCATCAGGAATGACGAACCGGGGACAAGCGAACAGATTATACAGAGGTAAGAGCATGGCTGGATGCTGCTGGAAATGAGCACTTAGCACCAGCCCTGATATTAATATTTTTGGTGTAGGCACAATGGTTCGACGAGACGTTTTGACTAGGTCTTCTCGAGTATTCACTTGTACGCCAATAATCGTTCAATTCATGAGGCAACCTCTAAAACCGCTCACGTCTGACGACTTGTGGTAGTTAGTTCTGCGTGAAGAAGGTTTTTTTTGGGGCACTCGCAAGCGGCAGCGCACTAAGCTAAGCTTAACGTCGGTATACTACAGTATGTGCGTTAAACTATGAATTGGTTTGAAATTAAGTAATCAGTTTGTCTACTTCTATGTAGTGTGGCTTTTGCCAATGGCAACTTCATATTTATCGATATTCCTTTTTGCTCATCGATTTCCGTGTCTTAGCTTTGTTGATTCTCCCACAGCTTGTTGAGCTGACCTCGGCACCACCCTATGAGTCAGGGCTTGTATACAGGCTTTAGACCGTAGCAACTCCTGCGAGCAGACGTGCCATGAGTAAAGCCACTATTGAATCATTACACCGCTGAACGGCACTCCGCAAGGACCATCTGCTTCCTGGCATCTCCGGTACATAGCGAGAAACACATCCAAACGGCTTACATAATCGACGAATACTTGCCATCCTTACAGCCTGCATAGTTTCCTTGTTGGCATGGCCACACTCCCGCATCCATCAATATAATAGTGACTAGATATTCGTGTCTTTCCACCATGTGTGGAGATACCGCATTAACCTTGCCTTGCAGGTCGGCCTATGCCGCCTCAAGAGCTGCTGGGCCATTGTAAACCTCCATCGCCAGGATGAGCCGTTTCCGAGGAAAATTGCAACAAATAATGCATCGAATAGCCTGAGCACCACCAGGCAGCTTTGGGGTAAACTTGTATCCCAATACATTGCATTCAGAGCCAGTGGATGCGCGGGAAACAGCTGCAACGTAAAATATACTACCAAGTACAACGTTCCATCTAGTGCTTGCGTAAGAACAATTTACCCTGAATTTAATACAATCTTTAAGAATTGGCTTCCTTTCAAAGATGTTGTGCCTTCCGCTGCCCGTGCCCCTCTGTGTTCGAGACATGAGGGGGCTGGGCACACGTCCCCCCTTGGAGCACTCCAATCATTCACAACAAGTTGCGCAAAGCGTCTGGCGGGAACACAACGTTTAGTCTTCTTGTATCTGGCTTACAGTACTTCACAGTCGATAAGATATATTAATAACAAACCAGCTAGTCAAGTCTTTTTTATGTCTTTGTCGGATATGGCGGATTTAGGATAAAATACCTGACCTTAGCATAGCCCACTATACTAGCATTTTCAGCTTCTCTTAATGCACAGTGATACGATCTCTTCTCCATACACGAATCGTAAACACATGAAATACTAAGATATTCTTTATACCCAAGCTTTACAGTTGCAGTATTCACAATTACAATGAATAAATGGTTAGGCACCAAGAAACCAAAGGCGCACATGCGTAAGCCTCGTCATTGAAGACTGGAACTAGTACACGGCTGTTCTTTTTGCCACCAGCATTACTGCATATCATAACGATACTGACTGAATTATATGGTGTTTATGGAGCATTCTCTAAACAAGATACAACAGGATGTCGGCACAGTGCAGTCGCGTGAAAACAGTAACAGGGAATTTTTCAGTAGAGCATTTGAGACCGAAGGTGTCCAATTTTGACTACATACATTCTGATATGTGATGAGTCTGTTTGAAAGCTTAGTCGACATGTGCTGCTGGTCCGTCTAGGGTACAGGTGTAAAAGGAAGCCCAGGCCAAAGGCGGAGGAAGCAGATATTAACAGCATTTGTCTGACTGGCTACAGTGGCGTTGCGGAGGAGCCGCAAATCATGCACTCAACTACGTGGTGGGGATTACATTCGTACAAAATGGCTTTCAGTTACCATGGTTCACATACCTGGCCATAGTGGTACGCGTAAAGCTGGAATATGCGTCCTGAATGCATACCTGCGTTGATGCTCGCGGCCATCCGGCTACGCATTCGCATGTGTGTACGTCTGCTTTGATCTGTCCATGCTTGCGAGTTGGCATGGAGCGTTAGTAGCTAGTACAGACTTTTGCCAATGCCGTCTTGACGCGTGCAGGCGATTTTAAGTTGTCGATAATGCGTTTTTCCTAGGGTGGGGTCCAAGCAATCTCGTGTCTTTCTAAGTCGCGTTCGGTCTTTAAAGTACACAACAGTGGAAAGAGATGGCTAGACAGCACAATCGTAGTGTCTTCACCATTATTGTAGATCGCAGTTGCCTTGTTCCTGCACGCAGTCTTGGAGGTTTTGCTAAGAATACGTAACTGTACACCCATTCCAGATTGACCCTGCATCAAGTCCTGAATTTGCCGATCACACAAACTTTTGACGCGCCCTCGAAATATATCACAAACATCAGAAATGGATTGTTATGATAGGCTAGTAAAGTTCCTAATGAATGGCTACAGGGTATATACCACCAATGTCTAAAGCATTTGCTAGTGTGATGGCACACTGAATAGATACACAGACTCGTCTTTCTACACAAGCCAAAATAGCGGTTTTCACATGGCGGCCTGGCGGACACACCTCGTGAGTTTGAGTCTTCTTTTGATGTCCAGGGAGCATACGGGGCAAGCCTGTGTAGGGTGCTGCCGTCCACGGTCCCAGATATTTAGCTGTTGAAGCACTGTTGTGGCCAGTGCTAGTGCGGCAAGTTCATTTCTTTCTCACGAAGGACAGCTCGCGTAAAGAGGGATGAGTGTGTCTATCCTCCTCAGGTCGCTACAGTGGGACCCCAATCACATGCCCTGTGTGTTAACAAAGGGTAGTCGCCTTTCCCCATGTCTTATTCCAATATTATCACTGTAGGGGCTACTGAGAGTGGCATTAGCCTCCTGTGGTCGTTTGTAGATTAAACCTTGACTATGGGTACCTTTGACGATGGCATACAACTTCACCCACTACATGCAAAGTATCAGTAGATGCAAGCGTTTCGTTACATGGCATAGCACGTACTGTAATAGCATACTGTGGCAACTGTACTTTGCTGTAGGCCACTTATACTGTGTGAGTCTGCGCAGCTCTAGCTGTACCTTTATTTTAAAGCCTTTGCGCACAATAATGCACAAGGCACATTTAACAGGTTCCTAGTTAAGTGAAAGCTGTCGTAAGCGCCAGCAAGTCTCACGGCTTATTGTACCTGAGTTCTCAAACGCCAAGCTGGGTCATCTCACGCCTCATGAAACACGTACTCGGTCATCTTACGGTATACCGCGTCAGAAAGGCATTACCCGCAGATTTTGAGATATTACGAAGATGGTATATGACCAATACCTCATTTTTGTCATAATATTGTTCAGCCCTAACAAGCATGTGTGAAGCTCTCACCAGAGCAAGTGTGCCTGGAGACGCTTCAGAAATGACGCACAGGCCAAGAGGGACAACTGTCTCAAAATTGATTGCATCATGAAGATATCTGAGAGTTTAATGCAGGCTCAGTTGGCGCATGCATCTGTCGTTTGCTATCAGTTGTGCAGTGGAACTCTGCAATGGCTTACCAGTTTTCCCGTGGCTCGGAATGCTGACTTGGTCTTGTGCATGTATTCTAAATGGACCTGCTTTGTTGGAACACCTACGCTTAATAGGCAGGCTATGACACGGGCAGTGGTAAAGGGGGGGAGAAAACAGTCGAATCGCTGCTTCTTCATGTTTTTCTTCGCTGAGAGTGAATACTTTTTAAAACGTACTTTTTGTAGCTTCCTGACTTGGTCGCGTAAGAGCTTGAGCCTCTACTGGCCACCGCTACCAGTGACGGCTTTGTGCCTTGTTAAGTTAATTTTAGCCCATTGGGTAACTAGATTTCCGTGTGCAGTCTTCAAAATCTTTTCACTCTGAGCCGGGTAGCACACATTGTGCTGCAACTCAACCTCAGAGATAGCAAAGCCAATTAGAGATACATGTTTCTTGCAGGGGAATCAGGTATTTATTTGCTAGCTATTGAGACTGCCTTACCTAATATTACAAGCAATTAGATACTCCCTGCACAATGCATATCTCCTTACTTGTCGAAACATGCGTGCTGGCACAGCATTTTGAGAGGTGACACCGCTTCTAGGGCTTTAGCGTACAGATGAATAGTGGACACAAATAAAAAAAAGCAAGAGTTGCAGCTAAAAAGACTGAAGCCTGGCGCAACACCGTTCGACGTGCCAGCTGCCGCCAACTTGAGCACATTTCATAAGTGGAGCAAGCTCAGGTATCATTTCTGTTCTTATTTTCAAATTCCATATGGCGAATTCGCTGTACCCCTGCTATTATTTCTCAGCTGCATGTGAGTAGCATAATTTATTTTCTATTGAAATCCAAGACCTCAACTGTTGCATCACCTAAAATTTTTAAGCCTACGTCTGTGGTCGTGAACCTTTGCCGGCGTTGGAACAATCAATGGTAAAAGTTCATTCTTTCGGTTAGACTTCACCTTTAAATTAGTTGGCGAACACCATTCACTGCTTGAGGGCACAACTTGTTACT